ATTTTGGTTGGTCATAAATTTTTCGAGCACGGTATTCATTCCAGAATTCAAGAGTACATAAAAATACCACTGCTGCCATTGCGACGTCCGGCTCCTACCTGGTCATTTTCCCGGCCCGCACGGGGAATTCCAGTTGTCCGTGAACTTTTCGGCCACAAACCCGACTTTCACTTTAGAATGCACCTTCAACCACGCCTCATATCGGAATTCACCCTTCAGGCCATGCAGAGGACATTTTTGGCCCCTGGGGCCAATTCTAGACGTGGAGGGTTATTTCTGAGCTCGGGATCGGATTCAGCGTCGAAAAATACATGGGAATACATATGTCCGACCGCCAAGTCTGAACACTTTTTTTTATTTGTGGGGCTGTGTAATTATTGTTTAACGTTATTTAGAATTTTTTCGTCCATTTTTTCGTTGTACACTTTGGAATAGTATGCAAATCCCTAAAACGTGATATTTTATCAAGAATTTTACTAAAACGTAAACTCATACATTCGTTAATTGTTTAAAGTGTATCGATTATTTTGCGATCTATTTTAGCGTATGCAAATATCTTACACCCGTTAGAAATGTATGCAAAAAAAAAATTTTTCGTGCATATTTACCCATTATTTTTACATAGTCCAATTACCGCAACACACATGCACGCCGCGATTATATGCAAAATAGCTTTTCGTGGTCTATTTAACCACAAAAATAATGCTGTGAAAAATCATACGTTTAATAATAATTGTTCTTCAATACCTCTTCTTTTTTACATGTCCAATTAACAATTTCGGGATTTCCTACACGTATGCAAATTATTTTCCGCGGTATATTTTTTTAAAATTTTAACAAAATACGATTTGCTTGCATTTACTAATCGTTCGGAATTATCCATTTTAAATTCAAATTTCCTTGGTGACGCCGCTGCATGCGAGCACTCTTAGATAATTGACTAGAACATGTTAAAAATCTATAATATTCATAACTTAAAAGATGCATGCATTAAAAATGTTGCACTTTCAATAATAATGTATATTATTGACCAAAAACCGTTTATTTTTATTTGTTTTCTTTTCGCAATTGGCGATATAATAAATTTTTTTAAACCAGTTTCATAATGCAATTGGTTGTGTAAAATTAGGCATTCCAACGACCTGTCCAAATGGCTACCAGTGGGGACTGACAGTTTAGATATGGCAACCCTGTTGTTATGTTGTCATTAACAGGGTCAATGATACATATATAGTTATATAGATTGCTCACAGCTGGTCGTTTGCGAGCGGCCATATTGCCTGGCAAATATTTATTAATTTGAATCGGTTTAGCAAAAATGTGTTTTAAAACCAATTTTCAGCCTTTAGATATTTAAAAAATAATTGCTTACATTTTTAGTTCAAGACATAAGCTTATGTTAATTTTGAAAAATATGGATGATCAATCTATGTAACTATCTATTTCATTGACCTTGTCAAATCACCAGACCTACAGGGTTGCCATAATTTTTTCCATATCATAACCTGTCAAAACCCACTGGTAGCCATTCAATTTGGAATGCCTAATAGATCATTTTGACACTTGCTGCGATTATAAATAATGTCACTTTATGTGTCAAAATTAGAAAAAATAATATTCAAGGCATTTCAAACAAATACGTTGCTTTTTTTAAAAATATGTTACCAAATATTTTTCAATTTCAATAAATGTTACAGGGTGTAATAAAAATAACTGTTTATTGTGTATATAGGCACCAAGCGACAAGGGGCGCCTAGCAAGGGGGGCGTGAGGGGCAAGCGCCCCCCCTGGCCCCCACCAGGCTACGCCACTGGTTATTTCATAATCTACCATTTACAGTGTTGCCGAATCCAAAATTCTCATTTCCGGAAAAACGGTCTGGTTAATAGAAATCAAAATAAATGCCAACAGAATAAGGGACAATTAAAAATATTTTTATTAGCTGATGGCATACGGCAAATGGCTGCAATAAAAATTCATGTATTCATTATTTTTTATTTAGTGTCATCACTAATAAGTGACTTAGGGTCGATTCCACCGTTGTGTTAAACGGAGATTAAAATGACATTTTTAATGTTTAACACAACGGTGGAATCGGTCCTTAGTAAATAGAATAAAATATTAAAATAGAAAAGAACAATATGAACATAATTACTTCGCAAAAATGTTAGCCATACTTCATTGTGCGAGCCAATATGGGCGAATAGTGAATTAACAAAATTATTGAAACATATTGCATACATCCAAAATTTCAGTGTAAGCGGGAAATTTCCAGTCCAACGGCAACACTGCCACGTTGGATCTGTTTCAAATTGCAAATCAACGATTTCGAATCAAAAACTTCTTTTTCCATTTGACTCTTGACCAAGCAATGTTGCCGGTTCAAACAAGAATATGTCCTTAGACGGAAGCTGAGTATAACAAAGCATATGCAATTCATTATAAATAATTAGACTTGACAACACCGTCTCAATATTACCAAAATTTTCTAGAAATTCAATTTTACAGTTGTCGATACAATCTGCCAGATTATTAATGTTTTACGGATAGGCATATTCATTATGATTTTTTACTTGGAACACTGTATTCGTAGCGTAATCTATGAACATAATGTTTAGTATATTTTTTAAAACCATGTAAAATTGAGGGCGTTGGCCAAGCCTAACCTAAAATAATTTTAAGAGGTGGTTAAAAAAGCTAGTATAATCAAAATAAATGCAATTTTATGTTTCCGAGGATGGTCGAAATAGTTATGGTCAATAGGATTTTTGTGTTTTTCTAGGGGGAGAGGAGGCGGTGTAGGGGGATAGCTTCATACAGCTCAAACCATTTAGTGTTTTTCAACAAAGTTATAACACTGTCTCAGCGAATTATTTACGACATTGAAATTTTTAATATTGTATCACTTTTGAGATTTAAATAATTGTTAAACGACAACAACCTTGTTATTATGTACAAAAGCAGAATAATAAATAATATCGATTCTAGAAACTAACCAGCGGCAGCGATGACATCACTATCGCTAATATTTACGAGAAAGTTGAATTACTGGGTTTTATTTGTTATAGAAATTATTGTTACTGATTATTAATCTTATTGAAAACATAAAATAATACAGAAGCTGATATAATAGAGAGTATAAAAATAGAAAGTGCTATAGAATTCCAATAACAATAAAAATTAATTAGAGAGGATGTTAAGTTTTAAAGAAATAAGACAAACTTATTTATATTTTTTGACTTTTTTAATTTCCCAAACTATCTTATTGACAGAATCAAAAAACCATAAAAAATAACCCAAAACTTGATAACCAAATAAAATTAATTTACAAAGCAAATGTATAAAACCCAAATCTAATGAAATGGCATCAAAAAAAAATTAACAATAATTTAAATTAATATTTTTTTATTTTATTTTATTTTAGGTTTATTTCTAAAGAATAAAGTATTATAAACAACTGAACCCAAAAATTTTGAATCATTAGTTATATGAAATTTAACTAAATTAGATGTAATTTCAGTAAATTAGATGTAATAATTTTCAATAAATTCCAAAACCTGATTAATGTTAAGTTGGACGTGGCACCGGATTGTATTTCTACCAGGCTTACACATATATTTATTGATAAATTTGTATTGCCCTAAAAATTCATCTCTTTATCCTATCTCTTACCTCTCACCACACGTCTCTTCACTCCGGACCAACAACTGGAGCGTATTGACTGTCGAATTAATATCGGCAGCATGAATATTATATTTTACCAATGAATAGCTACATCGCCTGTTATCTCTGGTTGAGGCATTTGTTCTGTGATATTTTTTAATTCTGATATATTTACTTATCCTGGTGGTAGGTATAAGTTACGTATGTAAATATCTTTTATGTCATGAACTTTGATAGCTACGCCTTCAAGATTGCTAATTGAAGGTATTTCTTCTGCGTCTATTGTGTTTTTATACGATGGATGAATATTTTAATATGTAATTTCTAATTATTAATTTATGTACATTTTGTATATATATTTTTACTGTCGACTATTCCTATACACTTTTGTTATGTCTTATGGAAAAAATAAATATTAATAGTATTAGTCGTAAAAAAGTATTTCTTGTCTTTCCAACTAAATCTTTATTGACATTGACAGAAATGCTAGTTACAAAGCTAGTAGGTAGTGTGAAAATAACTTTTTCCAATCAGTCATGAAACTCACATTATTAATTATTGATCAGAATCAAAGTTACTAACATTTTAGTAGTTCTCCACTTAAAATTATTTTCCATAACAGTTATCATTGTCATCGGACAATTATTATAGTAAATGTTTATTTCATTGTTCGTCCTCAAGTTCCGTGGCGATAAAAACGGGAACTTCTTGGAGAGACCCACCAGGCACCTGTTATGTAAAATTGCCAACATTACTTTTTATATAGGGTGTTCCGTAAATATACGGTAAATAGAGGTGGTAGAGGATATAATAAAAAAAAAGCCTAAAAACATATATCCAAAAACGCTACGTTTCCAAGATACAGGGTGTTAAAGTTTAAAAAAAAATCGATTTTTAATCAATATTAAAAAAACGCTTTAACCGATTTGATTTAAATTTTCACAGCTTGTTGATATCTTAATGCAGTATCTTTTGGACCTATTAGCGAGTATCCAAAATTTCCATAGGCGTATTATAGTTTTTGCTGAAAAATACAACAGCCCCGTAAATTTTTTTTGAATTTTCATTTTTTTGATAAATCAACTCAAAATACAACTTCTTTGTCCTTTCTTTTCGGTAACACGCTGTTAATATTTTTTTCTCGATAACACAGGGAGAAAATGAGAATGTTTAGTTACTTTATTTGGAGTCTATTATGAAAATTGCAATTGGTCGTCATTTTTCTGTAAAATTTGTTTGTCAGTATATACCGACAAACTTCTGTAACTTTTGTAACTGTTTTTATAAATATAATTTTTGTACATTAGGCGTTTATTAATTCACAATTATTTTTCCAGAACTATTGATTTAATTCCACCAGAAGATAGACATGGATCAATTCCTCGTGGTAATGGGGTAAGTATCTATATAATAAATAAAAATTAATGCTGGAATTTAAATGTTTTGGGTTGGTATTTTAACCACTTTCACAGAATGACATTTATTACTTAACATTTGTCAAAATAAATCTCATATTATTTGTAGGGTTTAATTTATTTATTAAAATTTAACAATAAGCCGTTCAAGAAAAGCATTCATCCAAAATGACACCTAAAAACTTATAATCGGTTAGGTACTTTATTTACTGACTCAATCCCTATGCATATATTTTTGGGCAACTGCAATTTTGCTGCCAATTATGACACCTGGTAAAACATGTTTTCTTGAGATTAAACTTTAAATGATGATTTTCAAACCATATCTGAAGATTCCGCATCGTATCGTTTATTGTTTAATCATATAATTTTTTTGAGAAATTATTAGGGAAATATCTGTAGATGCAGTTAAACGAGTCACAGGCGAAATTGATTCCTATACCTATAGAAACATAATCGGGCCTATCACCGAATCTTGGGACACACCAATATTCATTGACTGGTTTGTTTAATATTATTTTTTATGAATAATTTTTTCTCCAGAAAATAACATTTTGCCGAAGAAAGTACACCTTAGGTACCGGTAAACCTTTTACCGGTCCTTGTTTTTAATTTTTCCGATCGCTGTTTGATAATATTCTGCCTTGATTTCGTTACTATGGTAACAACGTTCCGATTCATTACCAAGTGACAGTTCGTTGATTTTTAATTTGTTGTTTATGTCAAACTTGTTTTCGCAAATTTAAATATATGGATTCAGATTTTGATTTACCTGACAGAGAAAATGAAATTTCAGAAGGAATTTTGGAAGCAGCAAAAATGTATATTTAACATAAATATTCAAACATAATGTATTTGGTTAGTTTATGCAGTTGTATCCATTATCTAGTTTTAGTATTTGTTTATCACTTTATTAAATAAAATAAATAATTAAGTTTACATCAAAATGTCGGTCTTAAAAAAATATTGTACGTCACACGACCGAAAATTAGTGTTAAGCAAGGCTCTCCAAGCTTCCAGGTCTCACCTACGGCTCGTCCTGGAATCTGCTGGACTCGATCTGCAAAACACTACTTTCCTGTCTTGTAACCTAAATTTCTATTTCAGGTTTGTTATGTTAACGTATTGTTTCCGATCTTGAAGAAAACTTGGTAACCACTTTAGACCGTTTCCGTTTACACCGTAGATATCTAATTTACAAAACAAAAGTTCATGATTAATACAGTCGAAAGCGCTGTAGAGATCTAAGAAAATTCCAACCGGATTTTTAACTAGCTCAATACAATCAATTAAAGTTTGATATAGAGCATGTATCGCAAACAGACTGGGTTTACTTTTTTGCTTGAAACCCATGTTGGAGTAGTTCAGAAAAAATTTTGAATTTGTTTAAAAAAATTAGAAATCTATCTAAAAACAATGAGAAGGCGGAAGTCATTGTCACAGGTCTAAGATTTTAAATGTGATGGCGAATTCCTTTTTTTTATAAAAATCATTGTAGTCGAATACTAACTTTTCAAGAAAATCAGCCAAGCATTCTGGAATTGAATACATCCACTAGTCATTTACTTTTACACCTGTACATAAATAACATTCGATACTTTTTTGCTTCGTGCTGGATACCATTTTTTAAATTTAATTTTCTTAATAAAAGTTTTGACAAAGTTGACACATAAGTTAAGTTTGAATTTTAAGGTTAAAAATGTCATTCTGTGAAAGTGGCAATATAAAACATTTAAATTATACGATAAATTCATATTAAGATTTTTCTTGTTATTAAAAATTTACAAATTGTGTTTCGTTTTAGTCCAGAGCAGGCTACAGCAAAATTGACATTTGTTGTAATGGTTACGAACGAGTACCACGCAGTCATTTAGTTTGTCAACCCGTTTGTGACGGCTGCGAAAATGGTAAGAATACTTTTATTATACTTATTAAAAAAATCCTATAAATTGACACATTTTAACAATTTATAATTATAACTCGAGAATGGAAAAATATATCGACTTAAAGTTTTTGTTGACATTGTTGCCATATGTAATTTGTCCGCAAAGGGCCGAAAAAAATGAACTGTTTACTTTAAATAGAAGTATCAATTTATAAACGGACCCCATGTATTGTCTAACTCTAAAAATTATAAAGGGGAATTAAGCCGCGTAATTCGAAACGTCGTTTTTTTTTTGTTTACATTGTTACCATATGTAATCTGGAAAGTGTCTAAAAGAAAATTGGACTTTTTTGAAGGGGAATTGAACCGTATAAAACGACATTGTTCGTTTGTTGACAATTTTGCCATATATATTTTTTTTTCTGAAAGTGCAGAAAAAAATAAAGAACCTTTTTGAACCAAAATTGTGAGTTTACTTTAAATATAACTGTCAATTTATAGACGGTAACCTGGTATTGTCTTATTTAAAAAATTATAAAGGGACACTGAACTGTATAAAACGACATTGTATTTTTTGTATTCACATTGTTGCCATATGTATTTTTTTTCTGGAAAGTGTCGAAAAAAGAAAGAACCTTTTTGAACTAAAATTGTGAGTTTACTAATGAAGTGTCAATTTATTGACGGTACTTTGTGTCATATTCCTAAAATTATAAAGGGGAATTGATCTGTAAAAAACGGCATTGTATTTTTGTTTTGTTTACATTGTTGCCATATGTAATGTGTTTTCTGAAAAATGCCGAAAAAAGAAAGAACCTTTTTGAACCAAAATTGTTAGTTTACTATAAATAGAAGTGAAATTTTTTCTAAAAAGTGCCGAAAAAAACAGAATCTTTTCAAACCAAAGTTCTGAGTTAACTTTAAATAGAAATTTCAATTTATAGACAGGAACCTTGTATTGTCTGACTCTAAAAATTATAAAACGGCATTGTAGTTTTTTGTTTACATTGATGCCATATGTAATTTTTTTCTGGAAAGTGCCAAAAAAAAATGAAGTGTCAATTTATAGACTCGAAAAATTATAAAGAGGAATTGAATCGTGTATTTTGAAATTTCTAGGGAACTGTACGGCTCCAGGTGTCTGCCAGTGCAAGAGAGGATACATTCATGACGATTTCCACGGAGACTGCATTCCTACTTGTCCCCATGGCTGTCTCAATGGAGTTTGTACGATAACGGGAGCTTGTTCCTGTAACGCAGGAAATACACTGAGCGGTAATGGAAAATATTGCATACCTCATTGCTCAGGAGGCTGCGGACGAGGCGGTACTTGCGTGGGACCCGAAGTTTGTGCTTGTGCACAAGGGTACGTATGTGTTTTTAAAAATAATGGCGTGTGACCTGGGGCCTATTTCATAAAACTATTTTGCAACTTTTCACTTTGCCCTTTGCTTTGTTTCATAAAAGAGAAATTTGACGAGTTAAAAAGTAAAATTTAAAAAGCAATTTGCAAAGTTAACGATATTATTTTATGAAATACAAGTATTTTGCACATGTAAATTTGCCATAATATAAATTTGCAAACTAAAAAGTTGCAAAGTAGTTTTATGAAATATGCCCTTGATAGGCATTCCTCGTAAAATTATAATTATGACCTTGTGATATTTTTTCTGAAAATATTAAATCAATTTTTTATGAATAATTCAACAAAATAAAAATACGGAGTTAATTTAAAATATCATGATTTAATACCTTTAATGAATGACGACAGAATCCTTTAAATATTTATTATAATCATTAATTAATTGATTATTTAGATTTGAACAAAATTGGTAATCGCTAGGGTAGTGGTATAATCTGTATAAATTAATAACTGTTTTGATTTATTTAACTTAAGCTCGAAGGCTATCAAAGTTATTCAAAGTTCATTATAAACTATATAGCAATTATTTGTATATTAAAATGATCTGTAATCCCAGATCTTGGAAATTTTTAAAAAATTACGCAAGGAAAATAACGATTAAAGATAAGTGCAGAGTCGGCCTTAAGATTGCACATCAAGCCTCAAAATATTTGTTGAAATAAATTATAAGTATTTAAAATTAGATAAAAGAAAATATGAGATAGTTTTGAATTTCAATACCTATGACGAAAATGTATTTGATTTTTTTATCCATCTTATAAGGTGTTTCTTTTGAAACCAAAATAAATTAACGGTAAATAAAGGTGACCAAGGCGATTCTAAATATGTGACAAGAAAAATCCAGGTACGGATTGACAAAAAAATTAATAAATTGTTTTGTCACCAAAATATGTCAGAATTTTCAAAATCCGTTTACATATTTGAATATTATTTGAAACACAATTAAAAATTGATGTTTTTATTAGTGAGACGATTTTATTACTCAAACTAGTTAGCATTCGACCAAACAGGAAACGAATAATATCCACGATGCCATTTTATACGGCACAATCAACGTTACAACGCGGTCGGGCCGTATAAACTGGCAAGGCTGATATTATTCGTTTCTTGTTCGTCTGTGTAGTTTTCACATGAACTTATGGAGAATGTATTGGAAAAGGTTCAGTGACCGATACTGTATAACAAATTACTTCTATACAAACACATTCTAAAACCTGTCTGGACATATGGCATCCAACTTTAGGGCTTTCTTGTGGCTAGTACGTTACATATGGTCCTTTAAAGAAATGAGCTAAATCGATAAAACATCCTATATATAATCTGCAAGACCCAATGAAAAAACAATCTGCATACTAGAATCATCAGAATCAAAATTAAAAAATATGAGATAGAAAGGTGAGAAAATCGGTTTAGATCTGAAACTGAACTGAAGTATGCAATTTTGGAATTGTAAAAATATGGGCTTCATGACAAAATAACGCAGGACAAAACAGCGCAGGACAAAATGGCGCAGGACAAAACAGCGCAGGATAAAATAGCGCAAGTAGAAAATAACGCAAGACAAAATTGCGTACGACAAAATAGCGCAAGGATAAAATAGCGAAAGGACAAAATAGCGCAGGGCAAAATGGAGCAAGGACAAAATAGCGCATAACAAACAGGATATGTTTTTTAATTAATTAAATTCATTGAAATAATGCGTAACAAATACTATTCCGACGATGCCTATGTAGAGAATGTTTGAATTGTAGCTCCGTCTCTCTCACATTTTAGGATCCGGTCCATTTTAGCGAGAAACAATACATGAGAGGCAAGTTGACGCCTGATATAAATAAAATGAAACCAATCAAGGCGTAGTCTAATTAGAGCGAGTTAAGTTAGCGTTTTTTCATAAAACGGCGAAACAAATTAACGCATGACAAAATATACCAGTATTCTAATTAAAATTTAAAAAAAAAATCTATTTACCTAACTGGTGTGGCCTGGCGGGTTATTGTATTATATGACCCCAGCTCGCACAGGTTAGGTAAATTAAGTGTTTTTTTTTAATTTTAATTAGAATACTGGAATATTTTGACAGGCGCTTTTATGTCCTGCGCTATTTTGTCCTGCGCTATTTTGTCCTGCGCTATTTTGTCCTGCACCATTTTGTCCTGCGCTGTTTTGTTATGGAGCTGAAAATATGATCCACAATTAGCGCTACGAAATTAAGAAATGGTATCCCCATATTCCCAAAGTGGCAAAAAAAACAGAAAATTTGAAAAAGCTGAGAAATAAAAGAAAAAATGGGTGCACCGACCACGGATCGAAGTACCTTTATTCGAAAATATTATTTTTTTAATTTTTATTATTCATAACTCTTTTGGGAGGCAACTCGCGGTGACTTTAGGTCTAGAGATAAGGGCAATTATGTACAGAACAAAGATGACTCAGTTTGAATCCCGGTGGCGACAGACTTTTTTTCAAATCTCTAAAGTATTTTTCACCTTTGGGGTTCGGGGACGGTCTTAATAATTCATAGGGGGAGTTTTGAGACTTGTTTCCAAATTTTGAAAAATTATTAAACCACAATTAGTTAATATGCTGAATTGGAGATTAGACTGAGCGACTTTACATTATCTTCCAACGAGTTTATTAGTCAGAAAAAGATAATAAGATGCATAACTGGACTTAGGCAGACTGAATCGTATCGAGATACTTTCCAACATTTAAGAATTATCAGTTTATGTGCTCTTTATATTTTCGAAATATCAAATACGAAACAATAACTTACGTTGAGGAATTTTTAAAATTGCATACATTAGTTTTTTGATATTTAATCTTTAATTTTTAAAAAAATCATTTGAACCCAGAAGTTTGAATTTAGCCATTTTATTTTAATAATCAAATTTCTTTCCGATTTTTTAGATTTTCATTGGACCAGAGAACGAACAAATGTGACTATCATTGCGAAGGAGGTTGTGGAGAAGGAAGTTGCGTTGGTCCGAATCAATGTTCTTGTAAACCCGGATACAAAGTCGTTGGACATACCTGTGTCCCAGATTGCCCTAAGGGATGCGTAAACGGAGACTGTGTAGGACCCAATAGGTAAAATTTAAATTCTTATTAACTACATAATATTCATAAAAAGTTTATCAATTTTTATGAATTGACTTTTTCAAATATGGAACATGGAAAATTCTGGAAAATAATTGTGTGCTATACGCTTTACATTAAGCCAAAAATAACAAATATGTTTTCCTTTTAGATGTTCCTGTAAAGCTGGATGGACTTTAGATCCCAATGGTTCTGTTTGTACGCCTCATTGCAGTCAATCTTGTCTTAATGGTGACTGTATTGCTCCTAATCAATGTGCTTGCAAAAAAGGTAAGAATTAATTATTATAGATAATATAGATTATATGATCGAGGGGTAAACCACTTCCGAAAACACTATTATCTCGAAATTTCCGAAATCATCGCAAAAATCATGGTCGAATACATAACCGAAATCAATTTATTGCTCATCAGACCTATAAACGCAGGAACAAAAAAAAAGGTCAAGCAAACAAGTAAAGAAGTCTCCAAATATCGAAAAAAAAAGTCGTTTAAAGACAATTTATAGGGAAATCATACGAATTTTATGTAAATTGCGAAATACAGGTACGTTTTGACCTTAGTGGTTTACCCCTCGAATATGATATCTTTTCAAATATTTATTTACTACAGGGTGATATTGAAAAATTTTATAAATTATATTTCTTTGTATTTATTTTTTATATATACAGGATGTTTTTTAAACATGCGGCAAAAATTCAAGGGGTTATTCCTTGGACTATTTTAAAAATATTTTGTGCCTTGATGATTTTTGAAAATCCGTTTTGTTAAGGAGATACAGGGCGAACAAAATTTTAGACAATAACATCATTTTTTTACCAAGAAATACATGTAAATGTTACTTAATCTACAAGAACTGTTGAAAATGACTACCTCCAGCAAGAATGCAAGCATCTAATCTTCTCCTCGTTAACTGCCGAACTCTTTCAAAAACACCAGGGTCGTTTCTTATTGAGTTACACCCAGCAATTATTCGAATTCTACTGGAGTAGTATACACTAATGACTTTAGATAGGAAATATTCCAAGGGGTTTAAGTCCGGGGAACGAGCGGGCAATAAATAGGTCCTCCTCGACCAATCCAGCGATCTCCGTATCTTAGTGTCAGAAACTCACGAGCAACCAAACTGAAATGCGCTGGTGTACCATCGTGCATAAACCACATTGCATTTCTTATTGCTAATGGTACATCATCCAGAAAATCAGGTAGAGTTTGTTCTAAAAAGTTGCGACACACTTCACCGGTAAGTCTTGCTGGTAGAAATACCGGCCCTATTAACCAGTCACCCACAATTCCAATCCAAACATTCAACGAGAACTGATGTTGAAAACGATCTTCAATTACCTCATGTGGATTTTTGTCAGCCCATACATGGTTATTGTGAAAATTCCTTATTGCATTTCTTGAGAAATTCGCTTCATCGGTAAAAAGAATAAGCATCAGTAGTTTAGGAATTTGAACTAATGTGTACAAAAGTCATTGATAAAATGGAATACGTGGAGGAAAATCAGCAGGAAGAAATGCCTGAACGCGTTGTATCTGGTATGGGTATAACAAATTGTCCCTAAGAATTTTCCAAACAGTCGAATAACTCACATTCAAAATATTTGCAATTTTTCGAGTAGAAGTACTCGGATCTTCCTCGATCATGACCAGCACATTTTCTTCCGCTTCCACCGTTGACACATGAGTGTCATGAAGACGTTGATGAATATTTTGGAACCATTTTCTATCAGGAATATTACGGTCAAGAAATCGTCCAATGTACAACCGCCTTCTAATGAATTTCCATCAGCAAGACCATAAATGTAATGCATGTTAGTCATCTCGGCGTTCAAATGAAATCCAGATTTAATCTGTATTTCTTTACGGTGTCTGAACTTTTGCCCGTTTTAAATGGAAAAAACAGCCGTTTTTAGTAATTTGAGTGTTGTTAAAAAATAATAAAAATAACGAATTTTAAAAAAGTTCTAGATTAACACAGTGTAGTACCTATTTTTATTTAGACTAATAATAATTTTAAAAATAATTTTCTCGAAAATGTTGTGCTAAACGAAACGGAATTTTAAAAATCAAAGAAAAATATTCTTAGAATAGTCCAAGGAACAACCCCTTGAATTTTTTCCGCATGTTTAATAAAACACCCCGTATATATTTTAATCGAATTGTATACCACATTTTAGATAATGTTATTATAGGCCAAAGCAGTTGCAAAGATAGAAATAGAAAGATTTTCAATAAAAACAGTAAATTTATTTACCATTAAGTATAAAAAATAATAATCATGCACCTGTACAAGAAACTTAACGTCCTGTCAAAGCCGATGCGGATGGATAAAAAGATCTGAAGCGACTAGTTCTCTCGCAATCGATTTCCAGAGTTTTTCTTTTTATCAAAATTTCCCTTTCCAAATCTTGCCTGACTTTGACCAACTGGGCGAGCGAATCTCTCGCTTGATTTAGTTGAGCTGTTACCGCAGCCACTCCTTCGCCTAAAAATTAATAATATAATAAAAATAAGTTATAAAATTTAATGCCTAAATCGCATGGGAATTTATTTTTACCCTAGAAACGATGCAAAAGGGCTGAAATAGCGTAAAATCGTGAAAATTACAACTGACATGTGTTGTTAAACAACATGCAATAGTATATTACACACCGAGATGGGAAGAGTTTCATTCCTGTCGTGAGATTAGTTAGATCACCGAGACGCGAAGCGTCGAGGTTAGCTATGATCTCGAGACAGGAATGAAACTTCCTACCGAGTTTTGTATACTATTTTATTTACAACCATCATATTTCGATCAAAGTTAATAAATCTCTGTTTCGTTCTGAACATACCTAAAATATTACATTTAACGACAAATTACCAAGCGCGCGGTTTTCTCAGAATAATCAAGTAAATATATTGTTACTGTGATTACGAGGTAAACAACTGTCACCAATATAAATAAATGTCAGATAAAGCCGGATATTAAATTCGCGAATAATAAATATCAATAAGTATTTTTTCTACACCCGTATTATAATAATGCACTTATATGCCCATAATCCGTTTCATAATGATACCCATTATGATACAGATTTTTCATTACGATACAGATTTTTAATCAATAGAAACCTACAATTTTTCAATCAAGCATGCTGTTTGACGTTTGTCCTAGGTTCCTATGTAATTATTTTAGTTGTCAAAACGTATTAAATTTTCGTAGGTAGCTAAACTTCGATAATTATAATATTAAAATGTCTGATATTAGCGATATAGAAGACTCCTCCACACATATCGGAGAAAGCAGAAAATACAGTACAAAATATTTTACCGCAAAAATCTAGGGAAATACCAATACCTGAAGTAATACCATTAATTACAATTTTGTAGAATTTTTTATAGAAATACGAGTAATTACTGTTATTGTGTTCAATACCAATATAAATATAATATTTATAGGTCTTGATTATTTATCGGGTGTAGAAAAAATAGCGTATGCAACTCTCATGTAATGGTTATTAAAACACTCGCATAAACCATACGAAACTCGCCTTTGGCTCGTTTCGTATCCCGGTTAATGCTCGTGTATTAATAACCATCATTACATGATCGTTGCATAATATACTATTGTTGTATTTTAGTTCATTGTTGTTTTTTATTGTTTGCCATTAAATAGGTATTATAAAATTTGTCAAAAAAATGTGTTATTTTTTTAAATATAAAAAATATTCATCTAGAATAGATGAAATGAGAGCGGGAAGTGAGGGCGGGAAATGAGGGCGGGAAGTGAGGGCGGGAAGTAAGGGCGGGAAGTGAGGGCGGGAAGAAAGGGCGGGAAGTGAGGGCAGGAAGTAGAGGTGTGTAATGTAACACTTCCCAACCTTCAATGACGTTAGTAGTGACAACATTACATACATGGTTGTAAATAAAACTCATAATTCTACATAAAAAGGCCAATACAATATTCCTAAGGCTTAATAACACAATAAAAATAGAAAAAGATATAAAACTTTAAAAGTAAGTTATAGCTCTTAATGTCAAAACTTTTCTATTTTCTGTTGAAATCTCAACTACTCTCAAATACCAACATTGTCATGTTGTACATTAATTACCTACCTAAAGTTTTACATTCCTCCATTAAACCGAAATGTACAGCATCTCTGCAATTTTCAACTCTGGGACGTTTCATGCGGTTATCCAAACGAGTCTGTGCTTTTTTTACGGGAATATCCAATCTTCTAAGTCCAATTTTGAGGGCATCCTTTAAATTTTCTATCTCGGCAATTCTAAAGAAAAGATTAATTAACCGTTATTTACGATTCAAATTATTTTGTCACCATAATTTCAATAGATGAATAATTGTTTATTATCGTTGTGTTAAATTTTTTTTTAATAGCTATTACCATTGTAATAGAGTTTTTGTGTTTCGAAAATTGATACTTCATTTTAAAATTTATATATAGAAGTCATCAAGATTAACGTTTTAACAAAAACTTATAATTTAAAAAGAAACTGAATAGAACTATTTTCGTAACAAGAAATAAACAAATTTAATGCACAAGAAGGATTTTCAAACATTATCCCTCATCACTGATCAAGCAAAAACGCCAGTATTTCCATTATTTTTTTTAAATAGATATGTTAAGGGTAAAGTTAGATTGACGAGTAAACCTAGGTTTACCCGGGTAAACTTCGAAATACCCAGGAAACATGGGTAAAGTACGAAATTCAACTAACATTATACATATTTCGGGCTTTACCCGGGTAAACCGCGTTCTATCCGATTTCGTTTGGTTAAAGTTGGGTGTACGAATTATTATTGCGTCATCTTTTGCCACGTGCAGTCACTTCGAAAATGGCAACCGAAGAAAGCGGTCACACGCGTTTAAGACAGCGTTTTAATAACGTTTTCAATGAGTTGGTGTCTTCCAAAAATGTAAAGAGTTTTTATTTTAGTAAGGACCAATACCAAGAAATGTTCAAATCAGTCAAGTTGGCAAAAAATGTTAAAACCAAGACTACTTTACAATATCGAAGGTTAAAGCGATTTGACATATCTTCTGTTAGAGGTGTTGAAAAGCTTATCGCTCGTGTATCATCAGGTGAATCGAGCATAAGGTATTACGTTACAAATGACGAAATGTTTGATATTTTGGTCTGGGTTAGCTTAGAATGACGAGAAACTCGGAGAACTCAGTAGTGGGTTGCCATATTTTCATATAAATAGCGCAATTTTGTCGATATGGGTTTATTATAAGTTATTATCCTGACTGCGCCATTGTAATAAAATATCTCCAGAGATAAGATTAGCTTTTATTATCAAAATTGTGTCAGTGTCAGAGTGACAGAATGACAGACTATATTGAATTATACAGTACGCAATGTACAGCATGTCCTACAACTATCACTACACTTACTAATTTATTATACATTCTTTTAGTTGATTAATAATCGATAATCATACACCATATTTGACTAATAACCAATAATCATGCTGGGTATATTAATACTGTAAAATCTAGCCGACAAGCTTGTCATGTTTTGCTATTGCTTTTGTACTGTATCTGTAAATTGTTGAGCAGTCATATTTTATTAATTCGTGATTCCCAGTACCACTCGATCATTGTATTATATATGATAACATTGCAAATAATGTTTATTGTTATTATTTAAATTATCAGTGAAGTAACTTTTGCAGGCGACATTTATATTTATAATGAACTATTAATTTCTCTAATTCAGAACTCCCTTTAAATTCGCTTATGTCGATTTAAGTAATCGTCCAGTCTCCTATGTTAAATTTCTAGAAATATCGGATGCGGTGCCGATACTTAGTCTAGTCTAATCGAGAACAACTAGAATTTTCAAAACAGGTCTAGAGTGTCGCTGTGAGCAGATTAATATTGTTAATATAAATTGGTATATTTCATAGGGACAGTATTGCTATTTCCTAAACGGTAACAGATAGAAAGTTGGTTAAATAAATGAATTTAAAGAAATGACAATTTTAATTTTTTGCCCGATATTTTGAATCTCCCTGTAGGTATTAAAGGTTTCACAAAACTGCGCAACTTTTGTCGAATTTAATCAACTTTCTATCTGTTACCGTTTAAGAAATAGCAACACTGTCCGTATGGAATAGTAGGGACCCTGTATATGCAAATATATAAATTTAGTATCAATAAATTAGGCCATAAAATAAATATTCTTTACATAATTTACTAGAATAGAATTGATTAGAATAGAGAATTATTTATAAAAGACGAATATTAGAATTTCATTACCTTCTTAGTACTGTTTTTAGTTCATTTTCCAATCTATTCAACATTTCCCGATTACAAGCTATTCTCTTAGCAAGAGCAGTTTCTGCACGATCGGCTTGGCTACGCAAATCTCTTGCTGCATTCAACAATATGTTATTTACTGTATTCCTTAGTGTTGCTGACCTTTGTCTAAAAAAAATATAGTAATGTGAGCCATTTTCCGCCAATCCAGTCATGCTCTAATCTTTTAAATCCCTCTGCCTTGTTTAGGCCTTTCTACGACTCCATTTTTCCTTAATCCCAGGAATATTTGATGAAGGAGATAACCCCCCTTTACCCAGGTATAGGGACGCCTATGGACACAGAGATCGGGTATGAATCATTCATTCTGGAATGTACTAGAACCTTTATAGGAGAATATTCGGATAAATGGTGAGAGCGCTACAATGGTAAATAGACAATCGAAGAATTTGGTGGACGTTTCTGAAACGCCTTCGCCAATTATATAAATATGCGTTTACAGTTGCTAGCCGGATAGAAAGATCCCTGGACAATAAGGAGCCCCCTTAGGTGTTTTCATAGACATAGAAGGTGCTTTTACACTCACTAACGAACAGGAATGTTCCACAAATGGTTAGTGGGTGGATACATAACATGCTCTCAAAGCGAGCAATAAACATAAGTGTAGAAGATGTGAATATAAGAGGCTTGGTTGCGAGGGGATGTCCACAGGGATGGGTGCTATCACCTCTAATGTGGAATATGGTCGTCGACACCCTCATCAGCCGCCTCAATAATGACAGTCATCACACAATAGCATATGCAGATGACCTGGTAATTCTGCAAACAGGGAATTTTGACAACATACTCTGCGAAAGAATGCAAGTAGCTCTAAAAATTATAGAACAGTGGTGAAAGGACCATTCACTGTCTATCAATCCTAAGAAGACAGAAATGGACCTTTTTACAAGGAAAAGGATGAAAATGGAACTCCTAAACACAAAACTAAACTTTGCAACTGCTTCAAGCGAACATAGACTCCATCTCACTGAGATATATCTTCCATAAGCCATATAAAGTTATAATATAACAAATAGAAGAGCCAGAAGTGGCAGGTACGATTTATATCTACACCAACGGTTCTAAAACAAAACAAGGCGCAGGATGTAGAACATACTCCAGATTCTTAAACCTAAATATAAAATGGGCTGTGAGCAATAGTGCCAGTGTAGTTCAAACAGAGCAAACGGGGATTCTCATAGCAGCAAAAAATAAATAACCAGAAACAATATCATTGGAAGGAACATGCTCATCTATACAGATAGCAGACAAGCACTACTCACCCTGAACAGACCACGAATTTACTCAGGGTTAGTACTAGAATGTCGCGAATCTTTGGCCGAAGTATTCATCAACAATGTGGTCACCTTAAGATGGATCAAAGGTCACGCCACATCGAAAAGTAAGCGTCTTGCTGATTCACTAGCCAAGAAAGCAGTCAACCAAATACTTTTTGTACCTGGCCCTTCTGTTGGCCTGGCATAATCGGTAGTGACACCCCTTGTGAAATTCAAGGAAAGATGGGATGAAACAAGAAACTGCAGAGTTGCCAAGCATACTGACTGGTCATTGCTAAATACGGAAACATCTCCATATCATGATGCTGTGAGAATCCGCACTCTGCAGAGGGTGCGAACAAGAAGATCAGACCATCGAACATACCCTTTACGATTGTTCGACGCTCTCATATATTAGAAGATTTGTGTTCGGCAAGTATCGACTAACACCGGTCGATATAAGAGAAGCTGGCTTACGAGCTAGGAGGTGCCTATCATCTTAGGAGGATGCACAATGGGCCTAATGCGGCCTAAGTTCCGTGGGATAACCTACCCTCCACACGTTACAGATACAGAGATGCGTTTACAGTTATGGACAGTTAGTTGAAGTCGAGTCATAGTTGTGAGAACATCGATAAAGTAAATGTGATATAAATTAGTATAAGTAAATTGATAAATAAATTAGAAATGTGAAATATAAATAAATATAAATAATGCTTAAGTATAATTAAATTAATTAGTACATAGCGTAAATAAATTATGAATAAACAATCGTTGTAATATAGTAAAACCCCGGTTAACCGAATTGGATTGCAAATCCAAAAAACTAGATACTGTACGGAAATAATCGTGAGAGGCCTACACAGTGCTCGTTGGATGGGACCAAAAGAATAGACAAAAATTACTAAATTTTTGCATGATTATTTCAAACCTTCTTTGTTCTACTGTAATAGTAAAAATGTAATTCTAACTTTAATAAAGAACTTACAGCCTGCACAGAAAGTTCTAAATTCACTTGATATCACTAAATATTATGTATCTAATAAATAGATTATACAAGTTCATGGTTTAACAAAAAAAAAATCATCCGAAATGACTCGTTCCCTTTAGTTTGGTTAACCAGGGTTCTACTGCATAAAATATATGATTAATTTGAAGAAGTCAAAGTTTCGATATAAAATTTTACCTGGTAGCTTCTCCTGCAATTACGGTCTCCCTGATAAAATGCTCCCAAAATTCGGGCGTAGATTGTTCATCAGAGAAGCGAACCGCTCCTGGTTTGAACATCAATATCGTAGACCTCGTATTTAAAGCCATATTGGTAGAATCTATTTCATGAGCGACCTACAACAAATCAAAAATTAAAAAAGAAAGTTATTGAGAGTTATTAACTATTTAGCAAAATAATAAAATTCTAATATTTTAGCATCGTCTACCAGCTTGTCACTCCAATCGTATTCTAATCGACCTTTAGCGGTTTTGTCCTCCATGATTTGTTTGTCTACATCTTTTAAAGTTCTTGTCAGTAATTCTCTGACTTCATTTATCAAAGTCACTTCTCTAATTAATTCATCTTCAACTTCGTCTCTAACCAAATCTGTGTCGATTCTACTCGTACGACGATCAAGACATTCACCTGAGTTTCAAAAAGTACTTGATTAGTTACCTATTACTTATCAAATTAATTTTTCTTTAAACTCAAAATACATTTATTTTTTATCTTGACAACATACCTGCAATAGATTTTTGTAAATTCAGCACGTTAAAGGCTTCTCTCAATCTATGTCTATCGTTTTCCATGAAATAAAGTTCCTCGGTAGCTGCTTCTATCGCTCGTTCCGCTTCACACTTCCATCTGTGGATTTCCAACTCCCTTTGCTGCAATCTATATTATAAAAATAATATTTAATGATATTTTATTATTAAATGATATTTAATGATATTTAATGATATTTAATGATATTTAATGATATTTAATGATATTTAATGATATTTAATGATATTTAATGATATTTAATGATATTTAATGATATTTAATGATATTTAATGATATTTAATGATATTTAATGATATTTAATGATATTTAATGATATTTAATGATATTTAATGATATTTAATGATATTTAATGATATTTAATGATATTTAATGATATTTAATGATATTTAATGATATTTAATGATATTTAATGATATTTAATGATATTTAATGATATTTAATGATATTTAATGATATTTAATGATATTTAATGATATTTAATGATATTTAATGATATTTAATGATATTTAATGATATTTAATGATATTTAATGATATTTAATGATATTTAATGATATTTAATGATATTTAATGATATTTAATGATATTTAATGATATTTAATGATATTTAATGATATTTAATGATATTTAATGATATTTAATGATATTTAATGATATTTAATTATATTTAATGATATTTAATGATATTTAATGATATTTAATGATATTTAATGATATTTAATGATATTTAATGATATTTAATGATATTTAATGATATTTAATGATATTTAATGATATTTAATGATATTTAATGATATTTAATGATATTTAATGATATTTAATGATATTTGATGATATTTAATGATATTTAATGATATTTAATGATATTTAATGATATTTAATGATATTTAATGATATTTAATGATATTTAATGATATTTAATGATATTTAATGATATTTAATGATTTTTAATGATATTTAATGATATTTAATGATATTTAATGATATTTAATGACATTTAATGATATTTAATGATATTTAATGATGTTTAATGATATTTAATGATATTTAATGATATTTAATATTTAATGATATTTAATATTTAATGATATTTAATGATATTTAATGATATTTAATGATATTTAATGATATTTAATGATATTTAATGATATTTAATGATATTTAATGATATTTAATGATATTTAATGATATTTAATGATATTTAATGATATTTAATGATATTTAATGATATTTAATGATATTTAATGATATTTAATGATATTTAATGATATTTAATGATATTTAATGATATTTAATGATATTTAATGATATTTAATGATATTTAATGATATTTAATGATATTTAATGATATTTAATGATATTTAATGATATTTAATGATATTTAATGATATTTAATGATATTTAATGATATTTAATGATATTTAATGATATTTAATGATATTTAATGATATTTAATGATATTTAATGATATTTAATGATATTTAATGATATTTAATGATATTTAATGATATTTAATGATATTTAATGATATTTAATGATATTTAATGATATTTAATGATATTTAATGATATTTAATGATATTTAATGATATTTAATGATATTTAATGATATTTAATTATATTTAATGATATTTAATGATATTTAATGATATTTAATGATATTTAATGATATTTAATGATATTTAATGATATTTAATGATATTTAATGATATGATATTTAATGATATGATATTTAATGATATGATATTTAATGATATGATATTTAATGATATTTAATGATATTTAATGATATTTAATGATATTTAATGATATTTAATGATATTTAATGATATTTAATGATATTTAATGATATTTAATGATATTTAATGATATTTAATGATATTTAATGATATTTAATGATATTTAATGATATTTAATGATATTTAATGATATTTAATGATATTTAATGATATTTAATGATATTTAATGATATTTAATGATATTTAATGATATTTAATGATATTTAATGATATTTAATGATATTTAATGATATTTAATGATATTTAATGATATTTAATGATATTTAATGATATTTAATGATATTTAATGATATTTAATGATATTTAATGATATTTAATGATATTTAATGATATTTAATGATATTTAATGATATTTAATGATATTTAATGATATTTAACTATATGACACTACATTAAACGATATTTATAATAGTCCAGGATCCGTAAGTAAGGTTGACCTTCATCCATCTGTTTAATGGATAAAAGTTTTTTTTTATTAGACAAAATATGATTTTAAATATTCCGCAAATGGGTTGCCTAAGAAAATACGGTCACGGCCATTTTTTGCTTTCCTTTCTGTGTACAGATAAAATAAGTATAGGAATCATGATAAAAGTTGCTTATGTCATTCTCTATTATTTTGTCCCATACATGATTTCCGTAAAATGAACCTAATTCGAGATATTTGAGGAAAAGTGCAAATTTCGAATTTGGAAGACAACTCAAAAACGGATAAAGAGAAAAACACCAAATTTTAAACTTAAGCTTTAATCTATCCTGCGGTGAGGTGATTAAAGTTTGAGCATAGTCGAAGCATCTGGGGAATACTTTACAGGGTGTCATTTTTTTTTATTTTAAGAAAATAAATAGTCTGGACCGTATTTTCTTAGGCAACCCTTTTGTGGTATATTTATATACATATTTTATTTAATAAAAAGAAACTTTCATCCATTTAACAAATGGGTGAATATCGACCTTATTTCGGATCTTAGACTAAATATAATGACATGTATAAATACAGCCTAGTTATTTAACTGGCCTATATAGATGTTTTCCTAACAAAAACAATCTTGTTGACTGACCTTTTGGTGTTGTCCTCTTGATTTTTGTCCGCGTCAGCAAAAGTTTGCTGAAGACATTGTCGACCATTCCAGTCTATCAAATTTGCTCTGTGTAATTCTAAAAGAGTCCCATCTAATGTTTTTTTATTGTGACCTCGCCATTCACCTTCGCTGTATCTTGCTATAGAATATTTGTCCACTATAGGTCTAATGCCTACAAAAGGTATTTTATAATTTCCTGAGTATACTCTCAACCATAATTTCTTGACAATTCACAATTAGGTACATTTAATAAAAAATAAATGGGTAATACTAATTGAAAAACCCTAATACTGAATATTCGTTATTTTTAATGTAATTAGTGTTGTAATCTTTATTTTTAAGAGGGTCGCCAGTTTTTTAATATAAAATTTAGTCGGGAATAAGAGAAGTATTTCAAGTGTTACCCAAGAAGTTCTTAGAAATGTGAGTCGGACCTTTGAAAGCCCTCTTTTAGGCCTCCATAAATACTGTTAAAAGCTACTTTAGCATCTTTCTAATTAAATAAAATCTACAAAAATAATAGTTAAACTAACACCATACAGTAATTCCATAGACATGCTCACAGGACACTTCGATTAGTTTTGGTCACAAAAAATATGCGAAGTAGATTTATTTTTTGTAACTTAATTTTTTTTTATATGTTACTTTGTTGTGGAAGAAAAAATTAAAACAATTTCGTTTGACAGCATCTCTGATAACTAAAATTTGCTTTTTCCTAGATTTCTATTATTAATATAAATCTGGCAACTAGGTAATGATTCCAATCGTTCCAAGTGGACAATTCGACATGCGCAGTAATATCCCCTTAAACTAAAAGTTTTTTTTTACTTTTTCACAAATGGATCATTCTAATGACTTTGGCAAAACAGATCAATGTAAAACCAACACTAACCTCGCTGGAAAAGCTTTAAACCCAAACCTTACTTAGGTTTTACTTTATAAAAATAATTGAATATTTTGAACACAATCGTGAGTAAATTAATTACCTGTAAGTCCAGACAGTGGTCCCCAATCGACCCTTCCTGTAGCCCATGGCCCTACTGGTCCCATGCTCTCCTCCATAACATGAGCAATAGAGTCCTGCGGTTGAGGTAAATAGCAAGGTAGAGAACTATCATCTGTGGGTTCTGGTCGATGTTCACTGGGTACTGGGACTTTAGTAGAAGGATCTGGGTGAGATGGATGAGATCTTCCTACGGCGGCATACATCGCTTGGGCCGTAACGGCAGGGTCGCTTTCTTTTAAGTAACTTTTTAAAAGTTTGTCCTGTTCTCCTGAAATTTTTCAAAAAAGTAATGCAAAACAAAAATTAGCAGCTCAAAATGGAGAATTCAATAGTAATCAATAATGGAATATGCATCTCATATCTTATCGCACCGCGCAAGATCGACTAGTGATGTAAGAATATGTATCCAAAAAGCCGTTGAATCCGAATATTAAGCATCCAGATATTCCGGAATTAATGAGACTAATATGGATTTCGAATGGAAAAGGACAGAAACAAAATCCGAATACACGAATCGGGGCTTCATGCAGTGTTGGATTGGGCCGTTGATATAAAATACGAAGAAACCCCGTACATAATACGTGGTAACCTCAGAAAAGTATTTTTTTTCCGTTTAAATGAATCGGAATATGAAAAAAATTGATAGGTGGGCCTTTCTTCCTCCTGAACCGGTAAGCCCTGGAGGTTCCATTCCCACACCGATTTCACGTACCTATTGAATATGGATACGTATCCGGATGATGATTCCGGATCTCTTTGGTTCTTAATACGTATTATTTTACTACGTATTATCCGAATACTAAAAAGATACGGATATTTACAACACTAATGGAGGCCCTATATATTCTGATATTTCCTGCAGGCACAATTCTGATCTAAAGGCAAGATTTAATCAGCTCATTTCACTCTTCATCTTCACATTAGATCGGGCACTTCACGTTGAGTGGACTGAATCGATCAACATTACCTACAGATCAAATCTCACAAAAATCGTAGCGTGTAGGGTCCCTTTAAGTTCGTCGTTTCTCATGTCGTACATTGTTGCCACCGTTGCCACATGTATGATATAGCGAATATATTTAACAATCCTTTAGATGTACATACCAAATTAATAACTTACTTTTCTCTTTACAAATTTGAAATCCCTTAGGAATTAAACCCCTTTGTACCGGGTCGGCTCCTGGTAGACAACATATTGGTGGTTCATTGTTCATATGGCATGGTGGTATTCCACCCATAAACTCTTCGTCCATTTTTTTAATTTTCGTTAATTTAACTTCCTTACCAGGAACAGGATCGGTCTTTAAATCTGGCTGGAAAGATGATCCAGTTGTAGCTAAAGCAGGAGAGTCGTGCACCCTCGATTTTTCGTTATAAGAAATCTAAAAATATTAATAAAAATGTACCACGGCGACAACCCGATATACATATGTGTGTATATAAAGTTGCCTAACCTTTCAGTATGATTTCTTTGAATCGATATACGAATTGTGATCGATGCTAGGATATTTTGTATTTTATATTCGTGATTTTAACTTTGTTCAAACTTGGTTTTCTTTGTTAATTTAATGTTTAAGTGTGTAATTAAACTAATATCACTAAATTTTAACGGTTTAGTTTTATTGTTTCCAAAAAAAGGGATTATCGAACTTAAAATACCTACATAGCAACCATAAGATTTCTCTGCTATAAAATCTAATTTTCTATCGCTTAGATTATGGTATTCTCTAAAGCTAGACAATGTCATACTTATAAATCGTAAATGCTGATTATTATAAAAATAAGGTTTGGATTTAAATGTCATTTTTAAATTAATATAATTAATTATTAATTAAAAATACACGCAATAGTTAAAAAACAACTGTCTAGGGTCTAAAAGCAAGCTCTACTCTCTACTAGAATATATTGAGGCCAATCTTAAGATTATAACAAATCGAAAATATTATACAGGTCGTTAATTTTCCAATATTGACTCGAGGAGAACGGTATCGGTATAGAAACACAATGCTATAGCCGAATCGCAATATTCCCTCCTTGCCATCAAAAGAGCGTAGTCAAGCCAAGTTATCCTTGATGCCTCATAAAATAATATAATTTGTTCTTTTTATGAGAATGTATTATAGGTAGTATTACTGGCTGCATTATCTGATGCTTGAGAAGCCAGGAATACATTGACAATAGTAATTTATTATTCATATTTATTATTTAGTTAAAAGATATTTTTTAACTCAATATAGTAACTTATTCTTATTAATTTTTTTTTCCTTGAATGTTTTACAGAGTTTTTTTCCGATTTCTCAACTCCCAATCCGCGTGAATAAAAAAAAATGTTCTAAAACTAACGCAAAATTTGAAATCAATTTAATAAATATGTATTACTGATTGTATATTTCACTTCTACTTACATCAGGTTTGGGAATCGTATTTGTACTTAACCAGTCTTTGTTTTTTGGTTCTTCTTTGGCAGCAAAATGAGCTAAATGAGGACAAGGGCCACAACTCCTGGGAGGATATTCTGCCATGGTAGCAGTTTTGTCGATTAAGAATATTATTTACAAAACAAATATGTTTAATCAATAATTCAGAAATTATATATACATCAGGGCTGGTATACATATATGTCAATAAATAATGACAAATATGTCGATGGTGATTTTGCCAATTTAGGGGAGTGCGTTTTTTGTTCATTCATGAACAGTCAGTGTTTGCATGACATACAGGGTGTCACCAAATTTGCGTTCCACAGAACCTAAACTGAATACCTACTCATCGAAAAAAATACTTGCTATCGAAGTTGAACTTTCTGCAGATTCTGTAGCTGAAACAAATATTTTTTTTATTAATAACTGGGAGTCATATATTAACATATACTGCAGTGAATAAATAAACATAAAAAACTTGTCACTGGAGCCCTTAACAATACCTGAAAATATAACTTGATCTTAAATGAAATAGAAAATTGTTTTGGTGTACCTCAGGGAAGCGTGTTAGGTCCTTTTAATCTTTTTATATTGATACAAAAAAGCAAACGCACTGCACTAAAACCAAATTCTGTACTTGCGTTGTATTAGTCAAAGCAATAAATGTAATTATCTATATCGTATTTTTATTGTTTGTTTTCTATTATTCCAGGATACAGTCCAGCTCCAGGAGCACGAAACAGTGAAACCTGCGTAGCCCATTGTCCAGGAGGTTGCCCTAACGGTAATTGTGCAGCGCCCAATTTCTGCATTTGCAATCCAGGATTCATCAAAGAGTCCAAAGGAAGTAATAATTGTATTAGAAGAGTCAGAAGATCTGCGATGCATTTCGATCTAGTTCCTGAAGCGGTCTTGGAAGGATTTTAAATCGTGAATAACTACTCATATTATATTTTTTGTTCGAATAAATTTGAGATATTTTATTTAATATGATATTTACACTTTACAAACAATCTTTTAGATGTCATTAAAACCGTTTTGTTTTAAGATATTTTTTAAATTATAAACACAAGACGATACAACGATATTACTATTTTTAATTTTGAATATTTTGACTGAAGAATATAATAAAGCTTTAGACAACTATGTTTGTTTTAATCCAAATGTTTTATTTTTAAACAATTAAAGGTAGGGTTTGGCTTGGTCTTTAAACAACACCTAGAACTCAAAAACCTAAAATTTTTAAGGCTGTCCTATCACGACAAAAATAAAATACAGAGGCGGATTTAAGGAGGGGGCGAGGGGATGCGGGGGAGCCCCCCCCCCCTCCCAGAGCCTTTCTAAATAAAGGAAAGTAATATTCCGTCTAAATGGATTTAACGTCGTCGTCTCCAAAACTGTGATTCCGTTTATTTTTCAAATATTTATAAATAATGTCCTTAAATTCTTTGTACCTTCATTTACAATTTCTGTAAAAAGTCTCTACTCTTGAACTTTTAAAAAGATGACCACATTTAGAACTTACCTAAGATCTATCATGACAGAAGATCGCCTTGACGGTTTAGCTTTATGTGTGTCCGTCAAAATTATTAAGACTAGAGATAAGGAGGCGAATCGGCCTTGGTCAAATTTCAAATTTCCGTCCCTATTTTTATGGAGTTCCAAAAAACTACTGTAGTTGGCGGGTGGCAAAATAACGACGTCTGTTTTCTATGCCAGTCAATGGGAATTAAAGTGATTTTTGTAAAATTTAGTGAAAAGAATAAAAATAAGCTGAAATAAAAAACCTGACTACAAGTAACAATGAGTAACAAAAAACGATAAAGCAGGATTTTCTTCGTGCCGGGTTGCAAAACGAGATATAAATCCAATATAAAATTAAAAAAATCCAAGTCTTAAAGCTCCTAGTGTAAGTAAAATAATGTATTTATTTCTAAATAATATATATTTATTGTAAAATAGTCACAACCCGTATCTTACGGATTGTAGTTTATTTAATTACAAAATTCTATAATAAAAAATAATAAAGTCATAAATCCTGACTTACAAACAACGACAATTACACGTTAAATTTAACTTACTACTCACAATTTTTTTCTGAACCGTAATCAAAATAGCATAAATTAAATAGCGAAAAGATTAACTGTAGGATTTATATTATGATAAATGTATTTAAGATAAATAAACAACAAACTAAAGATTGCTTCTAACGGGAATAAAACCCGCGCCGCGACATGGTCGTGACATGAGGAGTCGGATAAGTTGAACGCTCTATGAACTGATGTACCAGGGTTATGTCACTTAAATTATCTAATCAAATATGTAAATTAACAAGGAAAAAACAAAAAATAATGTAGTTACTTTAAAATTATTTTAATAATTTGTTAAAAATAAATATTTAAGATCAGAGTACAACAATTAATATTTACAATTTAATCAACAAATTGATTTTATTATTAATATGGACATTACAAAAATCAAGAACATTATGCGTCTAACATATATAATAATAATTATTATAATAATGTCTTTATTATTGCTATAAAAAATACAAAACAAAATATAGAAATAATAGTTCATCCTTTGTAAATGTTTAATCATTTACAGAACATGTCATAGATAAGTTCTTATTAAATTTAATATTAATTTATCTATGGAGCATGTTTACCACTATTAACCTTTAAACCTCAAACAACCTTTCTTAATGGTTATTTAACGAACAAGTGTATTAATAAGGGCGAGATAATTTAACGCTTTCGCTCTGCTCGCGCGTTAATGTTAGAGATTGTTGATCACCATTTTAATTCACGAGTACGTTACAGAACTTTTCCGTCGACCGTACTTTTCAAAAATAAAGATATCATACTTTTAAGAAATTAAATATTGACATACAATGACAGATAGTATTAATACACTTTCTTGATTTTAAATGTATATGTATGTTTGGTTGCCTACACTATAGGTAACTGTCAATATAAATGTATAATAATAGCAATGTACGTTGGGTTGCATATAATAAAATCGTTGATTAATAGAAAATCATTTATTAATAGTGATTATATGCATTTTTACTCATTTCGGCTGGAAAGCTATAATAAATTTGAATGTCATCAGTTTATAAATGTGCATGACAGGATTGAAGGTTCCTGCACATGCGCATGCAACTGACTGACGGTGACGTCACGTGGGACATAATTATAAGCATTAAATGGGATATAGTGTTTAAAATTCGATATTTTTCCAATTTTAGATTTTATACAGTTACTTAAGCTTTATTGGTTATTTTTTAATATATCTTTTACAAATATGAAGGTTTAAGGTAAATAATACTAATAAAAATATTAATTTTTCTCATAAATTATAGGTATTTTGTGACCTAATCCATAACCTGGCCATAAGATAAGTAAAAGATATAGACTAAAAATACAAGGTTGGCTCAAATTTGTACTTTCTGGGCGTAGTAGTTCTCTTGCAATCTCTTTTCTTATTATGTGAAATAAAAATAAGTGTGCAGAAACAAATTATTTATTTACAAAAAGAAAGTACACAAAAACATTACTTTTTACTTGGTAAATTTAAACATTTTTTGTCAAGTTTACTTTGAAAATACTCAAAACCAATTTTTCTGTTCATTTATCTTATTTGTATATATGTTCGTGTCCTGCTCATGCATGGCATTACTTCAGAAGGACCGTTGTATCGGGACAGAAAACTACTGTTTTATCTGCTTAAATTTTTAAATATCGATTTATTTTCTTTGCTTAATGAGGTCCGTGCACCTGGTGGAATTCAGTTTCCTTTTCTTGCGTTTATGTTTAAAAGGAATCTCACAACTACTTTCCTCAAAATGGATAGAGCAATTTCAGTTGAGTTCGTCCTTTCTTCGATAAGAATTTACCCATATTTTGTGGCATTCGGAAATATCTCCACTGCGCAGCCCGGCATTTTAAACATTAATTTAGTTCTTCCCTGTTATTTATAGAAAAATATAGTCACTACTAACACAAGAACATATAAATTATTTTACACTACTCAATCGAAAAGTGTCAAAATAACTTGAAAGTTCGTCCCGCATTACGTCATGCGCGGTTTGGACGAATTTTGAATCGAAAGTCAGCATACCTTTAGTATGTGCATCCTGTTTAAGACTGTTTAAGAAGTATGAATGGAAAATAATAGAGGGCCAAGTAGAGTTAAGATTTAAGAAATCTAAATCACAACCACCTATGCAGACTTTTTGTTGCCTACGATTTAAATACCTACTCATTAACTCTTGTGCGTTCTCGGCTGAAATCTAATATCAGTATCGTACATTTTTTGCCAGATTGAACAGTGAGCAACAAAGAAAAGCGTTCAGTATATTCTTTTATTTGCACCTCAACAGTCTCTATTAAACATTTTTGATAGTGTTGGTAAAATACTGATTCCTCTTAGATTTTTCATTTCGGTCAGTCTTTGTTTTTTAGGCAATATCTTCACAATCGCTTTCCCCCACATTGCTGGAAAAACGTTTTCTGTCAAGCAAAAATTTATTATATGGGTAATGTAATGTGAGGACAGCAAAGTCTAATAAGTTGTATGTTTCTGTCGTCACATCCTCTCGCGTTTGTTTTAATTTCAGATATAACTTTATACACAAACATATCATTTTATTTCTATAAACTTGCAATTCTGAACAACTAATTTATTATTATTGTAAAATACAAGTAAATTATCATTTGGTTTTTTATTTGGAATTGATTCTATAAGGACCGATTCCACCGTTGTGTTAAACGAAGTTTAAAATGACATTTTTACATTAACAATGTCATTTTAATCTCAGTTTAACACAACGCTTTGCATTGTCTGCATTTTTGGACAAAAATATTGCGTATTTGTGTCTAGTCTTCTTTTGTAGATAAATCATGAGTGAAACGGAGAATATACGTCGTGGTGGCATCTAGGGCACGTATAAAATGTCTTCGAATTCATAGCTGTAAATGTATGAACACTTTTCTACTGCAACTTTCGTTTTAGGTAGCAGCAATGTTTTTATTCATTTGAAAGCTTATGATATAAAATCATTATTTGGAAGTCTAAAAACACCAACCAAATGTTTTTATCAGTACATTTATCAGTTGGAATATTTATTTTTTGATAAATATAGAAAATTACTTACGTTGTCCCACACTTGGAAATAATTGGTATAATTTGTTTAATACAGTTCAAGGATTTTAAACACCCTTGTCAACATTTTTCTAATGACTACTTTTTAAAGTTATTTATTCGTCTTCGAATATTTTACCTAATAAAATTCAGCAACAGATATTTCAGAAATCAGCCAAAAAATAGAAATGTATGTATTTCAAATAATGTCTAATGAGTGCTTTAGATCTGATTCTTCATTAATTAATTAATTCATGAAAAATTTGATAAATATAACACAAAAACCAAATTTAATGAATATTCATGAATAAATGTTCTGTTTTCCATTTTTAGAGTTCAGAAGTACAAACCTACCAAACTATTTGTTCAATATTTGTTTTATTAGGTTTGTGGCTACAGGCGATAGAATTGTAATTTCCTGCTAATAGGCTGTATGCAATAAGTATTCAAACCTCAATTATTTACAAAAGTTGTATTGGTATACTTGTTAGTGATGGGTTTATATTGTATCCCAACAAACAATGACTTGCCGGAATATTGCTGGCCTTTTGCTGTAATTGAAGCAAAAATGAATGCGAGGATTAAAAAATAAAAGCCTACAGCATTAAGCTATATCAAGCTAGCGGGCACTCTGTGGCGGCACCATACAAGATCTGGTGGGTTTTTTGTAGCTTTTTTGTTACGCTATTTGCGAATTTGTAGCTTTGCCCAGGTCCGAAAAAAACAGCGGATCCGCTAGCTTGAATTTCCATAAATTTCATAGTAGCGGCACAGATTCAGACCCAGCTGGTTTTTCGTAACTTTTTTGTAGCTTTTTTGTTACGCTAGTCTCCCTTTTGTAGCTTGTACTGAACCTGAGGAAAGCGCGGATCCGCTAGCTTAGCGGATATTTTTAGCGGCACCAGCTCGGACCAGGCTCATTTTTTGTAACTTTTTTGTAGCTTTTTTGTTACACCTGTCTCCATTTCGTTGCGAGGCCTGAAGTGAGTAATAATCGTTTCTCCATGAGCATGAAATTCAAGTTTCAGCCTCTACAAGTAATATGTGCAACTCGATAGTGTGACTATTTGTTGATAGATGACACCAGTATTGCATTTCACGAATTATGGCCATCTTCCATCCAATGTACTCATTGAGTGGACATGAAGCCAGTTTCGGATTGCTGGTATTCACTATTCATTGTAATTTCTTACTCATACATGTTATTAATTTAGAATATTTTATGAATATACATTTTTTAGTAGACATTTTATCTCTACTATATAGCTGAATTAAATAAAATGTCTACAATATTCTAGGTATATTGGAATGCATTCGGTTTTATATTTATACTTCAACCATTACTGCTGGTCAAAGAGGCACTATCGAATTGTACCTGGCACATGGCCTTTATTCAGCAGTCAGTATTAATATAGTAAAAGGTCTGCAATTTTCCTTTAACTTTCCCATCAATAGACCATTAATTGCCAATATATTTATTTCAACACATTAAAAGGAAAATATGGAGGCCTTTAACTGGATTTGATGGCTAATAAAGCCCGCTCAACAAATTTTAAAAATCTTTACATTATAATTCGTTGCTCGTTATAACTTTTACCTATAATAAAATTTATTACAAATCATATTCTTTTTCTTTTAAAATATTTAAAAATGAAACTCCTATCGGCAACTTTTTTAACATACTTGTGCTGCTACTATAAATTAAACCATTAATTACCTAAACCAACCCTGGCATCCAAAACGCATGTTTAGAAGAAAGTCATATTTAGTAAGATTGATTGAAAATAATTAAAATTGGCAACACCTATGCCATACCCATTTAAAGTCCAAGGTCATAGAAATCTCATTTCAAAATCCTTTGATCTTTTGCCGGGTTTCGCATCTGTTGTGGTTAATCTGTGGTAAAGGTAAAGTCTATGGAAATGTTTGCTCTGGGTGCGTATGCTTGAAAACGAGAGAAATTAAAACTCCCCGGGGAATATATTCACTTTATTTTCACTTTCCCAAAAAATTGGTATTCTTGAAATAACGTGAAAGCCAAGGGAGGAGAAAGTAGATGGTGAAAATAAATACAGAGTTGCCAGATTGTTTTAGATCATCCAACCAATTAGAAACTACGAACTTTTGACAGCAAATGACACTGCTGGCATTTTAAGATTTTAAGTTTTTATGATTTGTTTTTATCGACAACGGAATTTTGACTTTTTCACGTATAAACATTTTAAATTGCTATTGTTCATTAAAAATAATATTAACTGTCGTTTTAAATAATTATCAAACTAGAAATTCAAATCTCTTTGCAATAATTGCAGTTTGAATATTCTTCTAAATGTGTTTAAAACTCTACGATTGTAGAAGGTATTACTTTCCTAAATAATTCATCATTTTAAAAACATGAGTCAAGTCCAAACAAATTTTAGAAGATGTGAAAGAGTTATTACTGTTGGAAAAGGGGAGTATTATACCTATAGTGCAAGGGGATAATTTTACACTACTACTCTTTATAATTAAACAAGTTGTTGCACCATTTTTTTCATTTTGTCTAAAATTTATCTGTATTGAATAAAAATTATTCTTATTATTTTCGCGTCTAAATCCATTTTAAAGGGAAAGTAAATACCACAAAGGTAAAAATATACCTGAAAACTACTAACAACATAAATGAGGTTATGTTATAGTAATATTTTTATTTATACAAATTCTGACACGCACTGCGCATGCTTGTGAATTGAATTCTCTCATTATTTTCATTCTCTCTACCTAAAAGTAGGAGAAAATTTTGAGAGAAAATTCTCCACCAATATTGGTGAATTCGATGTCAAGAATACGAATTTTTAAAAGGGAGTAGAAAGTGAGAATTTTCTCTCAATATTTCTCACTCCCCGATTTCAAGAATAGGCACCCTGGGGTAGTATTCTCGAATCACGAATACCGACATTCGCATACGTGTTTTACAATGTGTCTCACTTTGTTGAACGAAAACCAAGTGAGACAAATCATAAATCTCGCATGCGAATCTATATTCGTGACTCGAGAATACTACCCCCAGGGGACTGAAGAAAAATCATAATATTAAGTGAAAAATGGTATGCACAGTTATAAAAATAGTTTTAAAACGCGTATCAATTTTAAGATGCACTCGTTTTCCTTCATTTAAATTTAAAAACCTCAAAATATCAGGATGTAGACTGCCAGTTTAACATTTTGGGTATATGTGTGTTGCCTAACCAGTAGTATTTTATTCGAAATAGCTGTCATCTGTCAGTTTAGGCGTTGGCTTTTTACAGGGCATACACAGAACGATGTTTGTCGCACGCTACACTTTACCTTAACCAATCAACATGAATTTTTAACAGGGTAGGAGAATACATGTTGATGATTGGTCAAGAAAAGTGTAGAATAACGCGCGACAGACACCGTTCTTTGCCTGTGCCGCGTTAGGAAACGATAGAAAGTGTAAACGGAGTTTGACTAAACGATCGCGCCTACCGATCCCAGTTCTTTGATCGATGACCGATCTCCATAAAGTCCATCCTTCCTTCTCCCTCTGCTTGACAATTGTATATAGTATCTATCTCATTTTATCCTGTTACAACTTTCTAATGTCTTGCAAGTGATTCTGAATTCTGACTCATTCTGGGGCCTCTTATTATTTTCCTTCCTTTGCTGTCGACGTAAGCCTGATTTTGTAATTTTCACTTTTTCATGTAATTTTACCATTGCCAACTAGATGTAGCTTTTTGATCCACTCTCCTCTCTAAAATTTTTATTACGCCATATTGGTAGCCATACAATTTAACAAGGGATATGTCAAGTGTGGCTTCTATAAAATATATTTAGTGAAATTAGAGTTTATTAAAGCATTTCTAAACCTAACAAACCATTTGTAATAGCGAGTGACTGTAATAATTATATCAAAAATTGCAGATTAAACTGCTTCTATCAATGAGGCACTGACATTGAAAGGGATTATAAAATGAGCAGCAGCGAAGAGAGTGATGCCGGACCTAAACGTAAAAGGAAATTGAGAAGTATCGAAGATAGTCCTGCTAGTACTTCCAGTGGAAGTCCTGTTATTAAATCATGTTCAGCATTAAAAAAAACAAGAATCCATAATGTTACTATTGCTGCTACATCTGATAGCGATTTTAGTAGCAGCTCTAGTGGTAGTCCCATACTCACTAAACGTAAAATTCGCAAAGGAAAAAGAGTGGTATGTTATTTATTTTTTAAGTTAATATTTGACTGATTTTATTTGTTTAATTTATGGTAAAACATCTAGGGAAATTATAAATGAGGGGTATTTTGCTTGCTCATGAACTGGGGCTTTACATTTTGGGCTTGATGGTAGTAATTTCCACAATTATTATAAAAATTAGTAATGTTATTAGTTAGAAAGTAGTATCAGTTAATTGGTAGTTATCAGTCCCATTTGATTACAATTTTTGATCTGTAGAGAAAGGAAATAAAACAATTTGAATAATGGTTAAAACAAATACTTTGTGAAATTTTTACTTCTACATTAACTTATTCACACTATTTCACCACTAAATATTTACAACAATATTTACGAACTTTAACTAAATGATTTTAAGGTTTTTACAAAGTGCCAGTATCCATTTATAGCTATTTTGAAAGTGATATTTATTTGTGTTATTGTCATTTACTTGGTGGTTTAAAAAAATACAAGAAAGCAGTGCATTTGGAGAAATTTTCCCAATAATTTTATTTAATAAAATCGGAGGATTCTAAAAAAAGCAATATTTTTACCCTGTCCAGATCCAGTAGTGTTTTCTACATTTTTGTTAAAACATCCTCTTGTCTCCTAAATAACTATGCCACTATTTATAATTTGATTGTGCTTTTCAGCTCATATGAATTTAAAAAAAGTGATTCTTGTTAAAATAACTAAATAAAATGATGTATTTACTAACCTTAATATGTCTATTGGGAATGGGAAGACAGATGTAGCTTGAAATTTCATAAATAATCAATCCCTGAAGTTTGTATGTATAATTCATAGACCACATTTTAGAATATACCTAATAAGGAGTTTTTAACAATACCCCTATCCCATATAATCTGGTAAAACTAATTTAATGAACATAGCCGTTCCTAGTGACTTATCTGACTTCTTAAGTATCAGTTCTGTTAAATAGGTCAGTGACATTTTAGGGTTAATATTGAAGATACTGTATAAAGTTAATGTAGCAAATAATGGAACCTAATGCAATATTATTTCTATTATTATAAGTTACTGGATTATTTGTTTATTGACATTGTATTTAAATATTATTTAGTATTATGAATATTTAGTATTTTATTCAAATAAATTCATCCATTTATTTAACTACAAGCTCAGTTTGTTTCAGGGTTCGGAGGATATATATATCAAGTGATATATATCATGATATATATCATGATATTTATACCTTGATATATATCTGATATATTCGATAAATATATTTATTAAATTAAACATGTTTTCCACCATTCTGCACATCTGAAAATGTCTAAATATGCCCTTGTACAAAAGTATAATAACTGTAGCACAAACATCACCGCGCCAACTTTGGGATTTCCAGCTTCCCCACAATTTGTTTTGAATGAAAATATATACAAAAAGAAAACCAAACTTGACTGGGCATGGGAACCAGCCATATCTGAAGATTCTTAAGTTATTGTCACTAATAGGAATAATATTGATATTAATAATTCATCAGATGAAGCAGATGAGGCTATACCAATATCAATATTAACAAAATAATGATAGAATCTATTTGTTTTTTTTTCTTTTCTTTTTAACTAGAGTTATAAATGTTATAATAAAAGGTGTTGTTGTTTAGAATTTAGAATATAGGTTTTTAATTATGTGTTTGTGTTAAAATATTAATGTTAATAAAATAATGTTAAAAATCTGTTTCTTTTAATAATTTTTTTGTTTTTTCTTTTTAATTTGGATTAGAATAAACAGTTTTGTTTAGAATATAGATTTTTGTCAATGTGTTTGTGTTAAAATTTAAAATATAGTTTGTGCAAGAAAAAATACTGTTTTTTAATTAAATAATTAAATTTTAAAAGTGATATATATCATGATATTTTCGAACCCTGGTTTGTTTGTTACCTTCAAACAAGCAACACTGATTTATGTGCGCTATGAGTAGCAGTGATAAGTTTACTGTTTAACAACAACGTCCCTCAACAACATGCAAAGAATAGGTGATGGGGAAGAATTCCCTAGATTTATGAAGATAGATCAAGACATTTCCACATTAACGAAAAGAAAATACAACAAACTGCTAACGAATTAAATGAAGAATTGCTACCTAGATGAAATTATCAGAATATAAAAAAAAAAGATTAGTAAATGTGACACCTCCAAAAAACCAGTTGAAGATAATGAAGGATATTCCATAGTTTCTTATAAGAGTAAAAACAAAACCAAAATAATAATATTACAATAAATAAAAATACTGGGAGATCCATAAATTTCTCACCACACATGAAAGAGCTCCAACAAAAACAATTTAATAATATGCTCTATATTAACACCATCAATACCATTATTAATAAAATATCTGCTAAAAAGTGATACTGCTAAAGCTATATTGGCAAATACACTAAATAAATCGATTATTACTGAAACCCCTTAAGTCACATTTTGGCTATATTGCAAATTGTAGGAAAAATCCAATTGTTTGACATTGATTAGTTCTAAAAAAACTGTAAGTCGACACATTACATATGGGAAATATGAGAGGTTGTTTCACAGCATGTAGTTCTAAAACACCTTAAGTCATCGGGTGTTTTTCTCTATCTGAAAATGTTGAAAATATGACAGGTTGTTTTAGTAATAACCGATTAAAATATTTAAAAAAAAATAATAAAATTATGTAATATAGCAGAACAACACCCTACAACCAGACTTCAAGAGAACAAAATTCCAGCTTCTTAAGTATACTCTTGTGCTATTGCCTCCATTGAAAAAGAAATCCAGGTCAAAGAAAACTCACAAAAAAATGATCTCATCTAGAGGGGAATTCCACTACTGTAAAAGAATCATTTTAAAAAAGACAGACACTCCAAATAGAATTCACACCCCGATGAGCTCTCCAATAACAGTTCACAACAATAATAAATACAAAAGCTAAACAAACCCAAAACATTAACAGAGATTCATTAATAGAAAAACTTCCATTTATACGAATTAATGGACTTTTCGACTTTTTGAAAACCTTTGCTTGTGTTAGACTTTTGGAAAAATTGTACACAGGGTTTCCAAAATTTAACACTAAATTGGTTTAAAAGTTACCCATCAAATCGAACACAAGTTGTAAAGATGGCAGGTAGAATTATGTAAAGCTCCAAATTAAAATATGGAGTTCCACAAGGATCTGTTTTAGGACCAGTTCTTTTCTTGCTATATATTAACGATTTAACAAAAGTTAAAATATCTGGAAACTTTAACAGCAAAAAAAAACAAATGTAGTTTCATTTAAGTTTGCTTTTAATGATCTTGTTCTCAGCGAATGGACCATTGATAATGTTCAGTGCTCCAAATTACTTGGCCTTTATATAGTCATTTAAAGTTTGATTAACACATCAAGAACCATAACAAGAAATAGCTTTGGGCTGTTTTGAACTCCAGATAGTTACTAAGGAACTGGGCATCTCGATGGCAAAAACGGTTTATTAAGCTTTATTAGAATCCCATTTGATGTATGGAATTGTGTTTGGGGGAAATTGCTCACAGTATCTTCTGGACTAAATTTTTGTTCTTCAAAGATCACTGTAAACCTATATTTATTGAACTTCAAATATTAACACTGAGTAGCCTATTCATATTATTTATTATGGTGTACCTCTTACTCTTTTATATTGTATTTTTTTGTGTGTCGACATTATTTATAATTTTTTTTACTCTAGATTTATTTCAGTACCTCGGATGTAATAAACTGCACGATGTCATTCTAGTCAACTTTTCAGTAGAGCAGATTTTATATTATTTGAACACTTTTATTCTCAACAATTACATATATTAATAATTATATTTGGACAAGAAATGTAGTTAGACTCAATTATGTCACAGTATTTATATATTGTTTACTAATCTATCTAATAAAACTTCATCTTTTTTTAATTTTGATAATTTGTTCGTTTTTATGATATATTTCTGACATATCGTTGGTGAAAAGTGTTAACCCTCTAACTCCACTATCTATCGAAATAACGGTTTTGGTATCAACATAAAGAGGAAGAAAATCTCATCCTTCTGAATATGTCTAAATGTACATTTCTGTTTAATGTTAAATAAACAATATATACTCACAAACATTCACCCCTCAACAGGGAGTGCCGCAAGGTTCACCCTTGTCCCCAACTTTATACAATCTATATTGTCATGACATATTCAATTTTGATCAGAGAAATAACAATATAAACACGGATTTGTACATACTACAATATGCAGATGACACAAGCCTAATTAGTCACAATATAAATGTACATAAAGCTGTAGAAAGCTTACGATACCTAATTGATAGAACAGAATTATGGTTTAACAGATGGAGATTAAAACCAAACCCCAGAAAATCAGAATTCATAATATTCAACCACAAAAAACATGCCAGCACACCAACTATTTCCATAAAGAACACTGACATAGAATATGAAAATTCTGCTAAGTACCTGGGAGTACATATGGATCAAAAACTGAATTTCAAGCAACACACTTCTGAAGTAAAGAAACGATGTATAACAAGAGCAAAACATTTTAGAAGTTTAACTTATAAAAAAGAAGGCATATCCCAGAAAACTGCTGCTCATATCTACAAAACAATATGCAGACCTATACTAGAGTATTGCCATCCAATATACATAAATGCAAGCAAAGCTGCACTTAAAAATATTGAAGTAGCTGAAACAACTACATTACGATCCATCACTAAATCAAGACACCCAAGAAACCCATTACATAATCCACCTAATGCCCTTCTCTATGATATTACACAGGTAAAACCTATAAAGCAGCGATTAATAAATTTGACTCAGAAATTCTGTAAAAAAGAAGAGACTATAAATATACTTGAACCGCTATGCAGACTCCGTGGTCCACTCATGCATGTCAAGAGGAAGTTTCCTGAAACTACCGTATGGGAATATATCACATCACACTGGGACCTTTAAGACATAAACAAACTTGTGCAAAATTTAATTCATTGATTTTTTTTTTGTTTAAGATATGTTACATATTGTATATTATTATTATAACGAATCACAATGTTATTATCAGGCTGAAGGACTTTGGTCGATGGCCAGTTGGTTATGCCAATAAAGTACATTTATTATTATTATTGATGTCAATAAGTCCCAACTCAGCTCGGTTTAGATTGTTGCGGAAAAACGACTAACTTTTTTAGTACATGTTGTGAATACTGCTGAAAGCATAAGTACAAAAAAATTGAAAATTTTTGTCAATAAGTTTTTTTGTCCTCCTGTAAAATAGCTTGAAATGGACTTTACTGTCGATATACCTCCAACATGTCTCTGTGAATAATACGACTAACATGATAGTTAAAAACATTATATCCACATGGCGTTGTTTACCTCATAAGTTTATTGAACTAATGTTATATTTTTTTGAATAACTTGAAAATTTGGGAACAAATCTCAAAAATCCTCCTACGAGTTATTAAGACCATTCCTGAGCTCCAAAGTTGAAAATAAATACTTGGAGATTTGAAAAAGGCCTGTCATCCTTGTACGCTAGACAAGTGCCCTTTCCTCTAGACTTCTAGACCATCAAGACATTGACTGTTGACATTTCTAAACAGAAATTTATTGTGCTAGTTCAGACTCGACACAGTCTGACCCCTTTCTCAAATCTTCAAATACCTCTATAGCATCCCTATATATGAGAAATGCATTTATGCATACTAAGCCCATATCTACGTCTGCGTGAGTTGTTTTCAATGTACGTTAAGAGACGTAAATCTGAGTATGTTATTGTGGATTTAATAAATCGTAAATCCCAAATGGAAATCTAAAAAGTAAGAAATATCTTAAATAAGTGCCTGAATGAGTCCATCCTGGAATCCCAAGGTTGAAAACAAATACTTGAAGATTTTTACTTATATTTTTTGTCCAACTTTTATTGTGACGTCACTAATACATTGTGTAGTATACCCCTGGGAAGGTTTAGATGAGCTGAGTTTAAAACTATAACTTATAAAACTGCATTATGTGGATATAGTTCAGTTTACGTCTGAGGTACAGATTTATAGATCCTTATATTTATATTTTAATGCTTTGTCAGTAGAATTGATTTTCTCTGACAGTAACTAAATTGGTTAAAATACGACGTTTCAAAATAGCTAATTTCTAAAGATTTGAATTTGAAGATACATAAATCTTTTTTTTATATGACTATTTCAACAATTGTAAGTTGCAAGCTGAATTAACATAATATTCTTGTTACAGAAGATAACTGACTCAGATTCTGACAGCTCGGATGATTCTTCTGAAATAATTGGAAGAGTTCGTTTAGGGAAGCCTAGAAGACTTGAAAGCGATGACAGTTTTAGTAGTCAATGGGAATCTGATTATTCAGATGCAGAAAATGTTTGTCATCCCGAAACTAATGCATCGTCTACCGCACAAAATAACAATTCCGATTCGGAATTTAGTGATGGTCAATCAGAAAAATGTCCTATCTGTCTCATATCGTTTAAAATTCAAGAAATTGGAACACCGGAATCTTGTGATCACACTTTTTGCTTGGAATGTATTCAAGAATGGTCTAAAAACATGAATACTTGTCCAATTGATAGACAAGAGTACAATTTAATTCTTGTAAGGGACAGTTTGAATGGAAAAGTGACTAGACAAATAACTATCGAACGACCAGTTCCTCAAAATGAAGTTGATATATTTGAAGATCTTACAGTTTGCGAAATCTGCGGCTCGACCGATCACGAAGACAGAATGCTTCTTTGCGATGGATGCGATTTAGGATTCCATTTGTTCTGTTTGACTCCACCTTTAGATGAGGTTCCAACTGGTTCTTGGTATTGTAATGAATGCGGTGACTCAAATGAAACTTACAGTTTAGATAATGAAGTTTTTGAATTTAGTCTATTAGAAGATTATAACAGACATCCTCCTGCGTCTCTTCAAAGGAATAGCCTAAGGTAAATTATTAATTTTATTTTTGAAATTTCATTTTTGAAATTTCATTTTTTGTTAGGTTACTGTTTTTCGTGTTATTGAAAGTATTTTGTTGTCGTAATTTTTTACTATTTCTTAAGTTATATGTCAAGATTATTATACAGGGTGATCGTAAATGTCATGTTAATATGGCCTATTTTGAGACTATGAAGTATTAGTGTGCTTTAAATTTATTAATTTTTTTATATACAGGATGTTAAACATAACAATAAACTCTTTTTCATTAATATCCCAAACACTCTTTAGATATTTTTGATTAAATTGGACAGGTTTGTTTATAGTACTAAAAAAATAATGTAAATCTAATTGATATTTTTAACACTCTGTATCTTAAAAAAGGCACAAGGAATCAATATTGACATGACATTTAGGAATACACTATGTACTGATACTTTAAAAACATTCTCTTATTCTACTATTGTATTTGTTATTTAAATATGAAACAAGAAAATTATATAATAAATATTTTGCTGTTCATGGGTTATTATTTCCTTTGAAACTATGTAACTACTTTAAAATGCTATTTTATTAAAAAATTATATTAATTACAAAACCCAACAGACATTTTGGTGCCTGCTGTCAGATTTGATCTATCAGATTTAGTTTTTGAGTTATGCTATATGTACATTTCAGGATAATAATGCTCCAATAGTAGATAGTGAGACAGTTCACTTCAATTTTCCAGATTTTTCCACATTTAGGGAAATTTTTCGAGTAGATCTAGTAAACACCATACCCTCTTAGCCGAGTTACAAAGCCAATTTTTAAATTTGTTACCAGGTTGACCTTTGGGCCCTCCTCTATCAATATGGAGGGCCTACTGGAGAATCGAAATTGCATGTCAGTACCAATTTTATTATTTAAATACTTCTTACGGCTCCCTCTGGCATAAAAAATATGAGGACTGAATTGATTGAAAAGCCATTATTTCAATTACATATCTAGAAGTCCCATTCCGACTGTACCATCGTCATTGGTGCATATAAAAATTAATCAAAATTAATAAATAAAAATAAGTTTTGGCTTTCCGGGCATGAAAAATATGAGGAGTGTGAATACAACATATCTCGATGTCCCAACACCTCGACAGCCTAGTCCCCTCTTGAAATATTCTGTTTTGCTTCTATTTTGCATGCGATAACACACACACACACACTATTATTTCATTTATTTAGCTAGTTTGCTAATATAATCAAAATTTAGTAAGTAAAATGTGTGTTACCGTTTTTGGAGAAATATTTATTAATATGTGTCTATTAAATTATATGTGATTTTTTTTAAATGTAGTTACAGATTAATTTTTTCTGAGAGTATGTTATAGGAGATCTAGACCTTTAAAAAATAATAAATTTTGTGTTGCACTCTTAATAAAAGTTATTTCTGTTCCACATTGAATAACTGTGCACATTAGAGTGATAATTAAGCTTCTCTTTTAGGTACAACGGATGTTCAATTTTGTAAATAAAAATTAATGCATTCCTTGATAAGAGACTTTTGATTGGCATCAAATTCAAAATTTCAAGCATTAGATTAATTGGGAGTATATTTTGAACAAGATAGTATTCGCTTTGCCCTATTCTGCAGCGAAGTGAGGTAGACTGATAGCGTTATATAATACATTTAGTCAGTCCATTGTGATAAGCCAAATGAACTTCTATATAGAAAATTTAACTTCAAGCAATAATTTTGATGACAGTGTTGGAATGGTCTGTAAATTCACAAGTATTTGAATTTTTTTACTAACTATATAGAATTTCCTCCAATTGTGATACTACACACTGTTATAGTTATTGCTTATTAGTATACATTTTGTTTTATTTGTGTTGTTTTATAAAAACATTTTTTTATTTTTTTTTATTAATTTTTTTTAAGGATATTTATTTTAGTTAAAATAGTTTATAGTTTTTTCAAAAATGTTGGAAATTCCCCTGCGAAATTATGAAAAATACACCAAACCCCCAAAGTGAAAACAAGCCAAAGAAATATCGAAAAAGCTGAGAAATAAAGAAAAGAAAAATGAATGTATTGACCATTCCGACTAGAGCCGTCAGCGCCTCTAGCAAATGGGCCATCTAAGCACATAGCTCGATAATCATTTAGATTCTGATTCGACACACCACACATTCTCCTTCTTTCCCAGCTCTCAATTCTCCTTAAAGTCTCCCTTGTAATATCGTATAGAAGGACGGCAATATCGGATTGTACTAGGATAAATTTCTAAGATCCTTTATTTGTTTACCAGTGTTAAGTTTTCGAATACCCTCCGCCGTAAATGTGAAATGACAAAGTTAAGTGACGTCAGAAAATCGGTTAAGGTCCGAAAACTGAATTACAATTTTTATTTCAAAATTTGAAATAATATGGTATATTACTGGTTTGTCAATTCTCAAGTGAGGGACACAGGAAAAATATTGTTACCGAAACTTTTATAAAGGATCCCGGCATCTGGTCAGATTTTCTGAATTTTTTGGTATGCTGTTGTACTCAACCTAGTAACCAAATGTGTCAATGGGCCGAACTTAATTATATGACTAGTTTTTGAAATATGGGATGTTAAAGTTAAAAATTGTCGAGTTTTTCAGAATTTTTATTTTCAAATTTACAAGCTAGGTTTAATTTCTATTGCATACACACGTTTACTACATGTTTTAGTAATACATTAGTATAAGCGTACAATTAAAAATATTTATAATTACAGGGTGATTCACAAATGTATATCGGTAGTTTTTTGCAAAATCTCACTAATTATACTGTTACGTCAGGGAAACATTTTCAGAATACACTACTCAAAATATTACACAAGTTGTTTTATAGATGGAACCACCGCGTTTTTTTTTAAGATTAATTCAAAACCTTGTACTAATGAATTGGTTTTTGGAAAAGGTAATTCCACTAAAATATGTGTGCCTCTAAGCTTGAAATGTACCATTTATTTGTTGGAATGTATTATATTTTAAGAACAGTACAAAAACAACGAACACTAAAATTTTCAAATATAACAATTTTCTCAGTATATAACGATTACACCGTTTTAATAATAGGTTTAAATTATTTTGAATCCAATACTATGACCAGTTTTCGATATGTACTTTTGCAAACGCTCAATAATTTTACAGTTGTGCCACATATATTATTTCATTAAGTTAATATCTACCTGTTCACAATTTTAAGATTAAAAGATTTCACTATGTGTACTTTTTATGCATGGTGAGCCATGCAGCCAACCACCAAAAATAAATATATTTTGAAATTATTAAACGGAGACCTTACATTTCTTTAGTGACTTTTGGATAGACGATAGATACATCTTTATTGAATTATGAATCCTAACATACATACAAAAAAGGATTAAAATAATTTACATATAAATTTAAAACATTTCAAATGCCAAATAAAAAATAAAAAGATTTTACCTATACATTTAATGCCAAATACAAAATATCACACATAAATTTATAAATTAAATTTTACATTTTTATTTTCTGTATACAGATGAGGAACTATTTTCGCGATGATGTCTGTCTGTTACATGATTTCTTCATGAATGTTCAAGTAATTTTTATTTTATTTTTAGTCGACTTTTTTTCCATGTAGTTTGATCCACAAGCAATGGCGTTTACAGTTCTGAGCGACAAATTGATTTCTAACTGATTTCGAAAACATTTAGTGGTATTACCTTTCCCAAAAATCAATTCATAAGTACAAGATTTTGAAATAAAAAATATACTGTGGTTCTCTCTACAAAACACATTGTATATCAATATTTTGTCAAAATACCATATAGAATAGTAGTATTTGAAAATATGCTTCCCTTACGTCACAGTAGGATTAGTGAGATGTTACATACATTTATGGATCACCCTGTAATTATAAATATTTTTAATTGTACGTCTGTACTAATGTATTACTAAAACATGTAGTAAACGTGTGTATGGAATACAAATTGAATCTAGCTCGTAAATTTAAAAATAAAAATTCCGAAAAACTACAATTTTTAACTTTAACACCCCAAAAACTAGTCACAGGATTGAGTTGGGCCCATTTACACTTTTGATTAGACAAGAAGATACCAACGTTTCAGAAAAAAATGCCTGGTCATTTAACTATTTTGGAGCATAACATGTTTGTAATGATTAGCCATTCTCTATTTTTAATCTAATGTATTTTTGTCTGTTGGTTAATGTTAAAATGCATATTTTTTATCAACAGATTAATACCACGTACAAGACAAAATGAAAGAGTCCGTCGTCGAATTGAGAATAACCGTAATCACAATTCAGTGGTCGGTAATACATCGGCTTCAACCTTGTCAACGGATATTACCAGGAGTAGGCATATGGTTACAAGTAGCACATCTAGGACGCCAAAAAAACGAACTAAACGAAGGAAAACCAAGAAGTCAAGACAGAAAATTAGATATAGAACAGTTTATGAAGTCGATAAAGTAACTGGAGAAACGGTAGCAAGGAAAAAACGTATGAAAAAGAAAAGTAGAAGATCGCGGAATTGTGTCAGACAAATACCGAAACCCAAAACCGTTAAAAAGAGATTAGCTCAACAATTGGGTATATGCGCACCAAGAACGTCGACACAAAATCATCTTCCCGACGTTAAAATTCCAAACGTTCCAAGTAATTCATCAAATAATATCAGCGGAATGCGACATAGCGCTGGGATTCCCGCTTTACATCTTTTTGGCCACACTAACGAGCTCGATTACTTCTCCGAAGATAATGAAGATTATTCTCTGGGTTCTCAAGTTTTAATTCGTAGAGCGCCTAATCAAAGCGATATATCCACAATGCGCAGAACACTCATGCGCAAAAATCTAATAGTACCACCCGAAGTTGTTTCCAGTAGTTCAGATTTGTTAGGTTCTATTTTAAATACGCAGGAACAATTTTTTGCTCGAAACGCTTCGTACTCTTTAGATTCCAGCGGCAAATTCAAGGTCGAGACGAAAAAATCAAAGTCTAATTACATCGATGTAACTAAAGAGCAAGTAACGGCGAAAGAAACGCCTTATTATCCGAATAATAACAATAACAACAATAGAAACTACAACAACCGTTATAATCAAAATTATAGATATAATCAATATAATAATCGTTATCAGAATCAGAGACAGTCAAACAATTATTATAGTTCTTCTAATCAGAATAATTATTATAATTCCGAGCCGTCATCTTCGATGAATTATGGTAATTTTTCTGGTGGCGGCGATGAAAATGACATACCGCAGGATTATTCTCAAAGAACGCTATGCGCTACTGCGGAATCAAATTTACAAGGCAATGACGAACTAGAAGAAACGGGCGGCGATGAAGGAAATAACGCCAATAGCGAATCAGAATTAGACATCTACAGCGACATAGAAACTGTAACTACAAGCAGAGCAGAAGAAAACGATCCCAAACCACCTTCTCCTCCAATAATCTCGCATACCCCTAATACAGGTACTGATGAAGATAATAACGATAGCGATGGAGACATGGTCATTGATGACGAAAAAGTCCAAGAACAAGAACCTCAAAATATTTGTCATAGAGAAGAAGCTGCCGTTACTTCAACAGTCGGTATAACTGGCCAATTTGAACCGTCTTCGGGTGAACCAACAAATAGTTCGATGGAAATACAATCGGAAGCGGTGCAATCCTCATCATTGGACGAACATAAATATCAGTATTATAATGACGATTCTTCTTATGGATGCCCCAACGCGAGTGTTTATTCGCAAGAAGTAAAACCTTCGAACGATGAAGAAAACGATTCTGACGACGGCTGCCCGAACTTTAGCATCTATTCCAAGGAAAGTAAAACGTTAGCTCTTCACACGGATATAACTACAGATCGATTAGGCTACCGGGATTATCAAGTAGGAGAAATAAGTTCGTCGCCAAACATTGAAGAACAAGGCCAATCTATTGAACCTGTAGATAATAATCCTCAAGATTCCTACGATCCTGAACAGATATATAATTCGGAACCGGCGATCGAAGAGATTCAAAATAAAAGCAATCCCGAACAGGCTGACCCGGACCAAAGTTATGATCCAGAAAAAATATATGATCAAAATGACAGTCCCGAAGGAGATAATATTGCAGATCAAACGTACGATCCTGAAACGTGTCTTCATCAAGATGAAAGTACAGAAATAGATAAAGAAGATGCGGATCAAAGTTACGATCCGGAAAAAATTTACGACGAAGAAGAATCTATTGACAAAACTTGCGATTATGAAAAAGAAGTTTTCAAATATAATTCCTCTGTGGATAAATCGAATAGCGTAGATCCGGATGTAAGTACCGTCATCGGTGATCGATACGATCCAGCTGTTCCTTTCAGCGATGATTTAGATGAATCGCAAGTATTAGATAAAAAAGAAGCAGTACCAAGCAATCAAGAAAGCGATACAGAAAAAGGAGACGATCAAAGTGAAAAACTTTCAAAAGAAACTAAACCAATAATAAAAGGAGGCATTTTAGGAGGACTATACAGCGATTCGGAGGACGATGAAAGCGTCGTAAAAAACGACAGCGCTTTCGCTATAGCGGATATTAACCATATGACAGAAGATATAAGCGAAGAAGAACGAAGTTATACACCGTGTTTGGACGAAAAGTTCCAAAAGCAAGGATTAGAAGGTTTAGATACGGAAATGATTTCAGATGAAGAACGAAACGATTTTGATGAATCGCACGAATTGAAAACCGTTTCCGATGGAGGCGATGCTTTGGAAATAAACGCTAAAGAATCAGAATTAGATTTTACACGACCGGAAGATTACGAAGAAGGCGAAATTGTCGACAAGAATAAAGATAAAGATGTTCAAGACGACGAAGAAGAAGAAGAACCCGAAACAGAACAAGTCTGTGATAAACCCGTTGAAGAAAAGAAGAGCAAAAAGAAAGATAAAGATAAGGAAAAAGAAAGAACGTCAACAGAGGATAAAACTGGAAATAAAGAAAACGAAGCTAGTAATAATGAAGCATCGTTTAAGAAATTGAGTAAAAGCAATAAAGACCGTAATTACAGAGATAAAGAAAAACGACATTCCAGACCGAAAAGTCGATCTAAAGATCGCGATTATAATAAAAAAGATAGGAAAAAAGAAAAACGTAAAGAACTCGAAAGATATAACGTCAGAGCTATCATAGCAGAAAAACCACGTCCGCTAATAGCCAAAGATCAATTCGGTAGAGACATAAGAACCACTCCGAGTCAATCCAGAAGTCGCTCTTACACACCACCGATTCGAAGATCTACATCTAGACCAATTAGATCGCCGTCTAAAACGCGTAGATCGCTTTCGAGAACTCGCCGATCGTTATCTAGACGACGCAAATCGCCGTCGATCGATAAAAGTCGTAAAAGACGAAAATCCAAAAACTTCAGATCGCCCAGCAGATCACGATCTCGTTCTCCGATTAAAAAGAATTCCCCGCAAAAATCCAAAAAGAGGAAACGTTCCACGAGCAGATACCGAAAAAGAAAATCCGGAGGAGATAGTGGTTCGAAAAATAAAAAACGGTTAAGCAGACGTAGATCTAGATCGGCAACGCCGGTAACGAGAGCGAATTGGGAGCGAAGAGAATGGTCGCCGATGTCGCAAAACTCGCCCGCGCGGGCCTCTCCATCATGGACACCTCCTAGAAGAATAGATAACTCGCAGTTACTAAGAAACGAAAACCTAACAGTAACCGTCAATAATTCAAAAAAAAAGAGAGATAAGAGAAGAAAAGGAGACAAACGAAACAAAGAAAGTTTGGATAGTAGACAAAAGAAAAGAAGACGCGAAAGAGAAAGAACGCCACCACCTTCTAAAGAAGTATTCGCTTCCGGCGATAACATTTTGGTTAGCGTTAGTTTCAATAACGATAACGAAACCAGAGACGTATCTACAAGGGATAAAAGAAAGAGCGACGAAACTAAGAAACGTAAAGAAAAGAAAAAGAAGAATAGAAGAGATATATCGGGAATAAAACCCGTAGCTATTATAGATCTAGACAGATCACCGTTTAGAGAACTTACACCTTCTCCTAAACAAATAATCGTACTCACGGACAGTGATAATGAAGAGAACGACAACCTTACAAACGTTCAGAACAACATTTGCGATTCATCTCAACAAGTGGCGAGTCCCGAAAGAGGTATAGGACCTAAAACTCCGCCAGAACCGCAAGTTAAATTTTCTCTTACGGTTAAACCGCCTCAAGTTCGTGCAATAAATAATCCCCTTCACGATCCGGAAGATATGGAAACTAACGACGATCATGTCGAAGATGAAATAAGTTCAAGAATGGGTCCGGGAATTCATATAGGTCCGAATACACCGCCGGATCCACCAAATTCTCCTCCAAGCTCTCCAGATGCTTACGATCCTTTCGAACCTACAAAATCGAGGTCACCTACGCCCGAAAGACAAACGCAGTCTAAAGACAATCTTGATAATATCGATGGTAAAACGGCTTTGGAAATATTGGATAAATCGAATAATCCGATGCCGGAAGTGGTTAAATCATTGACGCCTCCATTAGCTGAAATACAACCAGCCGATTCGCAAAGTAGCATACAAGTTACTCCCGATTCGAACCTTGAAAAGTCACCGGATAGAACGGAAGGAATTCAAATGAAACCAGTCGCACAGACTATACCGTTTTCTTCTGTTCCGTCGTCAATTATTACATCGACGCCTATTCCTTCGAACATACCAGCTTCTAGAATAAATATTTTAAATTCCACCATTATCACTCCACCGGTTGCTTCTTCAATTCCTCAACGCATTGTGTTGCCAAATCAGATAAAATCGAGTCCCGTTAAAATATCTCCCACTAAATTCACCATAAAGTCAAATCCGATTAAACCAATCCCAAACAAGAATAACAAAGCATTGAGAAAGAGGAACCAAAACGAAGATAATATCATCTTAGATTTCGATTCTCCTTATTCGCCGGGATCCAGTGACTACGAAGACCTATTTGAACCGCCAAGCGATATTGTTACGAAACCAGTAATCAAAGGAAAGCCCAAACAATCTCAAAAACATAATTTGACAGCGTTCGATGCTTTGTTCGGTTGTTCCCCTAATTCGAATATGAAGCAAAAGAAAAATAAACTAATGAAGAAAAACACTACGTCTTCGAAAACGAAAACTGTCGGCGTTAAACTTGATGAGGATAACTTGAAGATCTTGGACGATCTACCTAATTCGGCAGTTGAAATGCAGGTAAAGGATAAGGTGAGTTTTATTTTCAAACCTAAATGTAATACCTTAGCCCGCACAAGCTCTGCTTTAAATGGTTCTTCAAACGTAAGAGAGAGATTATTATTAGGTATAGTAGAGCAGTCATTAACAATTTTCGATTAAAAGATTACAGCCATAAGTTATTTTACTACTGACAGTTGCCCAACAACCCTTTAAGGCAGTAGTTGTACTGTATGTTTGCTTTAAGCAGCAAGGGTTAACCATTTCCGTTTATGTTTAAATTCTGCTTAAATATATTAAAATAAATCTCCCATTTTTATTTGTCCTGTTTATTTACTGAAGAAGAAAATATAATTATTGGCCCATATATAGTTAGGATAGTTCTTAAGTAATTGTACATACGGGGTGTTCAGTAAATAATGTGCCATACTTCAGATCAGAGCTGGGGAGGATTCGAATCCTTTTTGAGGATCTGAGAGCAGTATTTGAATACTTAAGAAAAAAAGGATCATAAAGGATTCGTATTCGAATCACCAATATTAGTCTCGGATCCTTTTATAGACCAAACTGTGCCAGCGCGAAAGGTCGACTCAAGCTTTGACTTGTCGCGAAATGTAAACTAAAACAGACTAAGACTGAAGACCATTTGTGAATATTTAGAATATAAACGTAGAGTCCGATTACAATAATGTAGGTTTGTTTTGGTTCACGTTTTAGAATTGTTCCAGAACCATGCGCAGAACTGTTGCACAATAGTCCTTAATTCTGAACAGTTCTGTAACCATTCCATTTTTACTCGAAATCAAAACCCTGCCAGAACAGTTAAATGTGAAAAAGTAAATTATAAATTAAAAAAGAAATAACACACTGACCCTATGTCTAAGTAAGAAAGGCCATATAATATTGTAAATCGTAAATCAAATAAATAATAATTTATTCATAAAAAAATGTGTAACCCATCAACTGCTCCATTCTCATTCGAAAATTCCTTGTAAAATTCCAACACAAAACATGGCCAGGATCCCAAAAACAAAACTACTTGCAAAAAGCGCAAGCGCAAACATCAATTCTTAAACAGTTCTCGCTTTGGGTCAGAACCGAAGTTACTGTTCGAGAATGGTTATGGAACCATTCCCAAGAAAAACCAAAACACAGAACTTACAGGTTCGGAACTAGTTCTGGCGAAACCAAAACAACGAATATTTACTGCGCATGCTCCGAAGGTTGTGGAAGAGTTCTGGAACATTTACGAAAGTTAACCAAAACAAAGCTTACATGAACAAGGTACGTCATCAATTGGCGGAGTAATTCGTTGGCCATCGCCGCCTACTGGAACGTAGGAATACTTTTTTTAAACTAAACAACTAACATATTCTTTATTTATTGATAGTTATAGATGATTTATATTGGAAATTCGAAATAATGGTTATGACTTAGTGGTGATCTTCTAATTGTAATCGGACTTTAATAATCTACAAATTATCATTGAATATCAAACATAAAAAAATCCTAAAATTTAACACTTGCTTCGAAGGACAGATGAAAACTTTGAACTTTTGCTGCTATGTAAGGCCAAACAAAAGACATTTTTATTTCATTGTTTGTTTATTATTTTGTTTTTTGTATTAAAATAAAATAGATTTTTGTAGATTCTAATTTATTTATTATTCACATTCATAGAAAAAAAAATAGTTTATATTATTCAACATCTTCTTGTATCAACCATTTTTATACACGACATAGTCCGAAATAGACACATAGTTGATAGTAGACAATATTAGATTTGGAAGCATACATAGACAGTGATTCGTATTCGTGATCCGAAAAAATGGATTCGAATCCTTTTTTTTTTTTTGTAAAAAGGATTCGAATCTATTTTTTGAGGATTCGTCCCAGCTCTGCTTCAGATGTAGTTAGTTTGGATCAAATTAAGTTTATATAAGTCAATTTACCTTAGTACAATTTTGGTGGCTTAAGAAGTTACAGGGTGGGGAAACCAATTTTTTTTTATTTTATTTTACTATGATTCAATTATAAATATACCCAAAGTTTTTTTTTATGATACAAACGAATAGCAGCGTGTTTGTTTCATTTCAGGAAAAACTTAATTTGAAATAGAAAAAAGTTTTCCCTGAAAGTATACCCTTTTTAACCGACTTCAAAAAAGGAGGAGGTTATCAATTCGTCGCGATATTTTTTTTTTATGCATGTTCAGCGATTATTCTTTAACACGGTGTCCGATTTCAATGATTCTTTTTTTGTTAGAAAGGGGGTACTTCAGAGGTGGTCCCATATAAATTTAGTCAAAATCTAATAATTGGGTCCATGAGAAAATCCTCAAACTATTCATTTTTTATGTATGTGTAGCGATAATGCTTTACCACCTTGTCCGATTTATGATTCTTTTTTTTTTTGTTAGTAAGGGGATACAACAGTTTTGTAAATAGTTCATCTTCAAAAATTGTTTATTTTCTTTAGTTTTTGAGTTTTTTTTGAGAATTTCAAAATGGAATCCAATCTGACCATACATATTGTTAATGCCTAAATAAAGTTAATTTTAAATTTTAAAAAAATCACTAAAACATGCATTTTTTGAATAAAAAATTAACATTTTCAATCGGAAATAAATGAAAAATTTTGATTTATCGAAAAAACTTCATAGAACATTTTTTTTTTTTTTTTTTTTCTTAGAATACTTAAGTCTGTCGATATATGTAGTTTTTTTTTTATTAATTTTTACCTGAGAAGAGATGGTATCGACTTTTCTTCCTTAAGCCATACGAATCAAAACTGTGTAAGGTTCACTGTCAACGTCAGGGGCGCATATACGGGGGTGTTAATTACATCCCCCCAGAATTTTTACTTTTTATAGGTACTAAAATGTATTATCAAAAATAAAGTCCTCTACCACCCAGGCTTAAACTTTATTACCATTACGCTCCAGTGTCGGTATTGGTTCAAAGTTCAAAGACAGACATTCAAATAGTGGGCCCTTGAAAAGAACCCCGTAATACGTGGGCTGAGGACTTTTTTGTTTGCCCTCAATGGAATCAAAGCATGAGAAAAATACCTCCCAGACTTAAACTCTGGATGCTCCATTGGTCAACGAAAATGGTACAGCAGAACATTTCTAAAGACGCGAGTTTTAATAGTATTTGAAAATGGTCAGCAGTAAAATAATTTATGGCTTTTTAATCCAAAATTAGTAAACTTAGACCGGATCTACTTTTAAGGGCAAAAATTGTATATAATTTTATATTCTACAAATTTCATTATAACTTCAAACACAATTTGATGCATAAAAAACGATTTTCTTGACCTCTGAATATGATTATCTTTATGCATTTTCCTTTGCATAGTGTTTAGAAGACCAAACAAATAGTCTATGCAAATATTCAGCTCATTGTCTCTCATTCCGAGGTTTAATCCAAATTACACTGGTCTAATAATTATTTTGACAGTATATTTTATTAAACTTTTTTAGTTTTTGAAGAAATTAAATCGACAAGAAAGGGTCGTCGAAGAAGTAAAACTGGTTTTGAAACCGTATTACAATAAAAAGAGAATCAATAAGGAGGAGTACAAAGATATAATGAGAAGAAGTGTTCCTAAGGTAAAAACAGTTTTATAGCAATATTTTTATTATAAAAAAAAAGCGTAAAATATTTTTATATATTTGTGTTTCAGATATGTCATAACAAATCTGGAGAGATTAATCCCACCAAAATTAAGAATCTGATAGAAGCGTATGTTAGAAAACTAAAACATAGCAAGAAAGTAACCTCATCTAGTTCTGTAAATCCTCAAAAATAAGCTCTTTAATTTTTTTATTATTTGATGTACATATTAAATTATGCAATGAAGAATTTTATTAGTTGTTAGAAAATAATTTATATAATTAATTTAATTTTTGTGATTATCTACAATTGTATCTTTAAGTCTTAATTGTAAGGTTTTTAGGAATATAACTCAATAGCCGTAAGAATGTTTTTTCTGTTTACCAAAACGATCAAACCTTCAAAAACAAAAACTGAATAGCCCAAACAACTATAATATTGAGAAGATTACGATTTTTTCATAAAACAAGTAGGTTTTTAAAATTTGAGACCATATTTTTCAACATCTAATCTACCGATTATCATAATTTATTTTTCATAATTACACGTTTTTTTAATGAGCTAAATGTTGAAAGATTGTGTCCTAATGGTATCTACTAAAATTAAATGTAAAAGAACTGGTAGACCAAAAATTATAAATCTGAAAGAGGGTTGGTAAAAATTTCAGCAGTTTTAATATTTCTAAAGAATATCTGAAATATATACATAAAATGACTTCGATTTTACAAGATAAATGGCTACAGTAGAGTGAAAAGGGCTTAATAAATTTTTACCGTTACTGTGTTTTTTATGTTTAATCGAATAGATCACAATCTTATGTTCTGTAACGTTTTTATTGTCCTAAAGAATGGAAAGATGCATAATCATGAACGCTGCTACACGAGGGCAAGGGATTGTTTCCCCCCTGAATTTTTCGCCATGGCTTTCGACTACATCCTGCAGGGTTTTGACCCTACCTATAAGTCGCTCCCCCCGGAAATTTTTTGAACGGCGCCTATGTAAATGATCAAGAACATGAATTTCAGAGTGTAAACGAATTTGGTTTTGACTACTATCCTGTATCTGAGGGTTTAAGTACGAATTTCACCAGATAAATTTGTGAAGTTTGATCGGTTCAATGCGCTAGTTCAGTGATGATGTAATTATGGTTCCACTGACAATTAAAGTGACAGTAGATTTTTTGAGTGCGTTTTGTTTACCTGAATTATATCGTTTTTTTTTTTTCACTTTTATAAATATATTCCTAAGGTAAGTAGATAGCATGTATCAAATATACAATCGTTTAGTTACCAATTACATACCTTTAAACTATTTTTTATGACCTGTACAATATTTTGAAATAAAATAAAAACAGTAAAAACGTATTTGTCAAATTTATTGATGTTTTTGTTAAAAGTTTGTTTAGAATTAAATGTCAGTGGAACCAAAATGACATCACACTGAACTAGCGCATCGCATAGGCAGTTCCTGTTCTAACAGGATCAATAAAATATAGTTGTATAGATTGATCATACGTTTTTCAAAATATCTAAGGGTAGCTCATGCCCCTGAAGTAAAAATATAGGTAATTACTTTTACTATATTCAAAGTAACGACGAAAAACTACTAGCCCTTATTTATTGTAATCATTCATAATGTGGTTTATATTATGTATACATAGCTGTCACATCGGCTGCCCATTAAATAGAACGAGACGGGTGCTAATTTGAATGGAGATCACATACTATAAGCTATTTTTGGCGTGTTCCCGTTGATAAACAGTGACACAGAAACCGTAACATGTCAAATGCCCCCACTATTATGTCTCGGTTTCTAAAAAATTCTTCGCAAAAATGAACCGGTTTACGTCAATCGTCAACGTTTTAGATAAACGAGGTTATGTTATGTGTATTTAAAAGGTATTTTACAATAAACAAACTGTGAACAATCTAATATTGAGGAAGACAGACAATTTTTCTTTTAAATAACAAATTTAAATAGAATTTAGAGACAGTTCAACGAAAACTATTATACATAAAATAAAAATATGAACGCACAAAATAAAATGCAACTCTGACAGCTACCAAAAATTCCAAAACAAAACGGTATTACAGAATGCTATGAACATCAACTGTCACTATCAACCGTTTGTTCAGCACCTCAAGAGGCCGGGAACAGATTCATCACGGCGGTAGCAAACAATGACGTCATTACACTTCCCCTTGAGCGGTTCACGTCGCGAAAATGATGCGAGTAATACCGTTTGATCACCGGGAGTTCGCCAAAAATTGGTATTTGATTACTATACGGTACAAGAGAGAGGTCCGACACGCCCAACATAAGGCGCGGCCATTTTGATGCCTTTACCACAGTTTATAGCTAAAGAATCAGTTCGCTCACTCTGCGTCGGCACTTTTGATCTTAATGTTCCAGTTTATATACTGCGCAACTCGGATAATACAATATATGACAACTGCCTATAATAAAACAGCAGTCTTCTGCGCATGCTGAATTTGTATCCCTGGAGTGGATGTTATTTAGGAACTTTCAACTGGTACGAGTGAGCTAACTGATTCTTTAGCAATAAACTGTGACTCCAAAAATAATATTCACTGACAGTAGCAAGCAAAATATCAGGTGCGTTTTAATCATCCGCTTCTGCTTCCGGAATTGTCGGTTTAGTCGTTTTAACCTGTCAGATTAAAACAAGAAAACCGACAATTCCGAAGCAGAAACGGATGATTAAAACGCACCTATTAAAAATATTGCGCCAAGATGTAGGCAACACGTAATAAAGGCGGAGTTTTCTACCTCCTTTTAAAAGGCACTCGGAAAGCTGCGCAGTGCGACCATTCTCCGTATAGTAAGAAAATCAAAATATGTGTTTGTTTACGATTTGTTTTCTCAACCTCGAACCTGTCAAAAAAATTGAATGACATTTGGTTGACACACAAGGATGAAAATTATTTACAACTTTCGTTACAGTTTTAATAACAAAACTTTCATCTGCTTTGAATAAAAACTGCTAAAACTATATATTTATGTTATATAATGGTTATACCTATTATTTTTATTCCTTACTGGCGGATTTCCATTAACGTCCAAATAAAATAATTTAAGTGTACGTGTAGGTAGGTGTCTATTATACTATCCAAATTTTGATAGTGTGGATAGCAAGTTGGTGGTTCGAGCCCCGAAACTTTTAGTTTTTTTTGTTTTTTTTTCCTAAAAAAAAAGAAGGAAAAATATTGTTTTATTATTTCACAGTCTTGGTAATTTAAAAGGTTTATTTATTTTTATGTTGGCCGGCAATTAAACCCCGGAAAAAGTGTGCCTTTTTGGAATTATTTTTTTTTATATTTAATTAAGACGCTATTAAAATTTCAGCGTGATTCAAACACTTTAAATCATATTTAAAAAAAATCAACTGGGGTTGATTTATCAATTATAAACCCTCCCAAAAGTGTCTGCTTAAATTACTAGTATTTTTAGAATTCGCACCTAAACTTTCAATTGTTGTTTGTTGGTCTCTGAATCAAACAATTTTTTTGGGTCATATTTTACGACCCTTTTCTATTATGCGCAGTATCTGGTGTCCCGGGGTGGGTCTAGCCAACACAGGTATATCTGAGTTTTCATCCAAATGATTTCAAATTACAAAATTTCAAAGTGCATCAAACACTTAATGAAATGTGTTACTAGCTCTCCGGCTAATATATAGGTATCTTAAAAGAGTTTATTGGCACCGAAATAAAGAGTTTATTCATATTTTAACATGTCCATAGTAATTAAACTTATTTTGAAAAATTGTTCAAAAAGGAAGAAATATAGCTATCACTTGTAACTTGTTAGTTGGGAGAAAAGGACAACTAATAAATGAAAGGATTGGTCTAGTAGTTGTTCATCGTTATCTTTATTTTTGACAATTATATCATACCAAATGTCATCTTACATGCAATGTCAAATTGGCGATACATATTTTTCTTGGTCATTTTTTTAACAAGAATCAATTCAAAATCATGGAATGTTACAATACAACCTCTGAATTGGCGATTTCCGAAGTGTTTAGATGTTTCATCTGCATGGAAAAACTTCGAGATGCCCATCTATGTCCTCACTGCTCTAAATTATGTTGTTACGTTTGCATTAGAAGATGGTTGACAGAGCAGAGGTCTCAATGTCCCCATTGCAGGTAACAGGAGTAATTACTTTCAAACATTTTGGATTTGACAACTTTTCATGTTTTTCAAATAAGCAAATAATGCTGGATCTAAATCATATAGATTGAAGAAAACTATCTGCGATTCAAATTTTCCTGCTGTTTTCTAATAACATAACTGATTTGGCAAAGTTGCAGGAAAGGTATGTGCTGACGAGCATCCTGGCCGCGCATATAAATAATCTGGTTTTATGACAGTATAACTGTACAACTTTGCCAGATTGCTACTTTCATATTATTAATAAATAATATCTAAGTAAAATAACAAATATAAACAAAAATAGACAGTGACTAGCAGTACATCGGATGTACGCGTTTTATTTGTACATCGGTCTCCTTTTGACAGAGTAGGTGAGATGTGTCCAGGCCGTTGGTGTTTATGTCGGTCGGCATAGCCAGGTATGGATTAAAATTTTCTGATGGCGGCGAAGCCGCCACCCTACGAGAAGTCGTTGCTTCGTCTCCTTGTTGTCCAGCATTATTAGTATTATTTGTTCATGTATGTAAAATTTGCTTCTAAGGTTTATAAAATACTACAGAAAAATACTTAAGTCTTCCACTGCATCATCTAAAATAAAGGTTAGAATTATGATGTACAAATAATGGGGGATACATCCGATGTACAAATATTTCGTGTACATCCGATCACAGCCATCAGATAAAGATGGGCTTGATCCGATGTACTGCTAGTCACGGTGACAAAAATACATTTGGCTAAAAGTTTTCTTCCTTTCAGTAGATTTGGAGGACTTGCTTTATGATAAAAAAAGGTTATGTAAAAAAGATTAAAATGAATTATTGAATTTGAATTAAAAAATGAATAAAAACTACAAAAATTATATTACATACCTAGTAAATAGAAAATTACAACGTGGCAACAACGCGATAAATATAACGATGTTTACATATGCGCGGCCAGGATGCGCGTTAAGTACATACCTTTCCTACAACTTTACCACTGATTTATTTGTTTTACAGTGTTGTCATATCAATTTATTTTTTCGTAATAGAATTTTGAACCAAAAGGTATATTTTAACTTAAAGATATTATTCCTAGTGTCAAGTTAAGACTTGAGTATAGCGTTTTTTCTTCTCTGATTTTTGTTTGGCAACCACAATCTGCCATTCTTTGTTTCCAGATGAATACCAGTCAGGGTTTGCTTAATTCCCACATAATTAAGTTTTGTATCTCTCTAAAGCCTTGGTTTCTTTGAACACTCCGTCGCGGTGAGCGGACAGTCCGTCGACCGCTGAGGGCAGCAATTTTCGCCCGAGGTGGTTTGTTAAAAAATATAGAAAATGATACTTTCTCTATGTCTGTACGTGCTGTTTATGTATTATGAATGTAAACGAAAGGTACTAAAATGGTTGCAAATAAATTGTTTGCGTTGTTATTATTATTGGAAGAGGAAGAACAAGAGGAACTGGCAATTGCAACCGTCAAAGTTTCCAATAAGCCAGTGAATGAGTTGTTTTTCTGTCGCGATACAGAAGGTGCCTTTAATATCACTGTGCAGCGGAGGCTTTTTGGAAATGAAACCAAATTTAGGGAGTATTTTAGACTTTCTACAAATCTTTTTGAATTCGTGTTGAGTTTTATAAAGGACATAATTTCCAAGAAACCTAAAAATAAAGTCATGATGTCATCTGTATGTGTGAATTTGTCACTCATTGTTTTAAAATTAATAACAATATAGTCTCCGCACACGCCGACGATTCCGCTGATATCAAACTCAACAGATATCAACCGACTCTTCGCGACAAATCAGCGGCATGACGCCGTCCTGTTCAGCTAAGCGGATTCAAGAAAACCATTCCCATTTAAATACTCTGGTTGGATAAAATCGTCAAAACGCGACGGTTGACGGACTGTCCGCTCACCGCGACGAAGTGTTCAAAGAAACCAAGGCTTAAGATATTTTCCGATGGCTTATATCCATTTTTGTTGACTTATTTAAAAACTTTGTTTATGTCTATTCTATGCATAAAATGTATAGGTAACTTAAAAAATTTTACACAGCTTCCACACTTTACTGAACAATAAGTGGTAGGCATATTCTTTAAATAATAATTAACTTAGCATAATGTTTTTATTGTTGAAAATACACAATAAACGACAATTGTCTTGTATAAACAATCACAAAATAGACAATGACGGTGTAGTGCCTACTGTTGCACTACTAACTATCCTTCGCCCTATTCATATCAACTTTCCGCAAATCTATAACCTTCAATTTTTGTGTCAGTCTTGGTAGGATAAATATTAAGCTTACTTCACCATAACTCCCTGGTTGCCGAGAGAGAGAGAGAGAGGAGATATTCGAAGATATTCTGTTATTATGACTTTGGAATTTACATTTTATACATGTATCAATTTTTATTTTTTAATTATACTGTTGTAAATACATCTCCAACGATAATGAATTATTTGATTAATATGATATACGCATTTAAAGAACCCACAGATGGGAAAATTAGTTTTTAAGTTTATTTCATCAACCTTATAAACGTAAACTTGTTATATAACAAGTTTACCTTTACAGCAGGTCATTTTGATTTTTGTTTGACAGTATCTCTGATAACTGTATTTGCTTTTTCCTAGATTTCAAATATTAAGAATATAACTTGGCAACTATGTAACAATTACAATCGTTTTAGCTAGAGTGGTGTGGACATGCGCGTCAGAAGCCATCTGAATTATGTACAAGATTACGTGTGCGTGTACTTTATTAACAGACTTCAATTCGTCTAAATATATTTTTAATTTATTTTCAGCGATAATTATGTATTACGTCCGATTTCTATGATTCTTTTTTTGTTGTTGTTAGAACTGGGGTACTTCAGAGGGGTGGTCCCATATAAATTTAGTCAAGATCTAATAATTAAGTCGATGAGAAAATGATCAAACTCTTAATTTTTTTGATGTATGTTCAGCGATAATTATTTACCACCTTGTCCAATGTCTACGATTCTTTTTTTTTTGTTAGGGATCTATGAGAAAATCAGCAAACTCAATTTGTAATGGCACCTGCACGATTTTGAAGTCGATTTTTTAAAATTAATTTTATAATAATAATATAATAATAGCCTTTATTGCCCAACAGATATAAAAAATCCAGGTGACAAATATATATCGATATTATGAAAAACAGTGAATACAAAATAAATAAATATAAAGGATAACTAAAAAGAGAATTTTTTAAGCATTGTCATAAGTGGTACCAGCAAGTACTTTAATACTTTCCAAATATCTGTGAAGATATCTGATGAATTACAATATAAGTTAGTTAATTCACGTAACATTGAGAGGTAAGCTTAATGCGCTAGTTCAGTGTGATGTCATTTTGGTTCCACTGACATTTAATTCTAACCAAACTTTTAACAAAAACATCAATAAATTTGACATATACGTTTTTACTGTTTTTATTTTATTTCAAAATATTGTTTACAGGTCATAAAATAGTATATTATTAAACGAGCAATTTATGGTAGCCGTAGGCGAGGGGCGCAAGTCACCCGAGTGAATAATGACCATAAATTGCGAGTCTAATACTATACTTTGTCCACGACCATTATGGTTTCTTTATTAAATAAAAGTTAAGTGTAGAATGGAAAGTTTTTATTAAACATAGGTAACTAACTGTTGTTTTTTCAATTTTTCGATTTTCCATTTTCGATTTTCGATTTTTTGATTTATCGATTTTTTGATGCATCGATTTTTTTGATTTTTTGATCTAGAAAATATCGTTTTGAAAAGTATCGCCTATCTTTAGTTATCTACCGGAATGTTCCAGAATCACAAAAGCGTGAATTATCATAATTCACTCCGTGATATATGGGTACTATATGCTTTTAGTTAGGAGGTAGAATATTGATTTATTATTAAGTGGTCGTGGACAAAATAGTTTAAAGGTATGTAATTGGTAAGTAACTAACCGATTGTATATTTGATACATGCTATCTATATACTTACTTTAAGAATATATTTATAAAAGTGAAAAAAACGATATAATTTAGGTAAACAAAATGAACAAAACGCACTCAAAAAATCTACTGTCACTTTAATTGTCAGTGGAACTATAATTACATCATCACTGAACTAGCGCATAGAATATTTGTTCTAGATTTGTTACAATAAAAAGTTAAATGATGTCTGTTATTATACCGGGAAACATTTAAATTAATTTTAGCTAAAATAGCAGGACAGTCAATTAATCCATTCGTGATTTTATTTAAAGAATTCAAAGAAACTAGAGTTCTCCGATATTCAAGGCTCTCCATTTTCAAACTATTCAAAAGTAGCTGATAATCGATTCCTCTTGGAGGGTATAGACCATTTACTTTGAAAGCTAAATATTTCAAAAACTTCCTTTGAACAGATTCAATACTAATCATGTGAATATTATAGTAGGGATATCAGATAGTTGAACAGTACTCAAGCTTAGTGCGGATGTATGAATAGTATAATGTTTTTAATGCTCCATTGTCCTTGAATCCATGACAATTTTCTATAACAAAACCATACATATTGTTTGCATCAGAAATCTTCATATTAATATGCTCAACAAAACACCCAGATCAGTGATAGAGGAACAACGTATTGTGATTAATATCATATCAACATTACTTTCTAGGGCATCTCTTCATCTGCATGAACTTGTCAATTGTCGATGGGTCGAAGAAGTTACTCAGCAACTTGATTGCCTCCAATCGTTAACCGGTTTATGTAAACAGAATGATGGAGAACGGGATACGTGTTCAATACACTTGGAGAAACTTTCAGTTTACTGCTGGACGTGCAGATGTTGCATATGTCATCAGTGTGCTCTATGGGGAGGTACCCATTCAGGACACACATTCAAGCCGTTGAATGAGGTATACGATCAGCATGTGTCACAAATTAAAGATGAGGTAGTGCAGTTGAGACGAAGGTACGTTACTATATTGTAATATGTTGGCGTTACCTTGCGATAAAATGTTAATTTCAAAACACTTGTAAGATATTTTGACTAGCTCATAGAGATTTAACACCAAACATTACTTAACTTTAATCAAATTAAGAAATGAGCATATAATTTTCTTCAGTCGTGAATTCGGCTTTTCTAATAGACACCTTCGGAATAATAGTTTTCTGGGAGAGACGGGCGCCAAGAATTATCTTTTTTTATTTTTAGAAAGCTAGTGAGAATTATAAACTCTAGCTTTGTCAAAAAGAAATTAATAAAAACTTATATAAAATTTAATTTGAGTAAAAGAGAATTGTTATAACCTTAAAAAAATAAGATTTAACATATAAATGAATTTGTTTATTTAATTATACTGAAATTTTCTAAATAATGATTTTTATCATGCTGGTACTAACAACTATAAAGTTAAAACTCTTATCATACCATAATCAATAGTTTTTTAATAGTCTCGTGAATTAATTACCGCTATGTAGATATCTGAAGATCTTCGAAGTTAGAAATGTCGCCATCATCGATAGCCTCTGTAGCCTTTCTAGCTCAAAAACATCCAATTGAATAATTCGTAAATAGTTTCTGTTAAAGTTGATTATTTAGCAGTATCTAGCAGTTAATTTTCGATAGGAAGAAAAAAATTATGTGAAGTCTCACATAATTTGCGAATGTAAGCAGTCGCTTACATTCGCTTCTTTACAAAAATAAAAAAAATACTGAAATTTTCTAAATAATGATTTTTATCATGCTGGTACCAACAACTATAAAGTTAAAACTCTTATCATACCATAATCAATCGTTTTTTAATAGCCTCGTGAATGAATTACCGCTGTGTAGATATCTGAAGATCTTCGAAGTTAGGAATGTCATCGATAGCCTCGGTAGCCTCTCTAGCTCCAAAACATCCAATTGAATAATTCGAAAATAGTTTCTGTTAAAGTTGATTATTTAGCAGTATCTAGCAGTGAATTTTCGATAGGAAGGAGAAAATTATAATGTGAGACTGCTTACATTCGCTTCCTAAACAAAAGATAAATTCTGTTTTTCACGAGGCTCTTGTATGATATATAATTTAACTTTTAAACATTTACTTTTTTTAAGATTAAATCCAGATAACAAAAAAACTAATTAATATAGACAATGTGTAAATTCAGCTCACAAAATGAGTAAAGCATATTTAATAAATTTAAATTGACTTTCAAAATAAATAACAATAAAAATAAGTAGAAATATAATTTTTACTGAGATATCTTTAAAATGACATTATTAAAACTTACCACTATATTTTGCAGTCTTGGCACTGAACTGTTAGTTTAAGTTATCAGATGAGAAATGAATTTTAATGAAAAGATTCTAAAATTGAGAGCCAGCCAGATCCACACCTAGAGAAATTTCCCTCTCTAAGCATATTGCTAGCGCCGATAATTAAATGGTAAATCAATCTAATACTAATTATACAGGATGTCACACAATTAAAATAACATTTCTAAATGGAATTTTAAAATGTTACAATATACAGTATGTCCCCCTAGGTTGGAATCATGGAAACCTTTTTTATTATTAATTTTTGGAAAAAAACTTATTTTTCATAAAAAGTTCTGCAATATCTAAAACCTAGAACACAGTGATAAATATCAAATTGTGTCAGTGGTATACGAGGTTTGTCAAAAAATATGAGTTTTACTCAAGAGTAAATTACCTTTATTCTTTATACGACTGATAAAATTTTATATTTGATGGTTGTATTTTAGGTTTAAGACCATGCTCGACTTTTTATAAAGAATAACTTTTTTTCCTAAAATTAGTAATAAAAAAGATTTTCATATGCCACCAAATGTTTACGTAAATTGGGGTTCAACAAAAAAATAATAGTAGCAACTCTTTATCTAACATTAAAACTCTATAAAAAATAAAATAAATTTTTCTTTTCTAGTAAGTTAAATTTAATGTATAATTATTGTTGTTTGTAAGTCAGAATCTATGACTGTAAAATTTTATATCATAGAAACTTGTAATAAAATAAACTACACTCCGTAAGATACATATTGTGACTAGTTTACAATAAATATTATATTTAGACACGAGTACATTATTTTATTTACATTAGAAGCTTTAAAAAGACATTGAATTGATTTCTCTCTGTGTTTTTTTTTTTAGTTTTACATTTGATTTGTATCCTGTTTTACTATCTGGAACGACGTAAATCTTGCTTTGATGTTTTTTGTCACTCATGTTACTTGTACTCAGGTACTTTTTTCAGATTATTTTGATTTTTTTCACCAATTTTTAAAAAAATCACTTCATTTTACATTGACTTACATAGAAAATTGACACCGCTGGTATTCGACATGCCAACTTCAGTCAATTTCGCGAACTTTATAAAAAGAAGGACGGAAATTTGAAATTTGACCATTGCCGATTCGACTTCTCTCTAGTCTTCATACCTGGCTACGCCGACCGGCATAGACTCCAACGGCCTTGACACAGCTCAAATTGAAATGAAAAGTCTCACATAACACATTAGTGTAGACATACGTTTTAGTACCCGCCCAAACTGCAAGTTTGCCAATTTAAAATACTGACTCAATTTCAATTTTATTCAATTACAATATATAATTTTTACAGATAATAAATAGTAATAGTAGACAGTTCTTTAAGTTCCTTAAATTATTTTTGCACCTAGGCGATGAAACTGTCTGTCGATATTACAAGATTGTTTATAAAGTTAATTGACTTTTTCTTGGTAGTTTAAGAGTCTGTTTAAAGAAATATTAATAGGTAAAAATTAATTATAAATTAAAACTAAAAATTAAAAATGAACATACATTTTATTTTATCCGTTACTGATGGCAATTTTGAAGAAATTGGAGATGGAACCATGTGGAATTTGACAGATAACTAGTTCCGCCAACTTTGATATATGGCCTATTTTAAGTTTTTAAATAGGCGTGCGTGATTACCGTACGACGTTTTTTCCAATCATAATATTAAAAAAAAAAATCAAATCCAACTTTATGGCACACACTGTTTAACGAAACTTTGAAATTTTTAATTTTATTTAGATTAATGGAATTAGTAACTATTGTTCAAGAAGTTGAAAAAAATGTCGATTCTGTCAGATCCGCCAAAGAAGAAAGAGTGAGAGAAATTAGAAATGCAGTCGAATTAATGATTTCTCGTCTAGATTCTCAACTAAAAAACAAACTGCTAACTTTGATGGGACAAAAAGATTCCTTAACGCAAGTAAGCATTGCAATGTCGTAATTCTGATTAATCTTTCGTTTTACCTTTTTGCATATTTCCAACAGTTTTTTGTCTACTCTTATCATTCGTTCAAGGTATATGAGACCATAAACTTTTATATGTACTTACAATACTAAAATCTTAACTTGCTCAAGTGTTTAATTCAATTGCTCCTGTTAGAGTGCAAAAATCACTGGGAAAATCTGCAAAGACTAAGTTAAAATTCAAACCAATAGAAAGAGTTTAAACATTTTACCCTTTCCAAATATTATAGTAATTGAAATAAATTGCGTTAATTATCTGTGACTATGGTACGATCCAAATTCAGTCAATTCTTAACATTCTTAATCATTTCGTAGAAAATGTTGAAAAAGCATTCCGCCTGGGAATAAAACGTGATAATGCATCCCACTTAGACCTATCCAAGTGGTCTGTAAGAATAAAGATGCAGCACTATCTTTAATTAAAAGCCATAACAATCAAACAGAAAACTAACATATTGTAGTGATCTCTGATAAAACCCCTCGTGAAATTGAGTATTTTAAAAACCTACAAGCAAATATAAATGATTGCATTAACAATGGAGAACGTTTGAAAATTGTTTATCGCAATGGAAACCCTATAATAGCAAAAACCCACTAAAACATGACTTATACTGTTATTGCCAAAACACTAGATGCTTAAAGACATCCTTATTCTAATACCAACTTATATCCATAACCGGCTTCAATCAGATGTATCAAATTCAAAGATTTTTGGAAACAACTATTAGGTTTTTTGAAGGGATTGTGACCTGCTGAAGAATATTATTATTCCTGCATATTTTGTTATGGGTGGGTGCATGGCCTTATTGACTCCCCATAACTTATATCGCAACTTAATTTCAATATAGGTACCAAGGTTTAATTCAAGAAATGAATTATATTTTTATTTTCTATTTCCAAGAACAAATGTGTTTATAAAATCTCCTATATTTATTAGCAATATGTAACAAATTCAATAAATTATGTTATCAATTTTCTTGAAAATAAGTAAAAGTACTGAATATTCGTTTATGTAAGTTTTAATTATTATTATAATAATTATAAATCAATTGTTGCTATACTAAATTTTATCCACCACAGGTCTATTTTGATAATAATGGATTTTTTATTTTTATTAAAATGGTTAATAAATTATACAGGGTGATCCATCTCAGACGAGCCACTCCGTATATTTCTTATCGCACAGTAATTGGAAAAATTTCGCGAAACACGTCAGATGATTTTCTTTGGGGGACATCTTTTGACGTATATTTGAGGCTTGAACGAGCAACCCTCTATGAGGGGGCGCTTCAACCCCTTAAAATTGAATAGGGAAGAGGAGTTGAGTGATACTTCATTTGTAAGATCTTGGAAGCCTCTTTACAACGGTGTATGAAAAAATCACATTTTTAAAAAAATTAATTGTTTTATCATGTTTACAATTGTCCTCCATTGACTTCCATACAATAATACAATCTTGACTGAAAACCGTCTCTAACATGGTCCAGCATAATTGGTGTTGTTTGACGACATTCATTTACAATTCGTTGGCGTAGTTCGTCCAAATTTTCAGACTGTCACAAAAATCTTGGACTTAATTAGGATGTCCTCACAAGAAGAAGTCTAGAGGGTTCAGGTCAGGAGAGCGAGCAGGTCACTCCATAGGACCTCTTCTTTCAATCCAACGACCAGGGTATTGTAAATTGAGGTATTGGCGAACTGGTACGGCGTAGTGAGGAGGAGCTCCGTCTTGTTTGAAATGCAATTGTTGTTCAATTAGTAGAGAATCGTTTTCTAATTTGTCTGTTATTAACGGATCAATCGCATTTTCCAGCATTTCACGATAAATTTCGCCATTTAAATAACCAGGAATACACAGAGGTCCAATTAAGTGGTCTCCCAAAATTCCTACCCAAACGTTTAGCTTTTCCAGATATTGAGTGTGAGCTTCTCGAAATACATGAGGATCTGTATCGCTCCAAATTCTACAGTCATGCCGGTTAACCTCTCCATTAAGTGAAAAAGTGCATTCGTCAGAAAAGCAAACGTTGTATAAGAAATTTGGGTTATTGTTGATACGCTCGGCCATAATTTCGCAAAACTCTTGCCTTCGATCCAAATCATCATCATTTAATTCATGAATTAATTTAATTTTGTACGGATGGAACTTGTGTTTATGTAAAATTCTGAAAACGTTAGATTGGCCAATACCGGAAACTGCAGAAAGTTGTCGGACAAATTGCGTGTTTGGCATACGTTAGACATGGCCCAATACCGCCACAGCTGCTCATTCATCGTTCACAATTCCAATGGGTGCCCTTTTTTTATCCATTACTGAACCCGTCAAACAAATTTTGAAATCATGTCCATCGGTTAAATATCCTTGCAGCCGCTCGGGCACCATTTTGATTTTGGTAATACAGGCTAACCAGCTCAACACGTTCTTGCAATTGTAAGTAAATCAGCAAAGTAGAAACTCAACAGATTGATTTTTAATACATGAAATGATCGAAGAAACGTGATAAACACCTTCTAAGAACAAAAAATGAAGGCAAGATAAGAAAATGTTTTGATTTTTTTTTATTTATTAGTTCGAGAGAATTTATTATTGCATGGAGGACAATTTGAACATTTGATTTAAAAACACAGTTTTGATTTTTTTGATTGTAAGCATGATAAAACAATTAATTTTTTTTAAGAATGTGATTTTTTCATACAACGTTGTAAAGAGGCTTCCAAGATCTTACAAATGAAGTATCACTCAACTCCTCTTCCCTATTCAATTTTGAGCGGTTGAAGCGCCCCCTCATAGGGGGTTGCTCGTTCAAGCCTCAAATATACGTCAAAAGATGTCACCCAAAGAAAATCATCCGACGTGTTTCGGGAAATTTCTCCAATTACTATGGGATAAGAAACATACGGGGTGGCTCGTCTGAGATGGAACACCCTGTATCTGTGCACAAGTCTGTAGTAGTTTGTGCAAAAAGTAAATGTGGATGTAAAAAAAATAATGTTATTTAGGAAACGGAGCAACTCGAACACCTTTTGCATGAAACCGAGCACCAACTGCAGACAGCTAGAAAATCAGAACTTATTACAAAAAGCAGCGAATTGTCTCGAATGATAAATACGATAAGAAAGAAGCCAATAACTAGTTTTGTTACTGCTCCTGTACCCGCTGATTTTCATAGGTAAGACCAATTATAACAATATCATTGTTTATTATTAATATATTGTCGGTACAATGCTAAAAACCACGCATGTGCAAATTTGGCATTTTTCGCTTTAGCAGACGTGTATCTAAAACCTTGGACGCCTGATGTCTATTTTGAATAAGTCAGAACATTCGAGGTTTTGGCATTGTGCATAGTATAGAAAGCCAATTCCATACATCAAAAGTGAAACCATAAGGAGAAAATAGTATGTGGTAGCCCATGCGCATAACGGTGATGGCTCGAACAGGACCGGTGCAAGTTTTATATTTATCGGATAAATAGTTCACACGATGTTTCACGTTGGAAGTCATACACTTTTAGAGATACTTCTGCATAAAAGAAGATGAACAAAGTTCAAGTAAATATTGTTCTGAAAGTCCTTATCAAGAGATCGAGATACGGCATAAAATATGAATTAGTTATTTTTTGGCAATCATTAGTGCTATAGTTACGGATTTTGCTTGTGATCTGACATCTTATTCGATTTAGGGCCGATATTTATACCTTTGTGTAAAGCAAGGGCGGCTCCAAGACGAATTTTTGGGGGGAAGGAGAAGGGGGGGGCATTATCTTTAGCCATTCCCTTTTTAGCATAATTTTTTGAATAAAAGGCCCATAAATCGTAAGAATTGTCATCTTGGGGAGGCATGGTCCCAATAGCCCCTCCCCTGGAGCCGCCCTTGGAGTAAAGATACATATAGGTACTTGACAGATTAACAAACAATAGCCCTATAGGTTAATCAGCAAGTAGTTACTTTCAACTTTACTCAGAGGTGAAAAGATTGGCCCTTAGTGTCATTTGCTGCAAGTAAATTTAATCAGGGAAGTGAAAAATAGGGGCCAGTTGTTTCGCTTAAGACTATTATGTTCGTTATTTTTTACACATTGTCACTTTACTACTTTGCACTTTATTAACAATTTGTTTTTAACATACTTCAAAATCGGAGGATATTCTCAATTCGTTGGAATATTCTTTTATGTATGTTGAGCGATAATTCTTTACCACGTTGTCCGATTTCTATGATTCGTTTTTTGTTAGAAAAGGAATAGTTCCATATACATTTGGTCAAGATCTGAAGATGGGATCCATGTGAAAATCATTAACCTCTTCATTTTTAAAGTAGGTTTTTAAAAATTTCTTTAAACCATATAATCGAATTAAATTACGGGTTTTGAGCTTACATTAAATTGTAATTAGATGAAACAAAATGGATTCTATGTATTTTGAGGTGATCTTTTCTAAAAAAGGCAGAACAAAATGTAGATGTTTTTCGAAAGTGCCGAAATTTTGGATTTAGTCAATTTTTCATTTTTGCGCAGGCGCATGCCGGAAATAAATCAATATTTTTAAAACGTAATTTACGACATTTGAAAGCTTAGGAAAAATGCTAATTTTCATGTCTCTTGAGAAATGTTGATCCGATGCACCGTTCTCGCGGTATGAACGATTGAAATTTGTTTAGTATTTTGAGGCGGCGAAGGTCGAAAAATTGAATTTGTTAAATGTTCGAACACTAAATTCTTCATAACTTTGGTAAAAATTAAGATATTTGAAAAAACAAAAATGCGTTTTGAACTTAAGGGATGTGACTATTGATTCTCAGAAGGCGGCAAGAGAAATCCCAAAATTGGGCATTATGGCGGAAGGACAAATTGTACCGCGGGCCTAATTTCATTGTATGCCTATAACGGCCAAACTATTTGTATTTTGCCACTTACAGAGCTTACTCTTGAATGTGAAATCTTATGTGTGTGTGAATTTCACCGAAATTGGACTATAATTGGCCAAGATATCAAACAATTAAACAATTTTGTTTCCCTAAAAAAATGTTTTTTCGAAAGTTTGAAGTGGCACAAAAATGCACCCAATGGCTAAAAACTTTTTTTTGAGTACTTTATTGTGTCTAGAATACCATTACATTACGGAAAATTCTGCAAAAATATTTTATCAATTTTTTTGACCACTGTTCATTGAGTGACCACCAAAAAACACGGTTTTTGAGAAAAGTTGCCTAAAATTGACGATTTTCAGTTTTTTTGGTCTGAAAATTGAGCAAACCCAAATTTGATGTCTTCTGAATGTGTATACAAAGTTTAAAGTGTGTATGTTTCTTCTAAGTTGTAGAATTCTCCCGACAAAAGTCCCATTACACGGGCTCCGCGGGATCCAAAACTCGTGTATACACTGCATTTCTGTAATTTGATTTTTTTGCATTTTCCAGTTTTAAATTTCTTACATACCTAAATTTATTAGGCTTAAAATATATTAAATTGTATATTACTGATTTGTTATAAGACGTTTCTTGAGTTTTGTGCAAAATATAGAATTACCGCAAAATTAGCCGCACGTCGCATCAAGGATAGCCATGGTTTCGGCGTTCGCTATCCGACAAGTTTAAACTTCAAACGGTCATATTATTACAAATTGAATCGCTTGATAGTATTCATCGGCATAGATTTTTAATAACCGTGTTCAGCAAGCTCTGTGTACACGTGGTTTTTCGGACTCTTTCAGCAATTTATTGAGTAAGTACGTTCCTAAATTAAGAAAATTCTATCACAGTGCTATAATTTTTTTGTTTCCAGGTTGCAATGGCTGGCCTGTGTTTATTATGTCATCAGACACTTGCAGAGGGTGAACTTACCCCAATTAGTTTTTTCAAATATATTTTTTTGTTAGATGTTTTCGGAAACCCCGGAGAAAATCATATAGGAAAAAAAATTTAAAAAAAAACTACGCCTTCCGGTTTCCTGCGAATTCCCGAAAAATTATAGCAGATTTCGCCGCGGGACTTATTTTATTTGAGAGCCAACAAAAAAATACGCAACTTCTCTCGAAGGCACATATGTCTAACATTTAGAATTTCGCCACAAATTCATCGCAAATTTCATGTCCATGGTTCTGATCAAAGAAACGAAAAAACAACGTACATCAAAATACATAAGGACCACTTTGTTTCATCCAATTACAAATTAATGTAAGCTCGAAGGAGCTTTTTTTCGTTATTTAATTGGACTAATAGTGGCTCACACGCGGTAAGGAATGAAAAAATGTAAATAATTGTTATGCCAGCTAAAAAGCGAAGAGGACGTATACGGCCAGTGACGTCACAAATGTTAAGTAAAGGTACAATTTAATAGGGTTAATTTTCAGTTTCTATATTTTAAAATATACCCGATGCCAACTCAGCCAGTTATGTCATAAATGTTAGGTAAAAGTACAATTTAATACGGTTAATTTTCAAATTCTTTATTTTAAATTATACCCAACTGACACACGGTCTCTGACGTCATGAGCGGGTTTTTTTTGTTAATATTGGCATAGGAATGACTCCATTTGCCACAAAATATTTAATGTTTATTAATATTCTTCTAACTATAGTAGCTTACTATAGATGGAAATGGTAATGTTCTTTAGTATTTAAAATTACTTTAAACGTTTGTTAGATTTTTTTATACAATCCACTAACTTAAAACGTTTTTATTTTCCGAACAAAGGAGACGTAATATTTAGAGGTAGAGTAATTCTCAGTTTTTTTAAGTTATTTATAAGTATATTTCTATTTTGTTCATACATTGAGCATGCAAATATTAAGCGATTTAGATCTCCCACGGAAGTATTATTACAAGTGCAATTAGGGGAGGGTAGTACTCCTATTTTATAAAGGTGGGAGGCGAATCCTCCGTGATTCAATCGCATCCGTCATGAGTGTTGTGTAAAGGGATATATTCCAACAGTTCATTTTCCATCGGTATCAGGAATATTAGAAGTGGCATCTCATTTAAAATAAGAAATTTGACATCAACTTCCGATCTATACGGAAATAACAGAACTGTCAGAATATTTTAGATGGAAAGATCATAACCTGTCTATTATTTTTAACAAAATCCATTCATTGTTTTGTCAGATACATATAGTGTCGTCCCGTCGCAAGATAGCCTATATACATAATATACAAGTCTCCATTTACATAATTTTAGGTAGGTTTAGATCATAGATATATAACCAAGACAGATAGGATTATTTACAAAAATTTGAAGAATGAACGGTGGTGTCCGCGGTAGAAACTCAATAATCGGATTGAACATTGATGCCAAGTTTACGTGCTTTTAACTATAGATATATATAACCAATACAGATTACACAATTTCTGAAGTCAACGCGGATGATCCTCGACAGAAATGCAATATTTGGATAAAATTAAAATATTGATGAATTGATGCCAAGTTTGCGATGTTTTTAACTGTAGTAATGTTATTGCGTTTGCTTGAATTACTGTTAGGTCTTTAAATTGTCAAAAAAAAAATAATGTCTGACAACAGCGGAAGTAGAGTAGACCGCAATTGTGGAGGGTCGTATATTGTTTCATTCATAAAAATTCCTTCGATACAGTACTAGTCCAGGAGCCAGTGAATTTTTTCGTACTTGTTTTCCCGGTCCGTGTATATTTAAATAATCTATTCCCGGTGAACTGTATATTTATAATGGAACGCCAATCTATTAACAAAAGTAAGCCAGATTGAATTCGCGCACTACGTCACATCGATACAAGTGAGATTGTTTACAAAGTGCCTTTGCAGGCCTATTTTGCCCATTTCATGTATTTGTTTTTAAATCATGTTAAATTACTATTTTTGAAACTCAACAAGGAGAAAATCCAATTAACTCTTCCGTTGTGTATATATATATATATATATAAGATAAATTAACTGAAGTTTTATTAGTAAAGTATTAATACTAAAATTTTAATGTAATTTACAGAAAATAGCTAGGTATGTATTTGTTTTTAAATAATTTGATAATTTATGAAAAAAGGGAGTACAAGTGGAATGACCAGTGGCCAGTAGGTCAGTCAATACAAAGTATCATATATTTCTATTATAACATAACTAAAATACCTACATCTTTTAATCATAAGGACATAAGTTAAAAACCATTTTAATATATGCATTAGAATGAAGTAATAATAACTTAAAGAGACGAGGTCTTAAAGTAATAGCTGGTACAGCATGTTTTTTAAACGTTTCCTCATTGCTGCTAGAATGAAATCACTTACTATGAAATGTGCTCTAAAAACGGCATTTATAGCAGTCAGGGTTCAGTCTTAGGATCTCTTCCTAAAGCCCTCATCCAAGCTGCATACATATTAAAAAATAATTAAAAAAAAACATATTATATACCTATATAGTTTTAGGTTCTGGGTGCCCTAAAAGGGGACACTTAGCCGACAATTTGGCTCAGATAGCTAAAACCCAAAAGTCACACCCCGAACCAGGACGTATTGCTATCCTTTTAAGTAAAAAATAACTACAAATAACTTACCTGAAAAATGAAGGCGTCTAACTTTACACCAAAAAAACCATACACTTTTTTCCCATTGTTGCAAGCACCCGATGACGATTAGGTAGATATCAACTAGAAGCATGTACTTAATGGTTATAAAGCTTATTTTAACACAAAAAGAATAAAGCACTAGTCGAAAAGCAGCAATCAAATATAAATAGACCACAATATTAAAATTCAAATTAAAAACTATATAAAAGACAAATACTCTAAAAGCGCAAAAGATCAGAACCAAATAAAATGAATAACCATAATAACCTAAAAATCACACTAAAATTGCAAAAACTATTACTGTAAAATCATGAGATTACATCAATAATGCATATGCGTCGGAGTATCGCAAATGTCAAAAGTACAGTGTTTCCATGAAAATTTAGCTATGTTTTTAGCAGTATTATAGGACCATTTCTACCACGCGCATCCAACGATATTGGCGTTCCACAGTTCACTGTATTTTCGTCACACCTCTAGTATAAATGATTTGACATAACGAAACTAACAATAATTATAATTAATGTAGAGTAATAAGTGATTCGTGAATTCTAAATAAAACAATTATTATATAAAAGTGTAAAAGGAAATGTAATTTATTTCCCTATTTTCTTCTGTAATATCTTCAATTATTATGTATAAATAAACCAACTGGTTAGGTGAAACATTGTGATGTAAGATTTTATTTATGTGTCCTATGCGTACACTTTAATATACAAAACACCTGGAACATTCTTTAAATAATTGTGGTCGTAGAAATAATTGTGTACATAACTCGTTTGAAAGTGTATTTTATGCACTTGCCAAATATATTATCCCTACAGATTAATCAGACTATTTTTTTACTTAACTTCAGTACATCTCTTACTACGAAAACTATTTTTATCAATGGAAAAAAAGGGCCGTGTTCTCGTATTTTTTGACGCATTTTCGGCCTCAGCCCATCGTATCCCCCCTCTAAATATATATGAATTTTGCTTAGAATTGCTAATCCTACAATTCTCTATTCGTGCTTGCTGACTGGGAAAATAAATACCGAAAATCGTCACTGTCTCCTGGACTATACAATAGATGATGATGAGAACTTCACAACAAATACACTTTTATGAATGGCTAGTTGGGGATGTGGTTTAGATTTCTAGACATAAATTTTGTAATAAATATAACAACTGCTAAATACGTTGATTACATTTTCATTAGCCAATTTAAAAATGTCTTTTATTGTATCTAGGATTTAAATTAAAACTACACAAAACTAATAAAAAATATTCAAAAATGCCACTTTCGCCGTGTAATTAAATAATAAACCACAAATTCAAGCTAAAATATCACAAACGGTCCTCTAAGGGCAGCGTTATATAGCCTTGAAACTCCGGATTTAAGGGGTATTGCCAGATCAATATTGAATTTGTAGGTGATCGCTTGTTGAACATTAATACCGTATTTGTATATATTATTAGTTGATTATTTAAAAGTTATTTTGTGGCGATATTTCGTAGATATAAACTGTTTAAATCATATAATTTAAAAATAAATTAATTTGAAATTCTTTTGTGTTAGGTATGTTTAATATACTTGGCAATGCTACAGGGAGAAGTCATGCATACTGTGCATGCTTATAGCCATACTATTTTACGATGTCATGCGCAGAGACGCGTTTTTATGCACAGTAGGTTTCAATTTCTGCTTAAATGTTATATTTATATTGGTCTTCTATACTATTTCTATGCATTGTGCTAACGATATATATTTATATTTTAGTGAAATTGTTCCACCGTATGATACCAGCACTTACGTCATGTACCCATTCTCTGAACTCCAAAGAAAATCCGATCCTGTTTATTCTAATCCGCTACACTGCAACGGTCTATGTTGGCGACTAAAGGTTCTTATCTTTATGTTAAAATTTATAGGAAGTTAAAAATATCATTTATTTATTGTAACTACACGGACCTAAGTCCATTTACAAATATGTCTGGTATAATTTATAAAAGTCCAGCATAAAATTAACAAGTATAAAAGATCTAAGTAATAAGTTTACAATAAAAAGAAAACATATACTAAAAATAGAAAACAGTATAAGCACAATTAAATCAAGAGGACAATGATCTTAAATTTTTTGTAAATAACTTAATGTCCACAAAGAAATCTATGTCTTGCGCAATATCGTTCGACATTTGTATTGTTCTGGACAAAAAGGAATATCCATAGTTTGTTCTACGGGCAACTTCCTTAAATGTTTTCATTAAGTGGAAGATCCGAGAATCCCATCTGCTCCAACTTACAAATCAAAAGACAATGATTAACCCTGTCGAATGCTTTGGAGAAATCCATGTAGATAGCATCTACTTGCTGTTTATGCTCCAAAACATCGCTCAGAAATTCATTTCTGTGGATCTACCATTAACAAAGCCAAATTGTTGGTCAACTAAGACTCTTTCTATAACAGGCTTGATCTGGTCACAAATAATGCTTTCAAATAATTTTGCTATTGTATTTAAAATGCTAATAGGCCTATAGCTTTTAACATCACTTTGTCTGCGTCTTCAAAGATTGGCGAGATGAAGCTAACCTTCCAAATGGAAGGAAAACTTTTGGTATCTAGAGATTTTTGAAAGATAAAAAATGAGCGAGCTAGATTAAAACTACAAAACTTTAGCAAACTGGGTAGATTTCTGTCAGAACTATATCTACCATAAATAACTGTACTTTTTCAAAAAACTCAAAAATAAGAAACTTACTGTAATTTATTCCAAAACGTATCCAATACGGTACTGTTTAACTGTTTTGTAGAAAAATTTTGAATACATTCATGTCATAAAAATAATTCACAAAAATTAAACCTGCGGGGGAAATGTTCAAGTTGAATGTGAGAGAAATACAATTGATTTTTCCGCAGTTTTCTACACTTTCCTTTATCTAACAGTAAGTCATCGATAACATTATTTAAAATATTTCTTGTAAACGCATTTTTCATTTTAAATTTACTATACTTAACAGATAAACTCACTACTGACCTACTAACTGAAATCAAGCGACTAAATTACAGTAGTCGTAATTCATAGTCGTAACAAAAACCGACAACACAGATAAAAACATAATTAGATTTATTAATTCGTACACATGTCCAGTCCCGGATTTAATTTGTCAATTCTGTATCAGATAAAAACAGACTTATTAATTCGTACAGAAGTACAGGCCCGGATTTAGATTTTTTCATTGTGTATCTTTCTTATTTTTGATTTTTTTTTAAGTTATTCGAAAAAGTTGTTTATTTTATTGACTTCTATACACAGTTAAAAAAGTATCAACTTAGGATTCACCCTGCATATGTACTTATTTAACTCTGTTATTCTGCGGTTCTTTTAATGCAGGTTTACCCTGATGGCAATGGTGTTGTACGTGGAAACTATCTATCGGTATTCCTTGAATTAACTGCAGGTTACCCCGAAACGTCCAAGTACGAATACAGGGTGGAAATGATCCATCAGGTCAGCAGAGATCCCTTTAAGAACATCGTAAGAGAATTTGCGTCTGATTTTGAAGTGGGAGAATGTTGGGGATATAACAGATTCTTCAGATTGGACCTTTTAGCAAGCGAGGGATATTTAAATGTGATGAATGATACTTTGGTTTTAAAGTAAATATGAAGTTTTTATCATTGTTTTTATTACTAAATAAACTAAACTAAATAAATAATCTAAAACCAAATAAACTAAACTAAATAAACAGCAAAATTCGATTTATAAAATAATAGCATAAAATCTAATTATTATACCCTCTAAGCTCTAAGGAAAGTGTCGTAGATAACACTGTTCTTACCAATATAGGGTTGGCTGCCTTTCATTATTAAAGTGACAACAGTATGTTCTATTGTCGCTGTGGTGGTACATGAATTACTGTGACTATGAAAAAAAAACTAAACCAAATATTTGTAGATTTCAGGTGAGGGCTCCAACATTTTATCAAAAATGTCGTGATCAACAATGGCACATAAATCAATTGCAAGCCACCCAACTTCAATATGTCACTCAAATCAGAGAAAATAAAGAAATTACCCCTACTCCAAAAGCTATCGATAATTCTGTAATGCAAGGAGCATTCAAAAATATAACAGGTAAAAATAATTGCTTGACATTTTGGTATACATAGAATTTTTATTTCTTTTAAAAATTCACATCTAGTTAATAAAACAATAGCTATTTATTAATAAACGATCATTAAAACGTGTTAATAGCCTTCGCCTAGCGGCTCGGGCTCTTACTTACACGTTGCGGTTCATAAACGCCTGTTTTACGCCCTTGATATATAAATAACTATTATTTAAGCATAGATTATTTAATTTCAGAGTGTAGTGAGGAAATCGTTACACAATGCGCACCATCGACATCAAGAATTGAGGTTGTAGAAAAATCTGTAGCCGTTTCTACTTTTTCAACAGAAGAAAAAGAAACAGCAAGTACTTCAATAGCTGAAAATCAGATTATGGCAATTCCTTGTATTTGTCAGTCCAAACAAGTTTCGTGCGCCAATTCCTTATGCAGTTCAAATTCAGAATCTTCTATACAAACACAGGTGAGTAAAGAAAAAGAAATCAGTTCAATACAATGGATGTATGAACCTTTATCGAAATAGTATAAAATAAATAGCAGAAATATTAACAGATTGGCTGACTAGGGATAAAATAATGTTTTCAAAATAAATAAACTTATTTTTTCATTGTAAAGGTTTACATTACCTGACTCACTTTCTCAAATTTTCAGTTCCTTTTGTTATATATTTTCGATCATTTCATTATTTAGACATATTTTCATAGACCAATTCTAGTATTTCTGGCGAATTTTCAGGTGAGTGGCCAAAAATCGCCGGGAAACTCTTCAACAAATAGCAATGAAGATGGTCAACAAATTATAGGAGTAGGTGTATCTATCAGTTCCCCAAATCTGCTTAATTCCGCAGTATCTCTGATGTTATCGAGCAGTACTAGCGAGAGCGACTTGAGCGAACCCGAACAGCTCATAGAAGAATATGTTACGACCCAAAATCGCATTCAATACGAGGAGGAAATCGAAAACGATGTAGAAGTTATGTCGAGTGGAGATTGCGGGAATGTATCTTGCGATTCTTGTGAATGTCCAGAATCCGGTAATGCTGTAGCCGAAAAAGATGCTGAAAATATACCCACTTGCGAACTTGGACAGCCTCATACTTCAATTGGTCATAGTTATATGAACTAACATAAAACATTTTTACATTTTTTCATTATACAAAGTTTATATTCAAATGTTTTATTTTAATATTTTTAAAAATATCGAAAAATGTTTTTTAGATAAGTTGTTTTTGGTATCAAGCTTATCCATTCATTAACGGGTTGATCTTGCATGCTTTAAACTTGTCGCAATATGCGTGGAACCATCTGTTCACTTTACTCTCCACTCCAATCCCGTCTCTCAAGACCAGTGTTCTTTTAATTTCGTTACACGTTACCATGGTTACACCTTAAATGTCCTTCAAATTTCACTCCATTCTCGCCAAATATCGGACCGCTGCCTACTCGTCAAATATCGAACCGAGGCCTAAGAAGTTTTACTTCAAAAATATGCTCATTTTAAAATAAGTCATTATAAAACTTCAACAGATTAATAATATCGCTTTTATTGACATTTAAATACATAAGAAAAAATATATACATTATTTTTTTAGGGAAAGTAAAATGAAACACAAGAAATAGTAAGGACAGAATTAATAATTTTGTTGTACAAGTAGGGCGGGGTTTTGGATTTTATTAGTTTGTGTATTAAATACAATGACGGAACTGATGAATCCCTAAGAAACAACCTTATACCGTTGCTAAATGTCCAAGGTGAAACGTAACTCTTTAAACTTTAAATACCCGACTTTATTTTCCAATTTTAACTAACTAAAAAAAAATGTTGTAAGAGACAAAAATTTGCCATCATATATTTTGGATATTTTTCAATATTTCCGTATTTTCTTTTCAAAGAAGAATTCCCCTCACGTACCAGAGTTTGACATAGTATCTTTCCTGATGCTTCTTTATGATATTAATTATATGGGGTGCTAAACTTTAATGAGCTATCAATAAGTAAAGTTCTTTGCCACGTCCACTATTAGTACTTCTTCTTCTTTGATCTCAATTTTTATGATGATTTAACCTAAGGTAATACTGCTCTGATTCGCTGTTCCGGTAAAACAATGACGCAAGTGCAAAATTATGACATATTAATTTTAACATGTCATTAGTTTCCAAATTAATCTCTCTATACCGTATAACAACGGCGTAATTTTATATCCACTCGCGGCTGCTAGATGGTAGTTGCGTCAGTTTTAAAATATTAACGTTTGCCCCTTCACTTTTGTAAAACAATGACACATGAATCAGTTGTCTGCAACTTTAAGGGAGATGTTACTTACTTATCCATGGTTAAATGTCGTATTCACTATTTAGGACAAGTTCTTTGTGATTTATATACCCAAATTTTGAAGTAATAATATTCGTTTTTCGTCTCCCCTGAAAAATGTATAATTTTGCATTTGCGTCATTGTTTTACCGGAACAGCGATATGTAATTATTAGATTAGACAATTCATTATTTAACGTATAGAGAGATGGTACCAATTCTGAGGGATAAAATGAATGGGTGACATCTGCATAAAAGTGAGTTACAAATATTTAACGTATTTAAATCGCGATGGTGAAAAGAAATGGCCCTGGTATAGAACCTTGCGGTACTCTAGATGTATTTACTCCATTTGATAAATTGTTCTTATACTTGACCCGTTGAATTATTGGGTTTAAGTAACTGGAAAACAATTGGATTGATTTATCATTAAGCCAAAGATAATGGAGCATAGCTTAAAGAGTAGTTGATGATTAATTATGTCAAACGCTTTTAATCTAATAATCAGTCGGTGCAAGAATATCATTCAGCAGAGCTGTCGTGCAACTAAATCCAGACTGAAAAAAATACTGGTTTTATTCCCAAAATTTCTTACATCGAACTCTTTGTATATGTTGATATGCTAAATATCTGGAGCCGAAAGGAGTATCCGGTACAAAGTTGATGCAATAGATCTTTTGTACCTCAGTGGGAGGTGGTTTTGGCGAATGAGTTATACATAAGAAATACGTCACGGGGTGCGTCAGCTATGCACCGGACTCTCAAACGGCTTCTTTTCTGAAAACCTCTTGAGAACAAGAAGGCGGGAAAGTGAGCGAAACTTGAGAGGGAGATATAAGTAAGAAAAACGTGTTTTTCAAGTATTCACTGACCTTATTTGTACATGCAGATGGTCAATTTCCGTTATTTAAAAAAAAGTTATTTGTGGTTTATGCAGAGCATGCAAGGGTTTCGTAGTACCCCACTTTTTAAGTTTATTTTTAGAAAAATAAAATTGAATTTTGAAAAAGTAGTTCCAGGGGAGTATAGATATAATCTGAAAATAGTCAGTAATAAACTTTAAAAGTGGGGTCCTACGAAACCCTTACATAGAAAGATTTTTCGTCTGGAAACTGGCGCCCTTGTTAGATTTGTGAATGAAAACAATTTACTGATATTTTACGAGGGATAAATAAATTTTTCGTATTTGTAAACCTTATTGTCGACTACTTTTCATTACTTTTCGGATATGCTCGTCGGACTAGTCTAAAAATTACTTTTCATGAGAAGTGAAAAGTACACTTTTCTTCCTGACGAATTCCCCAGCTCTTTAGCAATAACCCAAACCGGATGCCACTTTTTTGTTTGCAATGTGTTCATAAAACTTTAGCTGATTATCAATGCAAAGGCCTAAAAATCTGAAGCAGGGTATTTTTAGAATCAACTGGTTCTCCAAGACGGAAATTGATCATATTCAAATTTAAAAGTTATTACGTTTGTTTTGTGTTAAAACTTAAAAAAATTGGAGTCACACCAGTTTTTAACTAGTGCAGGGTCATGTGACACGGCATGCCAGAGGATAGTGGCAACAAACAACGTAAAATTTTCCAGAGATGCTAATCTTAGTTAAATCATTGATATAGATTAGGTCCCAAAATTGATCCCTGTGGAACGCAGTCGGGTTTAATTCCCGAATTTTTTGCAAATCTATCAGATACCTTTATTCTGTCGGATAAATAATTTTGAAACCAGTGCAATGTTGCATTTCGTAAACCATAAATAGTGTTTTTAAAAGTATTTCATGTCTGCCTTTAAAAAATCAAAAAGACTGATTTAAATTTAAGTGTAGGCATATTCTAAAGAAGAGAAGCTTGAAAATCAAATAAAATTTGGTGTTGTTAGGAATACGATCATCCTACTTTTTACAAGCCTTTCGTTGATTTTAGATAAAGTAGGAGGTCATGAAATTGGTCTGAAATTCGAAGGATCTTCCAAGTTACCTTCAAACATGCCGGAAAAGTCCCTTTAATAAATAGGTTACTACTCCAGTATCTTTCACATTTCGTATTTAATTTGTCTCCATTTATAATATAGTTGGATTTGAACAGCTTCAAATGTTTTTTTGACCACAAGCTTAAATTTGTTTCCATTCTTGAATTTTTTTTTTTTATTCTTGAATCTCTTACTAAAAAAAACTGAAGAGTTACAGAATTTTTTTATTGAAGCGTTAACACTAAACACCTCAAAGGTGGTTTTACAATAACTTACATACAAAAAAAAATCGAATTACTGTCAATGGTACTTAATACATCAAGCTATTGCTCTCATGCATAAATATTGTTCGGATATACAATGTTAATTTGTAGCGTTTTAAGTACACAACAAACAATAGTGAGATTTGCAATTCTACAGGAAATTTATAAATTTAACAACAATAAATAATAGACATTAAAATGGAAGTACTTTCATCTAAAAACAGTGAACAAACGAAATATTTTGTTGTTACTTTATTATTAAAGAATCTCACTACTGAATAGTTGGAGAAAGAATACAAATGACTTCGAGATAGCTAAGTATACAATTAAACTTCTTCCTTGCTCTGCGAAGCAGAATCGAGTATAATTTCAAATGAAAACGGTTCGAAACCATAACCGGTACCGATGTAGAACTTGCTTTGGAACTCAACCCTGTAAATAAATAAAAACAATAAGAAACATATTCAGCTAAAAATTAAGAGATGAGTTTGAAACCCTTCTTTAGAGCAAACTGGATCTCTACCAAAAAGCAAATTTTACCTCTATTTGCCTCTCGTTCCGCGCTAACATTCTAAACGTTAAAATACAGGATGTACCAAATAAGTGATCGATTTTAAAAGAAAATACAGTTTATTACTACTCTAAAGAGATGAAGTTTTCATTGATTTCTTTTGCGAAAAGTAAAAATGTGAGGATTTTCTAATAAAAAATTGTATTTATAAGGGGGCGCCACTGAGAATACTTCGCGATGTTATGTGTCTCGAGAATATTGAGACATTTAAATTTGTGCAACAATAAGACAACACTCAAAGACATTTGAAAAAAAGGTGGGAAATCCTCCAATTTAAAAACTACTAGATGTTTATTAAAAGAAAAAGCAGTAAAATTTTATGGATATGTATTTTTTTTAATTCCTTTAAAAATTATCGAAATAAATACTTTTCGAAGGTATACAAACAAATCAAGGTTTCTCCATCATAAGTTTTCTTATTATTGGTATTTTCTGAAAATTTCATAGAAATCGCTTTAAAAATAAAGTTACTTACCAATGCAGACGAAGGGTGTGTAGGAAAGCTGACAAACCTTCCATCAGCACAAGAATGGACACAGTCAATGCTGCCCAGAAAGCGAACGTTGCATATAGGACAACACCTCCAGCCCATCCTTCAACTTTTAAACCTTTGCTCAGTACCATGTTCCACAGTACTTCAGATAATTCTAAAAACGAAAAATATATTAAACCTATAACGTTATTTTCTCTCATAACAGGTGTTCAACAATACCCGCATATTTCAAGAGAAAAAAAAAAGGATTAAATTAGCAGATATATTTATAATAAAAAGAAAAATCATGCAGAACAAATATTTAGACAAAAATAGAAAAGTAGAAGAAAAAAAGGAAAAAGTTACTTCAACAGAATGTTTTTATATTGCGTATACTACAATTAAAAATGTTATGTCCTTATATTTGGTGCACATGGTAAATAAATAGAATAATTTAAAAATATTCCAAATGAAAACATGCAGCTGAATAAAGTAAAGTAAAATTTTAGAAAATTAACTTACGTGAATGGGCTAGAGACAAAGCCCACAACCGAAGATATGAAGCTGTATGTGAAACGGATCCGAGCACATATTCAATAGTATGAATACCTTGGTGTATCCAAATTTCTCCCATAGGTTCTTCTTCCATACCATGGCCACCGCCACCCATTGCTGGTGGCTGTGCTGTATTATTATGCATTGGTTGTTCAGCATCGCCGTTTTCTGTTGCCGACTGCATCTGTTGGTGGTTCACCTGATAGGAAAAATATTTTGTTTTTAAGAGGGCGACAATTTCAAATCTTTAATACATTGCACTGTAATGAACGTGCTTTTCATTAACTTTACCAATATGAAATATTCGACCTAATTCTGCATCTAATCACCCTGTATTTTAAAATAATGAATATTCAATCTAATTCGGGTCGTGAATGTGCCAGCCGGGTATTCGCTCCGTGCGAAGTCATGGAAAGGGAAGCAAAAGCGATACTAGCGCTAGCTGCGGATAATTCATGCATTTTAGGGGGATATTTTGTAATTTTGGCATATCAAATACACGTATACATTTTACTTTTTTTATCAAAAAAGTAGGTAAAAACAACACAATAAGCAACCGGAGTTGCTGTGTTGAAAATTGTACAAATACTAGCAAAAAAAAACAGTGAAACTTATATAACAAATTTCACTAACAAAGTGGAAATTAAATCAAAGAAATAAATGGATAGGTGTACAATAAGAAGAAAAATTACCTTTATTTTTGTGATAATAACAGTAATGCTGGAAATAGTAGACATCAGAAACTAGAAAGTTTTTAAATAAACAATAAATTATCATTTTACGATGTTCTTTAATATCCCTTTATTCTTAAATGTTCATTCAGCAAGGACTAGATTTCAAGATTTCTGCCGTTGATTATAATATTTGGCTGGTATGCAATTTTGTGACTTACTGATCGGAAACCAGTTTTAATCATTCATTCTATGTTTTCTTTAGAACAAAAATGAAAATATAAGTAGCGATCCTTTTTATACATTTTAACTTCACGCTATTATAAATGGTTTCTTCAATGACAACTTATTAGACTTAGGCAACTTCTCATACATTTTCCAGTAAATACTGTTGCCTGCCTATATTTTATTATTGAATTTGAATGATTATACATAATTTTCTTCAATTTAAGCGTGAAAAATATATAATAATAATAATAATAAATTAATGTTTTAATTGTTTTATAAATCCATATACTTTTATTAAAACTAACATATATACTTTTTATTTACGAATTCTATTAAAAATTGTATTTGTCAGTATAGGCAGAAATACTCCTTTAATACCAAAACAAATTGGCGCTGCTGTCGCGCACGGAGCGAATTCGAAGAGGAAAAGAGATCCTACCAAACAACGGAATGGTGTTGCCAGTCCAGTACATTCTTAACGAATCTAGTACTTTAGTACACACGAAATATGCTTCCTTCGAAGACTGTCATAACTCAAAAGAGGAATAAAAATACATTTTTGGGTTTTCAAATAAATTAAAATCAGCGTTTTATTAAAAGTGAATTAAGAACATTATTGTCAACAGTGGCAAAAGTGAAATTAGGACTTTATTGTTGAAAACGCCTTATCAATTGCTATGAAATAAACTTTTCTGCAAAATCGTCATAATTCAAAAGAGGGATGAAAATATATTTTTAATGTTCAGCTAGAAAGACATAAATCAAAACAGGTAATTTTATTAAAAATAAATTAAGAAAATTATTTTAAACAGGGCTTTATTGTTGAAAAGGTCACTATCAATTATTTTTGGGTTTTCAACTAAATTAAAATAGGTCAGTTTTATTAAAAATGAATTAAGAACATTATAATCAACAGGAACACAAGAAAAATTAAAACAATATTGTTGAAAAGTTCACTAACAAATGGTACATATACTTTTCTTGGAGATCGTCATAACTCAAAAGAGGGATGAAAATATATTTTTGGATTTTCAGCTAGAATGAGAAATCCAAATAAGATAGTTTTTTTTTAAATAATTTAAGAACATTATTTTCAACAGTGACAGAAGTCGAAACAAAATTGTTGAAAATGTCATTATCATTATGGTGTGAAATATACTTTCCAGAAAACTCGTCATAACTCAAAATGAAAATATAATTTTGGATTTTCAACTAGAGGGACAAATAAAATGGACAAATTTTATTAAAAAACTAAGAACATTATTTTCAACAGTAACACATGTTAAATTAAAACTATATGGTGTGAAAAATACTTTGCTGGAAGATCGACGTAACTCAAAAGAGGGATGAACATATATTTTTGAGTTTTCAGCTAAAGATATAAATCAAAATAGGCCAGTTTAATAAAAATAAATTGAATCGGTGAGTGAAAGAACAGTACAAGTGCCAAAAACGGTAATTTTAACTGAGATAGGCAAATTGTTTAAACATAGGCCTATTACAAAGCGAAAGAATAATACACAGACCAACATCATACGAGCTATAGGAGCTTGTTCAATTTTCCGTTGAGTGAAAGAACAGTACAAGTATGGCGCATGTACTGTTTTTTCACTCAGTAGCCATGTCGTTTTGTTGACAAATTTGACACAGATTTCAAAAACTGGTGATCGCAATTTCATAAATTTAAATCAGCTGATGAACAAAAAACTAATTTTGTCATTCCACAGTACAGCCAGTTTACATACACTGGTAAAACTTTTGGATATGTTACTACAAGTGCCTTAGGCGGTTTTCTCTCACACACTTTTATATGTGAGGCCCATTAGACTGATATCAAACCTAATGCAAATCTGCAGTTACCCTTATGGAGGGCATAAACGCTACGATCTGTCTGTGCAGGTGTGCTTGCACAGGTAGACATGCACGCTACTACATGAAGCCGACCTGCAAAGGCATACCTGCACAGGTAGGCCTCTCTGGTAGACCGTTACGTGTATGCTCGCCATTAGAAAAGTCATATTCAGAAGTTGTCCCTATTAACATAAAGAAGATAGCCAATATAAAGATACTTTTATTCTACTTTAGTGATGAAATCCTAGAGTTTTACTACCATATATTATTTCTTGGAAAGTCAAAAATGAAGATTCTGATTTAAAAATTACCAATAAGTTTGTTAAATAATAATCAATAAAGCTACAAAAAAAAATTTAATGCATTTTTTTTAAATTGAGTGAAAGAACAGTATAAATGCAAGTCATTTTTTTAAAATATCATTTTTTCCATAATTTTATTTTTAAATTTATGTACGTATTATCGGTTAAAAAAAATTCTATAACTTCACAATACATAATTAGGCCAAATAACCCGTAGTTCTCCTTTAAAACAGTTTTATTTGTTTTTCTCAAAATGGTCATTTTGAATATGTATTGTTCTTTCACTCACTTATTCAATTAAGAACATCATTTTAAACAGAGACATAATTGTTGAATTATAATTTTCTGGAAGATCGCTATAACTCACAAAAGGGATGAAAATATAGCAAACTAATTTTTTGAATACAAGTCCCAAAAAAGTTTTAAACATTTCTAAAATGAAACATCATAAAAAGCCTTACAACAAGAAACTTTAAGAAGGAAATATGTTTTTGAGGTGTGTACCAATGATATGGTGATTGCATTTCTGTCAATCACTAGTCATTTAGTTACAACGATACTGAGAATCATGAAGATAATGACGAATAATTAGAAGTTTTGAAGAAAGGTTGAATGTTTTCGACTTACTGCAAATTGGGCGGTCTTCTTGCGGTTCCTTTGAATGACAATAGGTTTAGTAATCAACATCCATGGTATACAAATGACAGCACAGACAAACAAGAATTTCTGTAGACCCAATTGACCATCAAACATATTAGCACTACCGCATTTCTTATCGAAAGGCGTATTTTTGTTCAATACCATATTAATAAACGTGATCAGAATCGATGGGGCGCATCTAGTACCAACTTGGAAGTCCTTATCTGTAATTATAAGAAGAGTATGTCATATTACCTATCTCATTACTCGTAATGTCATCATCGAGATAAAATAAAGAGGAGATAACTATGACAGAACTAAAAGTGTTCCCTCCTTTGTATTACACATTTATGTCATGTCTAAAACTCAAGGTAGTCAGTTTTGGTAATAAAAATTAAATTTTTTTAAATTAGCTTCATTTAAATAATATATAAACAATTTCATGTCGTCAATCTTCAAATATAAAATTATTGGCTTCAAATGTATCAAAGTACGACTGACTATAAGTCACTATTTTGATTACAATTCTTTTCTCATCTGTTATAAAATAGTGTTTAAGTCATATCTACTTGTTATGTCGTCTGTCACACCGAGTTGAACTTTTCAAATGTCCCCACGAAATAAAATAATCGTGGAAAAATCAAAAAGTAAAAAATTTGTTTAAAAGATAAATTTGTAACGTCTAATTTACCTTCGATGTTGGCGAAGTAAACGAACCATTTGATGAACATGAGTAGAACCATGTAAAAGAACAAGAACACCAGGAATATAACTTGAGGAATGAATTCGCCGATAATGCTTAATTTGTTTTTGAAGTACCTGCAAAAAAGTATTTATTGTATAAAAGTTATAAGAAGGAGAATAATTGATATGGACTACTAAACATTTTCTTAAATACATATTCAATTATACTAATAACTGTTTTTTTTAGTAGTCCAAGCTGCCAGCAGATTTAGTGAAAATATGTAATGGCTTCCAGCTCTAATTAGATTAGTTTTAAACTGCCGCCTTAATATCTACATGTATTTCAATAGTAGTTTATACAATGAAAGTTGATCTGATGACCAAATCGCAAGAAAACGATGGGAAATACTACAAATAAATAACCATACTTACATGTGATTGAAGAGACTCATAGTAACTCCGAACAACATATGAATAATACCCAAAATGATAGAGATCTTCATCTTAAACGAATTCTGGAATATAATCTTGTTAGACGCGAGTTGCCACACGGGATCCATTCCGATGGGATACGGGTAACCCTCGTAGTTTCTCGTTACTTTCGGGTCCAAAGTGTAGTCTCCGTTTTGTAGATGGATGGATGTGTTGCGGATGTACCAACTAGAGCCGAAGATATTGAGCGATTTAGCGAATACGTCGTTGTAAATTATACCGGTGTACATTGAGAATAAGCCCATGAGAAGGATTATGTATCGCCCGCCGAAAAAGATGTTCCAGATCTGAAAAGGGATATTCGAACATTTTATATAAGTTCATAGTAAATTAGGTCTATTATAAATGTGCCAAAAATTAGATTTTTATCTCCACTTAAGTGTGAACGCAAATATAAAATTAAACATAATAATAAACAAAAAAGAATGAATGTGCCGAGATTCGACGGCACAATCACTTGATTTATTAGCAGACGTTGTATCCATTACATCACATTTAGTTTAAGCTTATTTGCTGCAAACCAATAACTTTTTCTTCCATTGGTTAGACTAGACAGTTGTCAATAACTATCACTTGAATAATTAAGGTATTATCATCAAAAACAAATATATAGTATTGTTCCAGATCTAAACATGGACATTAAAACTACAATAAATCTTGGACAATAATAAAGCTATTTTTATTAATATTGAATTTAATTTTGCAAGCAAAAATATTAAATCTACGAATCGTCCTGTATTTCAGGCCCTTTCGATCAGAATCGTGTGATCCCTATATTAATTTTCGATGGAATAATTTGTTTTACCTTCTTGGATAGGAATACACAAGGGTGGACTTTGTCCATAAAAATTGTAAACAGTTTTCGTACCTAAGAAACAGATTTGATAACTTTACTCGTCGACTTATGATATTGTTTTTAAATTATTTGCGCACTATGTATATTACTTTTATTACTCACTCGGTATGTAAATAACGAGATTAGTGCAAAAAATCCTTGTAGGATTTATCTAACATTCCAATATTAATTTTTGTGCAAAATCGCTGTTTTACTTTAATACATTTGTGATCTAACTAAAGTGTTAATCGAAGTTTATAGTGTTAATCGAAGTTTATACAACTTGTAATTGCGGTTATTATAAAACCCTTTTTAGCACCAGGAATTTCTTTGTTGCAATAATAACAATTAAATTTGAATCAAGAACATTTTGACACCTGGAATATTCTGTATCTCCACCTGGTGCTACGTCCTCCAGAATCGATCCTTGTCGAACTCTTTGTACTTCAAGCATTAAAGACTTACCTCGTTGTCGGATTTCTTGGCGGCCAAAGGCTTCTCTTTGAGCACCATCCAAGCACCGAACAATGCCATCAAGAATCCGTGGCCCAAATCGCCGAACATTACGGCGAACAAGAACGGGAAAGTAATGATGGTATAAGGCGCCGGATTCATTTCCCTGTAAGCGGCGATACCGTAAGAGTCGATCAGCGTTTGGAAGCCGCAGGTGAACTTGTTGGTGTGATTGTAAGTCGGCGGATCTTCCAACGTGTCCATCCGATTGAGAATCGGCGGCACGGAACTGCCGCTGCGTTCCTAAAAAATAAAAATTGTAAAAAATTGTAAAAAAAAACAATTTGCGGTATCTTTGTTTATAAGACCAATACTGATTTTTAACTGCGACCCGCAGTATAATACGTACTGTTCCTCTTCGTAAAGCAAGCTGAATGTTTTCCAAATCGAGTACGGGCACCCAACACTCGGCAATCAAACATTTTTGAGTTACATCCAAATTGAACAAATTTAACGTGTGATATATGGCTTTGATCTTCCGCACTTTTACGAACCAATTCTTTATATTTTTGGCAGCGGCCACAAGTACTCGGTGACGGTGATCTTGAGTTTGTCCCAAAACCTAAAACAGAAGTCATCCAATTATTGTTTACTCTGCAATGCATGAAACAAATTATAATCTTATTATTCTCATATTGGACTGTCAGTTGTCATTTTAAACTATCAAATGGTAACTTTGAATGGTCAATACGCTAGTCCGGTGTGATGTCATTTTGGTTCCACTGACATTTAATTATAACCAAACTATTAACAAAAACATCAATTTGACATATACGTATTTACTGTTTTAAATTTATTTCTAAATATTGTTTACAGGTCATAAAAAATAGTTTAAAGGTATGTAATTGGCAACTAAACGATTGTATATTTGATGCATGTTATCTACGTACTTTAGGAATATATTTATAAAAGTGAAAAAACGATATAACTTAGGTAAACAAAACGAACAAAATGCACTCAAAAAATCTACTGTCACTTAAATTGTCAGTGGAACCATAATTACATCATCACTGAACTAGCGTATTGTCATTTTAAACTATCAATTGCCATATTAGACTGTCAATTGTTATTTTGGACTGTCAACTGTCAGTTTAAGTTCTCAACCGACGTGAATAAACTAAGCTTCATTGATTTGGTTTTTCGTATTAAAAGGTAACTTGTCATTTTAAAATGTCAATTGTCATTTTGAATTGACGTAATTTAACTACGTTTTATTCATATTGTTTATAAAATGTCCATTTTCATTTTGAACTGTCAATGGTAATTTTAAACTGTCATTTTGAACTATCAATTGTCATTTTAGACTGTCAATCATTATTTTGGACTGTTAATTGTCAGTTAATGCTTTTAACTGTCACGGTAAGGCATTAACTGATGTAATTAAACTAGACTTTATTAATTTGGTTTATAAAATATCATGCAGAGTTCGGGTGGAAAATTCTGAGTTAGAGCAGGAGTAAATTTTGATCACGTGACACCGGAGTTGAAGTACAAAATGGTTTTAACTGTCAATTGACAGTTTTTTAACTGACATTATAAGATATCATCAATCAATGTGATTGAACTGGGCTTTATTTTCATTTTAAATTGTAAATTGTCATTTTATATTGTCAGCTGTTATTTTAGACTTAATTATAATTTTAACTGTCAATTGACATTTTCTTATCTGTCGTTATAAGAAATCAACCGATGTGATTAAACTAGGCTTTATTGAATTGATTTATAAAATATCAATTTTCATTTTAAATTGCCAACTGTTATTTTGAACGATCTATGGTCATTTTAAAATGTCAGCTGTCATTTTAAATTGTTAATTTGAAACAGTAAATTGTGATTTTAGACTGTCAATTGATATTTTGTACTGTTGTGATTGTGAATTGTCAGTTTAAATTCGCAACTAACATTGAAAGTCATCAATTGATGTGATTAAACTAGGCTTTATTAATTCGATTTTCAAAATTTCAATATTTATTTTGAACTTTGGATATGTTAATGTTATGTCATTTGAAGTGTTAATGGAAATTCTAACTGTCAATTGATATATAGGACTGTTAATTGTCATTTTGGATTGTCAATTATCATTATGAAGTAAAGTGTCAATTATCATTTTGAAACTGTCAATTTCCATTTTGAACTGTCAATTGGCATTTTAAACTGTTAATTGCCATTTTAAACTGTCAATTGTTATTTTAGACTACCAAATGTTATATTGGACTGCCAATTGTCATTTTAAACTCCTATATTAAACGAAATGTCAGTTATTCAGTCCAAAACTAACCGCTGTGCTTGTCATTCGAGAAAAACAGGTTATATTAGGGACGCGATTGCCTGAAAAATAACAATTAACGTCAATCCACTAACTGGTATATTTTAACCGTTACCGTTAAGTCGAATGTTAATCTGGCACAAAAATTACGTGTTTCTCGGTTCATGGTCCAAATGTAACCAACAAAAAATATCGTTTTTTATTTTTTAGGAACCGCTGTCAAGAATATTGATTAGTTACGGTTGTTATCTGTTTAATACCGGACCATACTTTTAAGTTTTCAACTATCATTGTATGGAGTGTAGAGGAAAGGAGGACAATCTCAAAAAGTGTCCTCCAAAATGTATAAAATTAAGATGGCGCTCGTGTACTAGAAGGGAAAGATCCAATGATATATAGTTATATAGATAGCTCACCCATATGTAAATCGGACGACGAAAAGCACTATTGTCGTCTATTATCAAAATTTCTCTACGATTATAAGCTCAGTCGCTCTTCACGATAGCTTTTCATTATTTAGTTTTTAGGCTATACCCTTCGAGCATATATACCCTTACCTCTACACTCCATACATATGGGTGAGCAAAATATATAACTATACAAATAATTAGTATCATTGCGTGATCTGAATTATCGACTGTCGGCGTGGCGTCTCTCCGATACAGAAGCGCCATCTTAATTTTATACATTTTGAGAGATACTTTTTGTATACAGAGATAGTTCTCCTTGCCTCTACAAATTTAGGTTTGTAATTTCGATAGTTTTGTTACTTTTCTGATCTAAAATCTATATTGATTATTTCTAAGGAAATAGTGTTATAAAAAAATGTTCAAATATCATTTTCCATGATCAATCGACCATTTTCTTTAACTTACTGTATTGAGATCTTCGATTCTTGTCATGACACCCATTGCCATTTCTCTGCGATCCGCCGGAGCTTCCGGGCAGGGATAGAGAGTGGCCCTGAATCCTTCACAAATCTTCTTGACCCTAGTTTTCAGCTGGTCTCCTTGAAAGAATATTATGAAGACGGATTTGTAGACTTGGTCTCCCTGAAAATAAATGTCATAATTTAAGAACGTCGTGAAATCATTCTACGATTTGGTATTCCAAATTTCTGACATAAAAATCAAAAAATGGCCGACGATAGGCACCAAAATTTGTCTAGATTATTTCATCCAAATAGTTTTTTTATGTCAACAGCTTAAAAATAGTAAAATTTCTGGACTAAGATTTGTATCACGTGGAAAAAAACAACTATATATTTTACAGTCATATAAAATATTTGCTTCTTAATATTGATAATTATATCTAATATGAGATGACTAAAATTTCAAGTCCAAAATATTATTAATTGTGTTTTATTGGTTTTTAAACCGAAGTTTTTGTCGTTTGAATGTAAATGTAGGTGTCAAAATCAATGAGACAAATTACGTTACGAAAATGCAGCTTGTTCATTTGAACATAGCATTTGTGTGGTATAATAAAGCACTATTTAAAATTGTGTATGTAAATTGCTCTTTCATGCGATTTGACATGATATTCCAAAGAAAATGACACATTTCGAATTGACAGATTTCGGAAAATATTATATTTTCATAAGACGTTTTCGGAAACTTACTTGGATCAGAAAGATTATGGATCCTATTGTTCGTTTACCTATGGTTACTAACCATATCCGTGTTCGGAAACTAGTAGAATACTGCACTGGGATTCTCACCTTTCAATACGGCACGTGTTGAGACGACTATCTTCGTTCCACATAATGCGATTCGTATGTAATGTCTCTCTCTATTTGATTCGTTACGTGTCGAGTACGCACATAAGAATCCCTGCCCTGATCCAGCTTTGTGATCGATATCAATATTTTGTGATCCATTCTGCGAGTAGCATGCGCACCGCAGGATTTTATTAAGGGATAACGCAATTTTTTGGTGTTTGTAGTAACTTTGAAGTTTTTTCTAGATTCAATTAGTTACAACTTGTAACTACAAATATCTTTAATAAAAATGGTTCTTTAACAAATAATAGTTTATAATATTGACAGTTACGCAGGAAAAGTCAAAGATTGACAGATGTGGATAAACAGGAACAATAATTCAACTCGTTCGTAAACTGTCGGCAGTGATCCGATCCACGTAATCTGGATTTGTTATCTATAGTATGATTCCGAAAACGCCTATACTCTATTTATTTTTCTGATTTTTTTTTTTGAACAATGTTAAAATAATTGAAAACGGCACCTATGAGATGAAATAAAATGGGGTTGTTTTAAATGATTTATCAATTTTTAATAGTAAGACGACCTAAGTTAGACCTTTATCGGATTTATACTTCGGCCGAAAATAAGATATTTAAATACTATATAGGGTGGCCCAATTAAAATAGCCCACCTGAAATATTTTCCTAGGAGAATTTTTTTTGGAAAATCCCCGAGACCGGTTGATTTTGATCTTTAATTCATAGATGTAGGTTCATCCCCCCAATACTAAATGGTACATCATTTTAAATATATTCTCTTTTCAAACATGCTGACATGTTTTTGTTCTGTGTTAAAATTAATGTAAACCACCTGCTGGGAGTGACGGTGAAATAAACCGATAAAAAATATATCGAAGAACTCAACTGCAAAACATTGATAATGTTGCACCAGAAAAGTAGCAGCAACTTCAGGAAGTCCACGTAGTAGTCTTCAGAGAATTTAAAAAAAAGCATCAAAGGAGATGGTTAAAAGAATTTTAAACAATCCTAATTTTTTATTCGGGAACATGTTGAACAAAGACTTTATTACTGAATAGAAGTAAATAGGTCGCAATTTGAACATTTAATTAATTAAAACTTGAGAACCTGAACCTGAGAACAAAAAAATGTCAGCATATTTAAAAAGAGAATTGAAATACCTTTAAAATGATGGGCTACTTGACTCCTCGTGCCATTTAGTATTCTTGAAGGGATTGCCACCTCGTTCAAGGTGAATTTACATCCATGAATTAAGATCAATATCGACCGGTTTCGGGGATTTCCCAAAAAAACTATAATCAAAATGGTACTTTCTTAACTCGTGCGTTAGCAACTCGGACGTGATGAAAAACTACCTCAATTCGTCGCAATTCGAGCGTCTTCCAAAAATGTGTACCTGTGAGTTCGCAAATCGGGCGTCGACGGGGTATGAAATTTGACTATAGTTCCTGTATCCCGATTCTGATTACAGTCCGATTCAGGTAGGCTGAGTGGCGGAAACCCCAACAAACCAATGAGTAATGACATCGTCTTATACTTAGTAAATGATATCGCAGAAGAAGCTTTGTTTTTAACAGATAGCGAGCATCGAAAAGTTAGCCTACAGAAATCATGTATAGAACAAAAATTATAGAGAACGATATCGGGAAAATTTCAAAATATTCGTGATTTCGAAAATATTTCCGGAAATAATTTAGGCACTAGTGAAAATAATGTGAAAAATTCGAATTTTGCACTTTTTGTCAAATTTCTCGAATACGCACCATTTTAAGGAAATCATGAATATGATAAAAATTATAGAGAATAACATCACAAGCAATATTTATTTGAACAATCTTTTATAGCAAGCGTAAATTAAAGATACATTTATTAAAATAAAAACAACCCTCTATAAACCCATACAGCACAAAAACATTTCAAAAATGTAACACTGAAATATTTGTAATGTATAAATATTACGAAACGTCCCAGAAACATTTCTGAAATGTTCCTGAAATGTAAATGTATCCTGTAAATGTAATATTTTATTGTAATATTTCAGAAATAATAATTTGAAACCTTTCAAAAATATAACATATTAATATTTCAGAAATGTATCCGACAAACTTCCAATTATTTAGAATATAGGGTTTTCTCTGGATATAGGCTGAAATAAAATTATATTATTTAAAATAAAATGACCTACATACATAACCCATTTTCTTTCTCTTACAAAAGAAAATTTTTTCAAATATTGGCCATTTACTACATAACCCATTTTTTAACCTGTTGTGTAACATTTATGAAACATTTTCAGTGAAATATTTAACTAAATTATTTCAGAAAATTGTGCTTGAAATGTTATGTTTAAAACGTTTAAAAAAATGTGTGCTGTAAGGCAAGTAAGTACCTCCCAGATGCTCCTACTATGCCCAAAATCTAATCAACTCATTAGAGGATGGATGAAAGTTATAAAAAAGTTATTAGACATAGAAAGTTCTTCATGACTTAAAACCTAAAATTCAATCATCTGATACCAAATTGTATCAATCTATAACGAGGTTTGTCAAAAATAAAGGTACTTTATTCTTGAGCAAAATATATTTTTTGACGAACCTCGTATACGGCTCAAAAAATGTGATATCTGATGGTTGCGTTTTAGGTTTTAGACCATGCACAACTTTTTATACTGAATACATTTTCTAATAATAAAAAAGTTTTCCATATGTAGCCAACTTACACAAAAAATATATTAACGTAATATAAAAAATAATTATTCTGTATAAAACTTTGGACACAAAACATAGAAACCACCCTGAGATGAAGATAATTCTTATTGCTCTAAAAATGGATAAATTAAAAATTAAATATCTAACCGAGGTAAGTTTACTATTTATCAATCTAATTAAAAAAATAATTGTCCTTTTCTCAATAAAAACGACAATTTCAAATGTCATAACAATATAATGTAAAGACTATTTTAGTGGAAAAAGATAAATAAAAAATACTGTTTTATGAAAGCTACAGTGAGACATAATATTGAAAAACTGCAATCGATATAGAATTTTAATCCGAAAGGACTTTCTCAGGTAAAACTAAAGAGAGGATATTCATTATATTACTATAATACGAGGGTTGCCTTTTATATTTCGGGATTGGATAACCCTAGTGTTGCAAACTGGCAACTGACAGCCCAGTCGGAAAGTTTCACATTTTTGAGGTTATGCGTACTCAGAACGTTTTGACATACGAGCGCTATTTGTGTTATTTACAGTTACTTAAAAGATGCATTTCGGCCAAAAAATGGAATTAAATCGTGAACATTTTCGTGTTATTATTTTTTACAACTTTCGACTTGGATTAACTCAGCAACAGTGCATCGATGAATCTAATTCAATTTTTAGCGATGAAGCTCCATCAAGGACCACTGTTTATCGATGGTATGGTGTATTCAATCGAGGTCGTAGTTCGCTACAAGACGAATTTCGCGAAGGTCGTCCAAAATCAATTTTTGTTTCGGAAACCATTGAGCTGTGCGCGAACTGATATTGAAAGATCATCATGTAACCTATAGTGAGATTGAAACAAGGCATTAGTGGGACCAGCATACATTCAATACTGCATGAACATTTGACTGTCAAAAAAATTTGTTCGCGTTGTATCCCACACAATTTGTTAATCGTTCAAAAAAGGCGCGTGTCGATTGGTTGAAAAAAAAAAAATGCTCAAAAATCGTGATGCTTTGAAACAAGTCTATGACATAGTGGCAGGTGACGAATCGTGGATTTACGCGTATAAGCCCGAAAGTAAACAGCAGTCGACTGTATGGGTGTTTCAAGATGAGCCAAATCCAATAAAAGTTGTTCACGCACGAAGCACTTCCCAGGGCCGCCGAGAGCCGCACCGGGCCCCAGGAAAATTCTTCAGATCGGGTCCCTAGGTCTTTAAGCAAAATTATTTTTCTAAAAAAAAAAATTCTCTGCTTCTTAAATTTATCTAAAAAAAAAGTCTTCACGTAAGAACTTCCCCCCTCTTGTGTCGAACTTCTGAAAGTAACAAACCACCACTGCTGGGCCCCCATTTGAGTCCGGGCCCTGGGAATTAGTCCCGGTTGCCCCCCCCCCCCCCCTCTCTAGTCGGCCCTGGCACTTCCAAGCAAATGGTCGCCTGTTTTTCGGAAAAACTGGACATGTCACAACCGTACCACTAGAACAACGCAGAACAGTCAATTCTGAGTGGTACACAACCATTTGTTTGCCAGTTGTCTTCCAAGAAATGAGGAAATCCAACTGCCGAAGACGGATCACTCTTCACCACGACAATGAGAGCTCTCATTTGAGCACTCAAAACGTCGATGTGATGAGTCATCCGCCGTATAGTCCTGACTTGGCACCGAATTACTTCTTTTTATTCCCGTACGTAAGTGATAAACTAAGAGGTCAACGTTTTTCGACACCTGAAGAAGCGGTTAATGCGTTCAGAATGCATGTTTTGGAGATACCTTAATCAGAGTGGCAAGCGTGCTTCGACAATTGGTTCAAACGCACGCAGAAGTGTATAGATCTTAATAGAGAATATTTTGAAAAACAATAAAACGATTTTCGATGATTAATATTTGTTTTTGTTCTCTAATTCCGAAATATAAAAGGCAACCCTCGTATAGGTACCGATCCTTGAACGCCCGAGTTGCAAACCTACCTATAGCTTTACGCCTCAAATGCGAATAATTAAGTATTCCGCTCGAGTTGCGACGCGCACGATATGCGCATAAATCAGGAAAATATTTCAGGTGGACTGTTTTAATTGGGCCATCTGTATATTCGAAAATTAGTCGATTTATCTTAAATTCTACACAAAAAGTATACGTTTTTGTTTAAATAATTATTAAATATTGTTTTACTTACACTGGATGGATCTTCTAAGGGAGTTTCGATCTCTGCTTGCCTCAGAAAAACGTTTCCTCTGCACGCTCTCCATAACATCCTTTCGAAGGCGGGAATGCGTTCTCTCAGTATCACGCCAGCAACGAAGCTATATTATATATTTTTTAAAAAATGAAACGATTAAAATCTTTGTAAAAAAAACGTGCAAAATAAAACTATATTATAACATTTAATGTAAAAGATTGCAAGCTGTACAAATATATACATAAAGTACAATATAAAGGATGAATATGATTTATTTTTCAAATTAAATAACCAATCAAATTTACGAATTGATTCGGGATAAATAGTTGAATTTAAAATTGCATCTCAACAGGTATTATAAATTGCTATAAAAAAATGTACAAATTTTACTTATATACGGTTTTAAGTGTAACAAAATAAGAAGAACTATTTTTTTGTGTATATCTCTGACTGACCAGCAGTAATACAGTCCACTAGTGAGAATGAAGTATGTTCAGAATATCGTTTTATAGTGAGATCCACAATTAAATAAAATTAAGTAATAAAGTATTAATAGTTAATGAAGGTTTTGAAATCTTGTATATTCGTGTGATTTGAAAAATCTGAGTAAGATGCAACTTTAATACACCTATTTTTCTATGAAATTAATATTTTTTAACCCTATCAAAACGTCCTTTATATAATAAGAATTTTTTTAGACCTGTAGTTCTGCCAGCACATATGTTTAAAACAACACGAATAAAATTTCTGAAATTTCTCAACAGCAAAAAATATTAAATGTAGGTTGTATCTAAAGAAGCAATCGCTAAATTTTGCCTGCTCTACTAATTAACTAATCAATATCTACTAAAATAATAAGGTATTTGCTCAGAAGCACATTGTAGCAAATAAAATTTAAAATAAAATACATTAAGATACTGACCATGGAAAGTATTCCTCCGGGTCATACTGTTTTTCCGGAAAACTGTTAAAAGGAGGTATGTTATACAGTATAATTGAAAGTGTTAAAAAAAATCAATAATGTAAAAATGACAGCTGTGAATAGTGCTAGAGAGAAAGAAAGAGAAAATATATTTTTGATCATTTATTTTTATAAATATTTTGATAAAATTGATTTTTTTGTACTATCTGAAGGATAATGAACGTTAAGGATTAGTTTGTTAAAGGATGTTATTAAAAATAAATTCTCGGAAAATAGTTTCCAATATGTGCTTCGATTCTTCATGAAAATCGTCTTTGTAAAATATCAAATAGGAAATTTTATTAAATTTTATAATAAAAAAATGATCAAAAACACAGTGTTAGTAGAAGTAAATGATTTGATATTAAAACCAACAAATTGGAAGTTTTTTAAATATAAGTACCACAATAAATATACCTAATATTATTAACTTTTTGTTTAATTAAAATTGTTACTTCCTTTATTTCTTGGTTCAACAACTAGTGTAGATTATACAATTCGACATTATACAAGTAAAATTTTATATTAAAAAAAAAAAAAATTGAGATAGTATCTACAAAGTTTGTTTTATTTAAATAAATAATTTTCAAGGTAATACAAATTAATGTTTATCACTATTTAATCAATGAAATTGTTAAATGCACTATAAATAAGTGCAAATTCTTGTTAAAACAACTTTTCAACGCTCAATAAAGTTATCAGGAGTACGCTAATAAATTCGTAATTGTTGGAAGATCAATGAAATTCATCATTTGTTGGAGTGAAAAGAACAAATTGAATATTATCATTGGAAAGTATGTATACAAATAATAATTAAAACTTATATAATGTCAAATTGTAAGCATTTAAGTGTTAAAATCAGGCAAAAAATGTACAAGTATGTACATTATATCCACAGGGTCTCAGACATAACAGCCAAAATTTTGACCACGAATTTAACTTATCAAATGCAACAACTTTTGTCATATTTTTTTGCTTTAATACCTCGAGGTATGTTTTTGGGTAAGGAGAGGACAAAATTTTCAATGATACCTACGTAATAATACTTAATAAAAACTCAGAAGGGAATCCAACCTCTCAAAATCCTTATATTTTAATAAAAACAGCGACCTGTTTTGGCTGGACGTTAATAAATACCATCCATAAAAGCCTAGGATAGTACAAGGTCTATCGGTAAATGATGTTCCCCGAAGAGTAAGATTTTGTGAATGATACAGGGTTATTCATTATAAATTATCCACCCCTTATCATCGTTAATATTGCCTATAGAAACATTTTTTTAAATAAGTTGTGTGGGTATGACTGAATTTATGTTAAAATACTACTTTTTAAAATTGGATACCCTGTATATTATTAAATTTTTGGAATTGTTTTTTTTTTTCTGAATCCAAAAATATATATTATTAGTTTACAGTGAGGAAGAAAAAGTATAAATATTTAATTGTTATACAGGGTGATTCATTTAAAATGGGTAATCTCTGAACTACAGATATGAAGATTTAGCCCAAACAGGCATTATAAAAATATTCTGTATAAATTAGGTAAAAGTTATTCCAAAATCCAATGTACTTTAAAAATAACAATTACAGGCCATAGAAAAAAGAAAAATGCTAGACTTTTGTCACTAGATGATCCAAAAGTTGGATGAAGATTCCGATTATTTAACTAAAATATAAACACAGAAAGAAAAAGTGTTATCGTTTGGTGTGGAATTTTCAGAAACAAAATTTTTGGGCCTATATATTATGATTATACTTTAACTGAAGTTACCTATATGGAAAAACATACCTACGATCCTTGAGAACAAAACTTGGAATATAATTAAGGCATTATTATTACTGTATATGATAAAAGTTGTAGCAATTAATGAGTTATATAGTTGATTGGCATCTTTAGCACTTATTTCTGCAACATCCTCAATATTTTACCTATTAAACAGTTACAAAACGAAATTGATGAATTCGGTTTTCAAGAATTAAATATTTGGTCATTAAATGGAATCCCTTTTGTGTTAAATTGTACTAATAATTTTTATTATAACGTCAGTGTTCTATGTCTAACATTATGTAGAGACAATTTTGTTAGAATCAACACCTTGGTTCCCACATGTATCACATGTGATAGATAATTTGACTGTCTTCATGAACCACAAAATAAAGTCAGAAGATTCCTGTTGTGTGCCAAGTAGTTTTGACTTAAATTTTAACCTCTTACTTTTGCACATGGTGTATTTTCTTCTTATTGTATAAATACAACACTTCAACTACGATTTTTACATACTTCTGTATATAACTGGTGATGCTCACTTTACTAAGTTCCAGTAACAGTTCTTTAGTTTAAATTTCTTTAAATTAAAACTTTACATTTTTAAAACTAATTGAAATAATCAGTGATTAGTATTACCAGTGATACATGCGGTACAGAAGGGTACCCCCAACCGAACGTATTATCGGTAATTCATGCGGAAATTTGGCTTGGGAGCCAACGTGTTAATTAATATGTATATTTTTGTTTATCTAATAATTGTATCTACTAACATAATACTTAAAAAAAATAATCTATCTGGCACTTAATATTTTAAGATATTAAAAGTAACCATATTATATAACACTTTTGTAAATTGAAGTGTATGATTGAAATAAATTATTTTCAAAATTTAGATGAGATAAATTTTTTAAATATTAGTTTTTAAATTAAATAAAAGGAATTCTATCGCATGCGCCACTTTTTAACTAAAATGTAACATAAAAGTGTCCTATCTGATATGAATGTACATGTATAAAATTATTTTTTGCGATTAAACTATGGAGTGTAGAGATAAGAAATTGAGATGGCATTATTGCACCAGAATGCAGTTTGAAAGCGCCAAAAGTTGTAAGAGTCGATATTCAGATCAAGCCAATGATGTATATAGTTATATATAGTAGTGTTCACCCACATGTAAATAAGATTACGAAAAACAATTGTGTTATATTCACTAAATCTACTTAAAAAAAGCAAAACTTTTTTTTAAGCAATGGATCAGGCATTGGCTGATTTCGGTGAAAAACTAAATGATGTGGATAAAACAGCCAAAGTTTATTACTACTATTATACGATTTATACTATTTATACGATAAGAAGATAGTGCTTCATTTCTAGTTATTTCTATTCTATTCAACGGATTAACACGAAAAAAACTAAGGACAAATGCGATTCAAACTTAACGTGTAGGGGAAATTAAGGTTGGCAACACTTCACGAGGTTGCCGATATGATATAGCTAAAATACTTGATTCCTCAATCAACATTCGTTTGTAGGTTAGGTCATTTCGTTTGATTTGTTGTGTATTTAGTTTTCTTTAAAATTCACAAGAGTGTGAGTTGAAAATTCGAAAACATTAAAATGCCTTGACATTTAACCAGCAAATGTCAAGAAATAGTAACAGCTATTTTCAACTACTTATTTCTATAAGATAAGAGACATAAGTAATGATATTTACATCCAATAAATACATTTTTTTTAATATGTAATAACATGTTGAATGTAGAATGTAGGGTTAGATTCATGAAACTCGGAGTACATATGCTAAGTATATAAATATTATATATATTTCAGAAAGTTGCAGATGCTTTACAACTAAGTCTTACAACGGTGAATCGTATTGCAGCCAAGCACAACAGAGACGAAGTTCCTAAAAGCCCATCGAAGAAGTGACAACGTTCAAAACCTATTGTTGTAAGTTAATGAAAAAATGTCTAAATTAAATTCGAAAAACCAAAACTACCGCACTTCACCCTCAATCTGATGTAATGGTGGAACGAATGAATCGAACTCTTGCTAGATATTTGTCAAAGGTTGTCTCCGATCATCAAAAGGACTGGGACCAACACATTCCATTCTTTTTGATGGCGTTCCGATCAGTAGTGAATGAGTCTTCAGGTCACACACCTGCAAAAGTCTTGTTTGGTAGAGATTTGAGATTGCCATGTGACCTGGTATTTGGTTGTAAGCCTGGTGATGACACGGCTGGAGAAGACTATGTCTGTGATCTTCGAAAGAAAATGTAAGATACTCATGAATTGGTCCGTACCAATTTGCAGCTAGCTAGTGACCGCATGAAGAGGCATTATGACAAACGAACAGAAGAGACCAGCTACCAGGAGGGAGATTTCGTCTGGCTG